AACCCTTCATATTAACATAGTCTACAAAAGGCTCCTACCGACTCAATATCTTCTCTCATATGTCGTAATTTAACATTGAAGATGCCTAACCATTCATCCATGTCATCAACACAATTAGTTGCTGCCTCAAGCCCTTGCAATACCTGAAAGATCAAAGAGCAGAACAATTAGCTTGAAGAAGCATATCGTTGATAGGGTGAACATAAGCAGCATCAAGATTAATAATGAATTTTCATTTAAAAAAAAAAAAACAAAGAACGTCCACAAGATATAAAGCAATCATAAAAAACACAAGGAAAGATGGAAAATAAACAGAAGTTCCTTAAGCACAACACATACTCATTGGAACTATTTAGGAGTAGACAAACATAATAAGAAACTGTCAGAGAAGAATAGCTAGAAGTCAAGGTAGAGAAATGGTGAACTCGAGTACATCCGACATGGAGTGCATCCCATCCCCTTTTGAACTAATGGAGGCAATTGATTCTTAATAGTCCCAACATGGTGCCAATGAGATATGAGAATAAAAATAATGAGAGGAAAAAATTCAAAAAACAAAAATAGAATGAAATACCTCATCTACAAGAGGTTCACTTTCCAAAATGGCATGCACATTTGCTGCTTCTAGAGCAAGAAGCTCTCTCTTCAACCGCTCAGAAAATGCCTCTGCTTCACTAATGCCCATAACATAGCTGTGTACATACCATGTTATGATAAAAAACATTAGGATAGGATTAAGGTGCTACAATATTTAGAGACCAAACACAAAAAACAGTATATTGCTTTTCAATCAAGCAAATGAAACAGATGAAGAAGAAAAAGAAATCAAGAATCATAGACTGACATGGAACTTTGACCACTACAAAAACCAAACCATATATTCTAACAGTTTTTGCTCTGTTCCAAAAGAATGACAAATATTACTACCAGGATAAGGACTTTTCCCCCCTAAAGGAATGGAATTATGACTTTAGCTCTGATCTAACCATCTTAGAAATTCGGCAGATGATACATGAATATTTAAAAAAAAAAACAAAATGAAAATGCAACCATATAAATATGAACATTCTTATGTGATATCTTCTGAATCTAACCAACAATATATTAATATTTAATACTTGCATATCAATTTCAAATAATTGGACTGCAAGTATGGTTCGTGCCTTATGTCTACTCTGTCAATTTGCATTAACATTTCACACTCTAGAAGGAATCTATGGACTTGATTAACAGTGAAGCACATCTGGCTTTCATTGAAGAACCTTAGGACAGAATAAAGGAACAACATACGTGCCCAAAAGAGCCTCCATATCCTCTTCCTCAGCTTGAGAGACAAGGTCCTTTTCAACAGTCACTTTCAAGTCACTTTCTGTTACTGTAGTGGCAACTGGGCCATCTTGCTGATTCCTTTGAGTAGTAACTGAGGGAGTATTTTCCTAGATACAATATAAAAGTCAAAGACAAGAAAGACAAGATAAATTATTGAAGTAAGATTTCTTGAATTTTAAGGAAAATTATATCTGCTTAAAATCTTAAGCAAAATCAGAACTCAAACACTATGAAATTATTCTCCTCAGAGTGACCACCAGTCCACAAGGACCAATAAGTTAAAATATCCTTAAAATTGGTACTAGGCAAATGCAACTAAAAGCTTATGTCATGCAGTGCATAATTACAGCTTTCTGTGAATTTTTCAAGTAATCTATAATTTGCATAAAATGGTTTTGTATCAATTCAACAGTCAAGAACTCAGAATGAATAAAGTCATCACACTCACCTTAGCCCAAAGAGCCATCTCCACGACATCTATACCAACAACTTTGGGAAGACGACCAAGTACATCTTTGCAGATGTTTAAGATACATAACAAAATGCGGTTCCTACAAAAATATTTAAGAAAGGACATAGACAAATCAATAACTATAAGCAACAACAGCCAATTGTAAAAAGAACAATTAAGAAAATAAGATAAGCCTTAATTCTGTTGGAGTACCAGAAGGAAAGGACCATAAAAGGGGAAAAAAGAAACATCCTGACAGAAAAAGAAAAAAAAAGTTGACATCTTCAGTCCAGAGCTATTTCAGTTTACCTGTCATCAGTGTTGCGCATGGTCCACTGAGGTGGAGCAACACTCTGACTTCTGAGGTTATCAAAGCCCTATAAGAAGTTCAGTTAGAATCTGATGAAAAAATCTCATGCAGGCAGAGGATGGAAAAAAGAGTTTAAGATAGAAATTGCTTCAACTTCTGCTCAATTGCTTCTTTAAATCACATAGTAGAGAAGCAGTTTTTGGCCTACTGGAATTGACAAAAATCAAAGAACATACAGCTTTCAACAGAATATTCTTATTCAAATAACCAAAAGAAAGGGCTTACCAAAGTAAAAGTACACCCACTGGGGTCATTAGTTATAACCTCCACCTTTGAAAGATGCTTCAGCTTGTATAACTTAGCAGGCTGTGCAGTTTCAATAATTCATATGTCAACCTATGATCTTAAAATCAATATAACTAGAATACCTACTAGTTAAGAACCTCATTTTTAATCAAATAGCTACCTTCCCTTTTTATTGGAAGTTAACAAATTTTGCCTTATGTTTATACTAGAAATATTCACTTTTCAGTAATGCTAAAAGTGATTGCATAAATGATTCCATGTTTCACATGAAGAGGTTGACAAATGGCTAGCTTTATTTTGTGATTTATTTATTCTATTTTTATTCATAGCAAAATTCAGTAGAAAATGGAAAGATATGATCCATATGAAAAATCAACAAGGCAAGCTCCTACTTTATCATGGACATCTTAAGACTCTCGATTCAGCACTAATGCACTCAAAAGACAATTAATCAGACACTGATAATTCATTCTGGTAACACATAAACCTCACTTATGATGAACAATAATCAACTATATCAGCATAGTGAAGCCAGAGAGGCAAGGAAATGTACCACCAGAGTCCTAACAAAAAATTAATGGACATAAAAGATGGCCCAGCACAGCCAGAGGCAAAACTTATTACAGGTAAGCCAAATGCAACCTTGCGATGGCCACCCTGATCATTCTGAGTTCAGCTTTAGTAAGCTACCACATATTAACACCATAAAATCTTACTCGATAATGAATGATAAACTCATTGGGCAATCTTTCTGAACTTATTCTTGTTTGTCCTAACATTCATTGTCTGAAAGATTATAATAACAGACTTACCTCAAGAACTCCTCCTGTAGAATACTTCAAGACTCGCAGAAAAGCTTTAGTTCGCTGACCTTTTGATTTTGCTGCACAAACTATTAGGTCAAGCATAAGGACAACTGGACAAGCAAGCCTGCACCTTCTATTTAAGGAAAAAATGTCCGACTTATAGAAAAAAAAATCAGTTAGCTTAAAATACATCATATTTACTTGCATCTGGCTTCTGTACAAAAAAAGCTTCAAGAATCCAACATTATACCAAACAAAAACCCCAAAATGGACCAATAAGGAACCACATGCTACTTCAAATCTAATCATATTATTTTAATTCAAAAACCTTTACAAAGCATAGCTTATATTCCTTGAATTTGAACTGTCCTACCAGCTTTGCACAATTTTACTATTATAACGGTTAGTTCAATAGTTCAACGTCGTATTTAACACAATTCTAGCTTAATCAACGAAATTTCAATCGAAAAAGAAGTTAAAAAATATCCTACATCCTAAATTGAAATAGAGAAAACATTAGTCAGATTAGGGAAAAGACGTACTGGAAAGAGCAAGGACTCTAGGTTTAGCCATGTGGCGGCCCAATTTGCCAGATTTGCCCCAGATCCCGCGGCTTTTAGCGACGCGAATCGACATCGCGATCTTCTGCTTAGTGCCTTCGATTGCGGCCTCGCAAGCTCGCTTTAGCTCCTCATCGTCCGCGCTCGATTTCGCCATTTCTTCTTTCTTCGACTTTCTCCTTCCGATGTGAGCTTCCCAGATGCCCAATCTCAAAGAGAGAGAAAAAGAGTGCGAGAGACGAAATGTGAAAAATGCTAATTACCAGTTAACAGACACCGACCAACAAAAATGAAATATATAATAATAATAAAGAAAAATGGAAGAGTCAAATTAATAAGCCAGCTTTTCATTTATAGAAGAAAATTATAATTGGCGTTTCGGCCCAATATGTCTGCTTAATTTTGCCCGAGTAAACCGGGTTTGAAGTCTCTTTCTTTTCTAAAACCATGTATTAGCTTTTACGTATTCAGACTTACTGTCAAGTCTTTTTAATCGAACTTTTAAATAGATTTTTAATATTTTTTATTGTTTTATATTATTATAATTTAATCATTAAAACATAATTATTGATAAGGTTAGAATCTTTAATAGGACTTTAAATTGATCCTAATTCCTAAATCATAAGCAAGAGTGTGAAGAGTGATTCTAAACACTTTTGGTTTTAACAAGGTTATCATCAAATAGATTTAAAAACTTAAAATATGATATAAATACGATAAAAATTAAAAAAAAATAATTATTATATATAAATTAAATGAACTAAAAATATATATATTATGTTTTTACATCAATATAAATTATAATATATAATTTTCATGTAAAATACAATATGTATATATAAATTTTAATATTTTAAATGACTTAAATACACAAATTGTTATATCTATCATTAGGACAATTAATCTTCATTAAAGTTGAAAGGAAAATAGAGTTTATTTATGTAAAGTTTGGCATTGGATTATACCTATGATAATTTATCATTAGCAAGCGAAGTCTAGAATTAGACACAGCTCCTCATGAAAATTTTTATTATTTTTAATGCGTTTATGATTAAATAAATAATTATCAATTAATTAATAATGCATATAAATTATTATAAATTCACTATTTTATAATATTAAAATGACCCAAATTTTTTTTTGTTTTGTTCATAAGAAGACAAACGATTGTACAAAAAAAAAAAAAAAAGATAATGAAATTAAAATCCCCGTTCACATATCTTTCTTAAAGCCTCTTAACTATTAAGTCAATAGGTGAAAGACAATGACCCAAATCTTTTACTATTATTTAATTGATCTTTTGTTAACATATCCTTACATGCAATGCTGATTGAGATACTCCATTCATCAAAACATGGTTAAAGAAAGACAAGAATGATGATATGGAGATTGTTATATAGGTTGATTTTGATGGTAAATATATAATATATACACTCCCGCCGTCTCATTTTCTTTGTTATGTTGTTTATTTCTCAATAAATTGCAAAATAAACATGATGTAATTAACAAGATTATTCACTTGAAGGCGAAAACTACAGATCAATATTCCTGACTTGAAATGCAAGAGAATGTTCTTGAGCAGGCAGGAAAACTGAGATATAAATAAAAAAAAGGGTCCAGACAATTTGGAAATGCTGTAAGAAATCATCAAGAAATGCTAAAGACAAGATTTTCTACAAACCAACCGACATATAAATGACTATACCAAGTCCAACCCCCTAACGTTTGGAATACTGTGGAGCTTTACGAGCCTTCTTGAGCCCAACTTTCTTCCTCTCCACGACCCTGGAATCCCTTGTCAAAAGCCCTTCTTTCTTCAACGGGCTTCTATGGTCCGCACTCACCTTCAGCAATGCACGAGCAACGCCGAGGGAGATTGCCTGAGCCTGTCCTGAAAGGCCACCCCCATGAGCTTTCACAAATACATCGTAACTGCTTTCATATCCCAATGTCACCAATGGAACTTTTATATATTGCAGCCATAACGGATTCCCTTGAAGATACTCCTGCATCGAAAAGGCAATTCTAACCAGACTTCTTAGGTTGTCTTTGGGTCTTAACTTTTCTACCTGTTTGTTTTTTTCCTTTTGGTTCTAGGACTTGATTTTGCCCAAATATTAACACAGACAAATCATCAAACATCTGAAAGACAACTGATTAATTGCTATTACGGAACGCTAAAGTCTAGAAATTAACACGTAAACATAACCCAGAAACCGAAGAGTTCAAAGTCACCTTGGCGTCACGGTAGTTGATGATAAATTTTCCGGTGCCTTCCTGGAGAACCACGCGAGCAATGGCGCATTTCCTGCGGCCCGTCCCTATAATAGTCTGAGCCGCGAAACCACCCGGGAGCCTGGATTTAACGTACTTTTTGAGGTTCTCTACCGGCTCCGATTCGGCAGGGGCTGCCACGGTGGCGGCGATGTAGAAGGAACGGGAAGTTTTGAAGAGAGAAATGGGGAAGGATTTCGGTGGTTGGGGAAATGAAATACTGTTTGGATTCCTGGAAATTTGAGAGGAAAATGATAGAGAAGAAAGGGACGATGTAAGGGAAGATACAGAAAGAGCCATTTTTTCTCTTAATTTTAATGGATTGTGATTAGAAATTTGGTGGTCTTTTTGTGAAAGAGTCGAGAGAGCACCTGAGACTGGGAGAGGATAACGAGAAATGAAAAGACGATAGCACCCTAAGCACGTAAATGCTAAAACGACGTCGTATTGTTTGTGCAATAATAATGCAACGTTGAACTTTCGAAGTCATCGAGTTTTTGAAATGCGTACAACGAAAATGAAACATAGATTACAGTTTTCATCTTCAAAGCAGGAAAGCATGGATTTCTTACTTGTAAACGTGATTAATAAGTATATAGTAGTGGGGAGTTGATTTCAGCTTGCCAGAGAAAAACAGGGGGCATGCATTGATGCCATATCCATGGCTGTTTCCAAGAATTGACAGCAGTCGAGCCCGATAAAAAGTTGAAACAATGTCATTTTCCAATTACTTATCCTAAAGGATATGCACTTAACATTCAACTCAATCCTGAATGCGAAAATTTGAACTATTCAGCTTGGTGGAGATGAATTCAATCACAAATGGTCATGTCAGCATTTTGAGCTGCTTCTGCTAATTTGTGGAAACCTACAAGTATAACCAACTAGTCAATTTTTGCTAACACATTGCCTTCGAAGTTCTCGTAAATGCTTAACAAAATGATCCCCATGAACAAGCGATAATTTCCGGACCCTAAGTACAATCAATGCCCTCCAGTTAATCCTCCCCATCTCTTGACACGGCTCTCTGCTTCTTCAGCCTGCATATGAGAACACTTCTGATTCAGATTTGCTTTGAATTGAACAAGTTAAATGGATTAGTTTTTTAAAGCATGATTTAGGGTAGGAACAGAGAGTACTGAAGGGCAGGGATACTAAATTCCTTGTTCAGAAGTAATAATAAAGATAAATGAAGAGTGGGATATCGAAATCAAATCTTCCCACTATTACATTCTTTAGCATTTGAGATTGCAAAATTAACAGGAAGGATTGACTTGTAAACTATTTATCAACAAGTTATCACTTGTCAGGAACCTTGGGAGAATAGGCACAGTAAAGTTACAATAACCCCAGAACCAAATGTGAACCCAAGGAGTATGCCAGCCGGTAATCCAACAATATAGTAACACCCAGTATTGATGTATGCAACAAGAGATTGCCATCCAGCTCCAACAGCAACACCTGGAGGAATCAAATTGTGTAGGAAAAAGAAAAAGAATTGACAAAAGAGTAACTTCAATCAGCCGGTAAAGTCTAGCTTAATTCAGTGTTTCCTCAAACTTCTATTTCTTGTACTTACCAGATAAGACCGGTTGGAGGCTGTTTAAGAGTACAGTAAACCCCAACAACATAGCTAGCTTGGTAGTTTCTTCGGCAACAGCAATACTGTTGGTGAAGAGGTAAGGGAAGTAATCTTCCGTGTTGAATAGCACAATCATGCAAACAACAACCCCTATGCCCACAGATGTGATTGAAACAACTAGCACAGAAAATTTTCCAAGCCTAGCGTTCCCAGCTCCAAGTTCATTTGATACTCTCGCACTAATAATCAGACAAATGGAATTTGGGTATAGTGTGACCTAAGCCGACAAAGTTTCGGCAAGCCATTGGTACCCATCTAATTTACTGTACAATTGCGAGACCAATTTAACATAGCAAAAGCCCATTTAAGGCCCATAAATAGATATAGAACTACCTAGACCCAAATTACCCATAAAATTATACCTGTCATTTTTTCATTCATAGCCCTGTTAGCTACTAATGATTTTGATTGATATTGTCGTGGAAGCAGCTCATGCTTGAAATGTAGAAGAGAGAAATTCACAGAGCAGGCACATATCTCAATATCTCTTCTCCCGGTATTGCCGTATTGGAACCCTCTCGCCAGGCCCGCCCACATTACCGTATGGTTGGGTTGGGAGACCTCAATTACAGGCTTCAAAGGCATCAATGCACACCCACTGAAACTTAATACAAAGAAACCTCCACAGAGTCGGTCAATCTTACCATTTTCTCAATGTATCTTTCATTAGTGTTCATCATAGCCCAAATACCTGAACTTTTCTGTTTACTTGTTGCTGTTGCAGCTGCTTACAATCAAAGATCAACTCCTTTAGGAGGCCGAAATTGTGAGGGAACACTCAAATTCAAACCAACGTATGATACTGGAAGTAGCAACTACGATCACATTCTATCCTTCAAAAGGATTGATGTGCAATATTATCTTCAAACAACGGATTCTCTGTTTTGTAAAATATCTTGCTAATATAATTCTGCATGAATTTTTCTCTCCTCTCTCTAGTTTTCTTGTAACTTTGACAGGTAGGAGTTCCATCATGGACTGATCGAATCTTGTTCAAGATAGAAGATCCTGACAAAATCAGTGCAAGTTTGCACTGTTACGATAACATTTATAGTTCTGACCATAAGCCAGTGAGAGCCCTCTTTGCTTCAAAGTTGGCTAATACTAGTAGTTTCACAGGCCACAGTTAAGTGCCAATCGGGGGGAAAAAGAAAGCCCTTGTACTTCTATTTGCTCCTTTATATTTGCCCCAATATTACTTCACAGGAAACTATTTCTGTTCTCTTTCTTCCCCAAGCTTAGACAATTGACCCATTTGATCATTTTTTTTCTTGAATTTAGGATGACATTAAAGACAATGGAAGAAAACTGATGAATGTGTAATTTGTCTGCGTATATGTTTTTCAGTTCAAGCTTTCATATCCAGCTCTCGATTTCATGGCCTGAACGAGGTGACTCAGCCCACAATTCAAGGATATGTTGGTCAATTTAATATGACGATCCATGAAGGCTTCAATCTTTTCATATAACGCGTTTACAATTGACAAGCTATAACGAGAAATTATAAGTTAAGAAACCAAAACTTTGGTTCACACTTGGGAAGTGGTCAACTACTGGAATTGATCCTAGAAGGCAGCTTAAACTTCTTCCATCCCTATGTGGAACCTACGGTTTGGACATTTCACAATCGTTTCACATGTAAACTTCAACCCAAATCAAACAAAAAAAAAAAAAAAGGAGATTGGCACCAAAGCCATATTTGTTGACATTGACTTGTTGACAACTACCGCTTACTCCAACAAAAATGTGGTGTTCTTCGTTTAATTCACTAGTCTAGATTAACCTTAATCTTTTTTTAATGTAATTTCCATTTACTTTATTTAAATTAGAATTTGCAGTCACAAATTTTTTATAAAGAACAAATATCACTAATTTAATCATTGCTCATTTAAGCTAAATTTGCATCTATTTATCACTATTAAACCCGAAGGTTGATTGTTTAGCCAAATCTAGATGCTGCCAATGCATATTAATCAGCAGCAATCACAAATTTATACCCACTCTCGGGTTATTAATTATCCATTCTGGAAAAAGAAAATGCAATGACAGAGAAAGACAGAAAGAGAGAGAAACAATGATGAGTCTTTAGATATGCGTTTTTAACCTTTTTGCAAGTTAGTGGGATTGGAATCTTTACCAAAAAGTCTATTCTTTTTCTCTTTTTAAAAGGTGAAATGCCCAATTGGGTTTGATGAATCCTCGTCAATCCCTTTGTGGTTATGACAAAAAATCTTCAATTTTGCACGGTTTTTTCATGTTTGACTTTGAATTTGCGTACAATTGAAGAACACCTCTTTTCTTAACTTATTTGTCTTCCATCCCCTGCCATGTTAAATGATGTCATAAACAAAATTCCTTAACTCTTTTTTTTAGGGTTTTGAGCATGGTAGATTCTTCTTTGGAGCCAAAGAAACAAAGGGTGTCCATATTCTTCCTTGTTCTTTGCATTCTTGAATAGATTATTCATTTTCATACACAAAAGAGAAAGACTGAAAGAGAAAGGAAAAAAAAAAAGAAAGAGAAAGGGAATATCCAGCTTTTTAGGACTGAAAATTTGCAACTGTTTTGGTTAATTTTGAGATCTCATCTGATTAGGTCTCTTCTGCATTGTTCTTCCACCCTTGCTGCAGGTTATTGATTTGTTTGAGGTGAGTCATTTCTCCTCTTGTTTGATTCTTTACCTTTTGTTCTTTAAGGACCTGCATTTCAGTCATTATATGTCATGAATTCTATGGGCATCCTGAGCTGGCAAGAATCTGTGTTTTTTTTTTTTTTATCTCATTCTCTTTCTTTTTTTCATCTCTCTTGATATTCACTTGGTATGGCGAGAAATTTGATGCTTTTCACTTATTTTTAGCTTAAGCATTCTGGGGTAGCACAACGCCAGGTGGGTGATTTGGATTGCTATTTGTTTATCCTGGTTTGACTTGCTTGCATTGATGACAAATGCAGCTGAAATGATGTAATCTATTTAGGCAATTGAGATATGCTGCCAATTGTCTATGAAACCCTGTTATTAAATATAAAATAGTTTATCTGCCTAGCTTATAGGAATCCTTCTAGCTCAATAAAATGACAATTACTGGCATTTTCTCCCATTATCTTATTTGCTGTGTTTTAATAATCTTCTATATTAGAATATTGAAGCTTCTGTCAAGCTGTGTTCATTTATGATGTTTTGCGTAAAAGTGTACATTTCTTTCCTTTATCTAAGCATAAATTGCAGAACTTCCTTCATTTTGGTTTATTATTTAAATTTACTGTCCTTTTTTTTAGAAAAGTTATTTTGCAATATTTGTGGACTGTGTGTTTATTTGCTTGGTTTTATGTTCTATTTGCAGGCAGAAACCTTATCGGTTTTCAGCAGATAACATTTTGCATTATGGATTGGATTAAAAAAATGTTTAAAGGCCGTGCCCATAAATTTTCAGAGGGACATTATGATGGACATTATGCAGAGGATCCTCAATTTTATGCACCTTCTGTCACAAGGGTATTTATATCTGTTACTGTCTATCCATTACACTTTCTGTGTTGCTATTTCTATGTTCTCAGCTTTTTTGATGATTTTATCCCATCCTACTTCCTTTAATGCTCTACTGGGACATACGTACAGGTCATATAAGTTAATGGCTTTCGCTAGGTTGTGTAGTAGACATGTTAAACAAATTAGATTATGAAGCATGGGTTGCATCAAAGGATCCTTTCTTACACAAATAAGTCAATTGGAATATTTGAGTTAGTTTTATTAGCTTCTATATGTTGTCTATGTTATATCTTGGTCTCAACCTGGAATGTAGGATGCGTGGCAGGAGCAGGAGAATGAAGAGATAGATCGCGTTATTGCCCTATCCCTTCTAGGGGAAAGTCAAAAGGGGAGAAAAGTAATAGGTCAGTAGCATGTCTACCCAATGTTATCGTGAATGTTCTTGTCAGCTGTACTCTATGATATCAGCCAATTACTTGCCAATGAAATGTTCTCTCTTCCCTACTTATCCTTATAATCTAACATGCTATAATTTGAATTACTAAGTTTCTCAAATTATTGGGTAGATGATGAATCTCAACTAGAGGAAGATGAGCAACTTGCGAGAGCTATACAAGAAAGCTTGAACTTTGAACCTCCATCCCGATATGAAAATGCAAATACATATCAACCTATAGAAGTTCATTTTCCAATGGGATACAGGTATATTAATATGCCATTAGCTGCAATAACTATTTCATACCAGCTCATTTAATCAGGTTAAATATGGATTTATCTTTGATCTTTTTTCCTGAAAATGTATGCTAAAAATGGCTTTCCTTGGCATAAATTGTGCTGCATTTCATTCAAACATCTGTTATTATAGCTTAGAGTCAAGATCATTTTTGCTCCCGTGACCAAATTATACTTTTTCGTAGGATTTGTGCTGGTTGCAATACTGAGATTGTTCATGGAAGATTTCTAAATTGCCTCAATGCATTTTGGCATCCAGAATGTTTCTGTTGCCATGCTTGCAACCTCCCAATTTCTGATTATGAGGTACAAACTTATGTTTAGTAGACTATCAATGTTGCCACCTATTGTGCCTTCACCTGATGTTTGATTGACGAATAAGCTAATTTAGACTTTCTTATGCAGTTCTGTATGTCTGGGAATTACTGTTATCATAAATCTTGCTACAAGGAGCACTACCATCCAAAGTGTGATGTCTGCAACCACTTTGTAAGCTTTTTTCTTGCATGAGGCTTATGTTCTATTTATTATAAATTTGGGTTCTTTGTAATTTATTCAATGCATAAATGTTTAAGGCAAGTTTATTTATGATTTTCTGTTAGTGCATTTATATATATTTAACGAACTTATAGTAATACCAAATCTCAAGCTTGTTTTTTATGTTTTCCAGTTTTTCTTACCTAATAATGAATTCCAAGTGCTAAATAAACCTAAAACCTGAAAGTCATATTAGTACATACGAATGTCATGTACGAGAGTCTTATGAAGATATGATGCCATGAAGCGTAGTTTGTAGTTGATGTCCTTGGATGCATTTCCAAGTTTTAATGATGGAAAGTAGTGGAAGGGAACTTGGAATTCCAAAAGAAACCATTGGATATGGGAAACCTGTATGTGCATATCATGTTCATATCTTCTAATATCTTCTATTGTATACTGTTTTAAGTAGTTTTGAAACAGAAGAAAGTAAATCTATTGTTCTTATGCACTTTCACTCATTGCCAGTTGGTGTTGTCTTTTGGGATATATACTTTTGACAGATTCCAACAAACCCTGGTGGTCTTATTGAATATAGGGCACATCCTTTTTGGATCCAGAAGTATTGCCCTTCTCATGAACATGATGGTACTCCACGATGCTGCAGCTGCGAGCGAATGGAGGTGAGTATGATGAAATGCACACATCTTTCTAAGTGCATTCAGGTTTCCAAAGTAAAATGTTGACTATTTCTGAATAAGAGAAAAGGACGAAAGCTTGACATTTTGCTCATAATTTACAGCCACAAGGCATGGGATATATTGCCCTTAATGATGGACGGAAGCTCTGCCTAGAGTGTCTGGACTCTGCGGTTATGGATACCAAGGAATGCCAACCCTTTATCTGGATATACAAGAATTTTATGAAGGTTTAAATATGAAAGTGGAGCAGCAAGTTCCATTACTTCTGGTTGAAAGACAAGCTTTGAATGAAGCCAGAGAGGGAGAAAAGAATGTAAGGGCAAAAGTGCTGAAATATTGACATCAAATATAATTTCTAGGACTGTTCTCCTTAGTTATTTCAGATGTTTGGCGAAATATCTGTTTTCAGTCTTGTCTGACTGCTATTGGAACACCATTGTCATAATTCTGCTTCTAAATGTCATGGAAATACTTGCAAGCAATTGTTCTTTCTTCTTTATATTCTATGATTGCATTCTAAAATTTGTCTTGGTCAGGGTCATTATCATATGCCAGAGACTAGAGGACTCTGCCTTTCCGAGGAGCAAACTGTCAGCACTGTAAGAATATTTGAAATTCTCTTTTGCTTTAATGTTTGATAACTTGAAAATTTGCATCAGTAGTGTTTATATTGCTCAAAGATTTATACTATCTTCAACCTGAAATCATCAGATTCTAAGACAACCAAGATTTGGGACAGGAAATCGAGCCATGGACATGATAACAGAACCCTACAAATTGACACGTCGATGTGAGGTGGCCGCGATTCTCATTTTATATGGCCTGCCAAGGTATTGTATTATTTGCCACAGTTTCTAATTTCTAAAAACCTTGGTGCCCTTTCTGCGAACCTTGCATATTTGTAGCCCGATGATGCTAACGTTGATGTTTCTTTTAACACTGCAAGTTTAAGTAATGTTGATGTATTTGATGCAAAATTGATAATTTTCTATCATGCAGGTTACTGACTGGGACAATCTTAGCCCATGAGATGATGCATGCATGGATGCGACTTCAAGGTGCTTTCTGTTTCCATCATAATGTGTAGGAAAAAAGTGTTCTTTTTCCCCCATCTGCAGCAAACCGGAGATATTGACACATATGCTACTTGTTTGTTAGGTTTTCGGACTCTTAGTCAGGATGTTGAGGAGGGTATTTGTCAGGTATTAGCACACATGTGGTTACATACCCAGCTCGAATCTGCTTCAAGCAGCAATGTTGCATCTGCTTCTAGTAGATTAAAAAAGGGTAAAAGACCTCAATTTGAGAGGAAGCTTGGGGAGTTCTTCAAGCATCAAATTGAATCAGACACTTCCACTGTATATGGAGATGGTTTCAGAGCAGGCCATCAGGCAGTTTATAAATATGGTCTTAGAAGAACCCTTGACCACATTCGGATGACTGGGAGGTTTCCTCACTGAAACCCCAAATTCTCAAACACTTCCCCTTTTCTTTCAAAGAGTTAAACATCGGCCTTTATCTATTACAACCAAAGACCCAACCACACACCATGATGGCATTATCATGTCTCTATAGAGTTAGGTTTCATACGTACTACTAATCTTCATTCCTTGTGGCTGTCAGTGCCATTCTTCATTTTTATATCTTCTTTTTCATGAAATTATTTATTCATTTCATGTATAAGTGCAATAAAAATTTTATTAAGATTTAATTTTAAAAAATAATTTCAACTTTGTCGATGCAACTGAACCCAAAATCTCCGGTTTAAAGATTCATTAGAATAGACAATGAGATTGGTTTCGATGAGATTAAAAATATCGGTAAAGGTAATATTTGTTATTATAATAGTGATATTAGTTACTGTAACGAAAAGATTAAAATCAATGATAAATATATATATTTAAATATATATATTTGAATGTAAATACAACGATGACGTTGAAATGAATTGTGATAAAAAGATAAATAATCATTAAGGATAATAAATTAAAATTTATATATAATAAAAATTTTAATTATTTGATATTTATAAAAATAATTTTAAAATATTAAAATTATATTTACGTCAAATAATAAATTTTTTAATAAATAGTTAAAAATTAATAAAATGATAGTAATATATGAAATGATTTTTTAAAATATATAGTGAATTATCAACTTTTTTTGATAAAATAGTAATAAAAGGATATTGAGAGGATAACAGAGTCAAAAAGGTTTGGTGGCTTGCCACACCTCTTTCTCACCAGTGAGCAATCGGGCTTTCAGTGGTGCCATGTCAGCACAATCGTGCTATAGCTTTGTTACCCAAACGAAAATTTACAGTACGTTTACATCAAAAAGATACTTCATCGCACCGAACAGTAGACACGATTGAAACCAAATGAACCTAAGTCTTTAAAACTTCAGCAAAGCATGGAAGTGGAAACCGGCATTTCCTGGCTACACAAAGATTATGATTGATGCTCCTATTCCCAGTTATGACCTCGAAATGCGATATTGGATTCTTCTCCGACGGCCAAAAACGCTCATTATTCCATAACTCTGAAACTTAAACCAATGTTCAAGGAATGCGGTTACCAATACGATGTTGATCAAAGGTTCGTGTAAAAATTTGAGATAGAGGAAGCAGAGACGGTGATTGAAGAGATGCAGGAGTTGATGGTTGTAAATGACTATGTGTCACGGGCCGCGGTTCCTAATTCTGAAACTATGCGTCCGTATGATATTAAAACTATTTATAATCGAGTTCAGCCTTTCCTCAAGTCCATTTTTTTTTTAACAGCTCAAGTTCGATCTTTCAAGTCACATACTCAAGAGTCTTTTTTAGCTTTGATTCCGTGGGGTCGTTCATTTTGAACTCTACAAAAAGAAATTCAACTCCCATAGCTCATCAGCTCATAATTTTTAAAGTGGCCCTGAGCACCTATCTATATCCGTAGAGCTTAAGGTCTAGAGCACCGATCCCGAATTCTCATAGGCGTGTATAGTTCCGATTCTCCTAATATTATTGCTTCTTGTCATGATGAAAACTCAACACGATGCCCACCTGTCTCATACGCAAGCTCTTGTATCAAGATCCCGCAAGCACAACACTTATGCTAATCAACAACCAGCTCAAAGCCTTTAAACTCATTTAATCCCACAAGACTCAGTTCTTAGAGCTTAGGCCCTTAGCCTCAATTTACGCGGTTCGCACGCATAATTGACACTCAACATCATGCTAGTCCCGCAAGAAGATTTGGAGAGTTGCAGCACACCTTTACTGATTGGCCACAAGAGTTTAGCAACATAACTGCCTGTTAGCCTGCTCATCCCTCAAGCTTGATGGTGCCCCTCTTATGCAAACACAATCTCATGATCCTTCTGGCTCAATGAAGAGAAATCGAGGGGCATAATGAACTCTATCGTGTAACCTAATGGCTCAACGTGAAGGCATGATGCAAAGATCGTTGACCCCAACCGTCCTCGAGTTTACCATGATCCAAAGAGATATCGTGGCATGCTCATGACACAATGCCCGTCCACCTAGACACTACTAATGCCTAGAAGTAACTCACTTTAGACTGACCAGGCCCTTGCCTGCCGTTAGCCAAGAAGGTGGTGGAGAGTTGACACGAGCGTAAGAGATTTTCTCAGTCTCCTACCAGGAGACGTAAGACTGTCTGAAATTGTGACACTTTTCTCTCCAACCATCTTGGGATCTTTCTCCAGCTAACTCATGGCCCGTAACCTTCTTTTTGGTCACCATAATTCTCTGATTCTACTCGTTGCTCCACTAACTCACTCGAAGGTGCTCGCACATGGTTTCGATTGACAACATCTGACTGGCTAATTGGTCCTAGGGCACCACGCACTGCCTCACACTTACCTGCATATCTTGGAGTTTAGGACTCAGACTATTCACACACAATATCCACAACATATTCTACTCAAAATGCTCGCACACAGTTTCAACCGATGGTACCTGATTGGCTAACCGGCTCTAGGGTGTCTGACCACTGGCTTGAGCTTACCCGCGTATCTTGCAGTCAGTGCTCTCACTACCCACACAATATATTATTAACATGTTTCAATGCTTAAACTGCATGCCCGCATCTCTTAAAATAACTTTTCCATCAGCTTGATCTTAACCGCTGCTCAACTCGGGTTCAATCATGACAAGATCAAGGCACACCAAGGCCTGACCGTGACATTACGCTTGTGGTGTGCTGTTAAATGGTTATTGTCAAGTTGGTAAAATGGATGATGCTGCAATGTTCAAAATGGGACTGAAGATGAATTTGTTTGTTTCCAATTCATTGATCGACGGGTATTGTAAGGTTGGTAAAACTCATGAAGCAGAAAGAGTGTTGATGTGTACCGGTGATTGGAATATAAAGCCGGATTCATTTAGTTATAATACTCTTTTGGATGGGTACCGTAGGGCATGCCACATGAGTGAGGCATTCAAGCTTTGTTGAGGAATTGAACCAAGTGTTGTAACTTACAATACCCTTCTCAAGGGTTTATGTCGTGCAGGTGCCTTTAATGATGCTTCGCACCTTGGGCATATGATGCTCAAAAGAGGGTTGATCCCTGATGAGGTCGGTTGTTGTATTATGCTAGGGGTCTTTGTCAAGATGGGAGATGTTGAAAGTGCTTTAGGATTTTGGAAGAAAGTATTTTAGCCAGCGGCTTTTCCAAAAATAGGATTGTTTTTTAATACAATGATTAATGGATTATGTAAGATCGGGAAAATGGATGAAGCAAAACAGACACTTGGCAAAATGAAGGAACTAGGGTGCTTACCAGATGGAATAACATATAGAATCCTGATTGATGGGTATTGTAAATTGGAGAAATCGAAGAAGCTTTTAGCTTAAAAGATAAGATGGAAAGGGAAGCAATTATTCCTACAAGTGAAAGGTAAAATTCTCTTGTTAGAGGAGTTTTCAGGTCTAGAAAACTGAGTAAACTAGAGGATCTTCTTACTGAAATGTGTTCCAGGGGACTAGCCCCCTATATTGTTACTTATGGGCCTCTGATTACCGGTTATTGTGATGTAGGAAACTTGAATAAAGCCTTTAGCATATACTTTGAGATGACTGAGATAGGGTTTGCGCCCAATATAATTATTTGCAGCAAAGTAGCAAGTTGCGTATACAGTCTTGGCAGGATTGATGAGGTAAATATACTGTTGCAGAAGATGGTAGGTACTGATCCTCCCTTAGCTCACATGGGTTTGGATAGCTTGAAGACTGATGTTAGATGCCTAAACATTCAGAGAATTGCAAGTACTCTTGAGGAAAGTGCCAAAAGTTTTTCTCTGCCCAGCAATGTGGTATATAATATAGCAATTAAAGGAGTATGCAAGTCTGGCAAGGTTGATGATGCGAGGAGATTTCTTTTCAGCTTTGCTGCAACAAGGATTCAATCCAGATAATTTTACATATACCACTTTGATTCATGGGTATTCAGTCTCTGGTAATGTCAATGAAGCATTCAGGTTATGGGGTGAGATGCTGAAAGTGAGTCTTAAGCCAAACATTGCTATCTTGGATAAAAAATAACAGTTGGAAGGTAGAATCACTGTCTATGGAGAACAGCCAAATCATGTGATGGCTGTCTCCAAGTAGTTTAAGGATAAAACCAACACTAGACTCCATTTTGATCATATAGATCCTTTTTAGTGCCAACAAAACCAACTTAAACAAAAAGTTATAGGGCAACTGTGTGCACAAGGGAAGAGAGGATGCACAAAAAGGTGATGCTTCCCTTTTCCAAATGGTAGGGTTCTAAGTTCTAATTGGCGAGTGCTGACAACAGAGAAATGCATACATGATACAACATCATCTAGTATAACTATTATAAGAAAAGGAAAAGATGCAAGAAAAGAAAAAGCCGAATTAGTGAACTAAGGTTTATTGCAGCCACTAAAACACAATGATGCATTTCAACCATTCAGGAGAAAAAAAAAAAGATTTTCTAACGCATAAACACTAAAGCACGATAGCTGCATTCCATATATTAATGGCAACCTTCAAATGAACAAAAATGAATATTGAAAGTACTATACCATATAGACAATTCTTCAATCACTAAAAAGGAAAAAGAAAATGCACTCTTAGATTCACGGAAAACATTGGATTGACACTCCTAACATAAGCTAGCAATTTAAGCTCTGAATGCAGGACTATTGAAAAATCATAGCAAAGATAACACAAACAATGATAAACAGAAACAGCATTTTCAGATAATGATCCTGCTGTACTTGAGCGGTACGGTGATGATGATAGTGATGGTGATGATGAAATCCATGAGCATGGCCACCGTGATATGAATTTGAAAACCCATATGGAAACCCAGCAGCCGGACCATACATCGCTGCATCAGGAAACCCATGCACCTGAGGGTTAAACAAAGATGGGATAAGACCACCAAAGGCCGCAGACAGTGTGAAATTCCCAAACCTACCCGTTGCCATTGGAGCAAAACCTCCCATTAACCCAAACCCATTTTGGGGAAACTGATTTGGATCTGGTGGAGGAGCCGTTTCAGGCCTCTGTCCGGCTGGACGATTCGGAATACTAACACCCGGGATGGATTTAGACCTAGGATCACTAGATGATTTTCCCCTTCCATACAAAGGAACCAACTTTTCTTCCTCAATAAGGGCCTTACAAACAGGACATTCATGAGAACGGGAATGAATATGCAGCCATTTGTAAAGGCAAGGCCAGCAGAAAAGATGACCACATAAAGTGACAATGGGGTCTTGAGCTAAGTCAAAGCAGATATTGCACTCAAAATTACCAGCATCACTGTTGGAATTGTTGCTAGAGCAAGATGGATTCTGGGGCACTGACTCCCCAAACCCACTTGCCATTTCTTAGACTTCGATTCCTATCAAACCAAATTGGAACCAAAATAAAAACCACATATAAAATTCACCAGAAAATTTTAATTCAACGTCAGAATACAAAATAACCATCTTCTTCCTAAAAAATGGCGGAATTGATATAAACATCAAAGCCTCTAAGATTAATATGATTTTGAAAAATTAAATAATCTCTAATCCAAAAAACCCTCATATCTCTTATGAAAATCAGCATCAGTAATTACAAAAAATAAATAAATAATTCAAAACGATTAATCAACGATAAATATTTGAATATCGCATCGGGATTCAACAGTAACATAATTAAATGCAAAAAAAAAAAAATCAAAAATTAAAAAATATATATAAAGAGAGAGAAATGGCGAATTACTGACCTTCAAAGAGAAAGATGAGATCGAAGGACCGATCGATTAAGCAACTGACCGATCCAAAAGAGTCAACGAGCGAACATTACAATTCTTTTCCTTCCTATAATAATCCTAGTTCTATGTTTTAGCGCGTGACGTTTCGGTGAGTTTGGGTTTGGAGGAATCTTCTCCCGATGAGGCAGGGACTACACGTGGCGCCAATCTAGTTGTTGCTTTTTCTTGACTTGCTTGAGCTGTTGATGAGATCGCGCTAGTTCTTTGGATTGTCGGTTACTGCGTCAGAATGTGAATGCGTAAAGGGTCCGCGTTGATTTAACTGCTGTCGCTTTGACTTCTATTTTTTTTGTTTCGAGAAAAAAATAAAAAGCCTTTTTCTTTTTTATTAAGGATAATTTTTTAAAAAAAATTAAATTCAAACATATTACTAAATATAAATGAAATATGATCTAAAATTTGGTACTTGAAAATTTACTTATAACTTTTTTATGGCCCGTGAATTGTAAAATTGCAACTAATGGATCATTGAAATTGAGAATTAATATGAACATATAGGATGCAAATTGATTTGTACTATGACATTATAAACAAAATTAAAAAAATGTGGAAATCATGAAGAATGATAGAGAAGTGCATTAATTTATATTTTATATATATTATAGTGAATTATTAATTAACTCAAATTAAATTTTTAAAAAAATTTAGATACGTAATATTTTTTATTTAAGTAAGATATTCTAGATGTGTTGATGTAATACTATTTAATTTTTAATTAAGTTACCTAAATCAATATATTTTATGCTAATTTTTGTTTATTCATGTATTGCTTGTTAGATGAGTAATATTTATTTTATTTTAGCACGACATTCTAGATGTGTTAATGTAATTCTATTTAATTTTTAATTAAGTTACCTAAATCCATATATCTTATGTTAATTTTATTTGTTCACGTATTATTATTTTTTTTAAATGTATTTGACCAAATTAAGGCTAGAAACGTGATTCATCTTCCTGAGTCTAAGGCAGTTGTGAATTAAATTTAAGAATATAAAGATTTGTATAACATAATTTTAACAAAGAGAATTAGAAATTAATGAAATGGGTTGATGCAAGGAATCATGGATGTTGGTGCTTTAATTTTTTTCATAAGGAATTTTGATCACACAAAAATCAAATTAGTAAATGATAATGTTTTAACCTAAAACATTTAATAAGAAGTATACATTGAAGATTTTATTTTTGAAAGGCTCTTTTCAAACATTTAATTTTGATTGATATGAAAAAAAAAAAATCTCTTGAAGCATATTAGTTTATAACAATTTACTATTTTAGATTAATTTTTATAATGTAACAAGATATAAATAAATATATATAAAGAAGGATAAATTTATTTATATATATATAATCAAATGATATGAAATTTTGCTTTGTTATGACATATTATAAGGGAACCAAATTATTAGAGATGTTCATTCGATTGATTTAATTAATTTTAAAATAAATTATTTTTAAATTAAATTAATCAAATTATTTTATTTTATTTTTGTTAATATAATCAAATTTTTTTATTTTAAAAATTAAAGAGCTAAATTAATGCAATCAGTTTGATTAATTTTTTATTATTCTAACAATAAAATATATTAAATTAAATTATATTTAAAATATTTTATATTTAAAATAAATTAAATAAAATCATTTTATAAAAATATTAAATTATTAAATTAAAAACTTGAATAATTTTAATTAAAATTTTGATTAATTTATTTTTTAAATTGAATTATTAAAAAATTTTAAATAATTATTTTAAATAATTAATTAAAACTAATTCAATAAATAATTAATTAATCGAATTAATTCTATTGAAATCCAATTTTAAACTTCAACGAGCTAGCACGGCTGGTCGGAAGGATGGGCCACCTATTAATTTATTTTTGTCATTTCAAATAACAAAAACATCGTTGGAACCGGGTCGGTGACTTCCGAACGCCAAATCTCCAATCACTTTCTGTCGGTCTGTCCGTCTTCTCGAAGGTACATATAGCGCGCGCCGTCCTTCAATTTTCGTTCTCATTTGCTGCCCAATTGGTTTTGTTTCTTAATCCCATCTCCGAACCCATCACTTTAATTAAGTTTGTTTCTTTTATTTTCCCTTCCAAAAATCACGACAAACTGAAACAAAAACGAAAAGAAAATCTTTTTACGGGGGGTTTGATGTAAAAATAAAACCGATCATGATGCAATCCGTGAAATACTGGTTATCAGAGCATCCGTCGATCGTGAACTTTCGTTGGAGCCACACCCAATCGTTGGGTTCTACTTGGTCCTTCCTCTTCTCCTCCATCGCCGTTTACGTCGTCACCGCCGTCACCCTACACGCCTTCCTCTCTCTCATCCTCCATAACCGCCGACGGGTTCCGCTCGGACCAATCCCAGCCATCCACAGCCTCTGCATCTCCTTGATATCAGCTGTCATTTTCGTTGGCATCCTCGTCTCCGCGGCCTCCGAGATTCGCGACACTCGCTGGTTCTGGCGCCGCACGAAAACCATCACCACCCCATTCCAGTGGTTCCTCTGCTTCCCACTCGGAACGCGCCCTTCGGGTCGCGTATTCTTCTGGTCCTACGTGTTTTACCTCTCCCGTTTCCTTCACCTCTTCCGAACATTCTTCACCGTCCTCCTCCACCGTAAATTAACATTCTTTCACCTCTTTAACCAATCAATCCTTCTATGCATGTCTTTCCTATGGCTCGAGTTCTCTCAATCATTTCAAGTCCTAGCTATTTTGTTAGCCACTTTATTATACTCCGTAGTGTATGGGTATCGCTTCTGGACGGCGATTGGGCTGCCAAGCGCCTGCTTCCCGTTCGTGGTGAATTGTCAGGTGGTGCTTTTGGGGTGTAACTTGGTCTGCCATTTTGGGGTTCTTTCACTGCATTTTCTGAAAGGTGGGTGCAATGGCATGGGAGCTTGGGGTTTCAACTCTGTACTCAACGGCCTGATTCTTTGGCTGTTCCTCAATTTCTATGTTAAGAGGCATTTGAGAAAGAGAAATATCAATGATATTAGTGGACATGGTGGTTCTCCTTCTTCTTCAGCTCGTTCCTGTGGTAGCTTAGAGTCGGAAATAAAGAGTGAGTGATTTTTTTTCACCCACTTTTTTCTCAATAATTTTTGTTTTATTATTATTAGTTTAGGGAGATTAGTAGGTAAAAACTTCTCATTTTTGGTTTTTCTTTCTTCCGATTTGTAAATGCAAGTGCATACATCGAGTATAAATGAACTAATAATAATTTTATTTTTCATTAAAGTTATGATAATGGGCTTTAATTGTAGTAGGCCATGTAATTGTGGGCTGAAGTGATAGTTAAGGAATCAGAGAAGAAGTCCAGGGGAATATTGCTGCTTGCCTACGTAAGCATTGATGACGGCTTTGGAACTCCCACCACCAAAGGCCAAAGCGCAAAGCCTGGTTTTTCCACCAACTTTTTCAAGTGTAATGTTCCAATTATTGGACCAATAGTCAAAGTCTCTCCCTGCACGTTTCCTGATTTCAGCCCCAAAAACGTTGTCACCCGACCGGTCTTTATAGATTTGAAGATTACCCTTTCCTTGTTTTCTCCAAATCTTTATATTCCCAATCCCCTGCCTGTTTCATTCACTCTTTTATCTTTCTAAAGTAACTGTCGCTTCTTCTTTTCACGGCACGAGGTATTATCGGATTAATGTTTCTGTTCTTGTTATTCACTTTCCTTTTTCATGTTTTATTGGCATCCATGCATGATCATTCTTAAGAATAAGATTTTTCGAATATTTTAAAATGGATTTTCCTTGTCTGTCTGGTATCTGTTCTGTTTTGTTTTTGCCAATTCAAACTATTGCTAGGGACAGAGTCGTATGTTTTTCTTTTTCCTTCTTTATTTACTATAGTTTTTCTGCAAATGGACAATTTTGTAATAAATTCAATTATTGAATTAAAGAACATAATAATTAAATACCAAGAAAAGGGTGTCTAATAAATAACTTTATGTGCAGTTATGTTTAGGAATGATTAATTCATTCATGGCTACATATTTCTAAGACTTTTTCATGCCTTGTTATTTGCAGACTTCGTTCAAAGATGATCAGAAAACGACTGGGGGAAGAATTCTACTTTAGAACTAATTAGAATTTAAGGGATATGAAGTTTCTTACTGCTAATGCCAATGCCTCTGACTAGCCAGGAGAATCAGATACTTCTAGTAATTTCTTTTGTTACTTGCAAATGAAGTAATGAATCTGCTCTAGGAGTTGGAACTTGGTACTTGGAAGCTCGTAGCATAATATAGTAAAATTCCAGCTTTTGAAGATAAACCCAGGGTAAAAGGTCCAACTTCTGAGGCCACACATTCATTATTTGTTTTCAAAACCTAACATTGCTGACTTTGAACATTTTTTTTAAGAAATCAATTTGTCTTTAGCCTTTATATATTTGTCTATACCAGTCTCCACAATTGTAGTTGAGTACCCATCCCAGTAGTATACTGTCTGGTTGTAACCTTGGAAGGATCATCGGCAGTGCCTAACTGAGTACCCATCCCCAGTAGCATACCTGTCTGGTAGTAACCTTGGAAGGATTATCAGCAGTACCTATCTGTAACCCAATTCAAAATATGCAACCTTGCATCTTGTAATGTGAATGAGTAGTATGGAGCCATTCCTTTGAGGATGTGAATTACCACCTTGGAAAGATTGTCCTAGATGCTTGATTTCTCTGAAGCCTAATCCACATTAGTTCTGCTCTTTGATGGTCGCCTGTATGATGTGCTTGGTTCATGTTTTTCTTTTAGTTTAGAAGTAGATTTCTGTTTTTACCATGAGTTGCATTTCACTTGCATAAGTTTTTTCTCTGCTCTTAAACTATAGGAACAACTTGAGTGACTCTGAGACCATTATTGCAACTGTGAATCTATAGGAGGAGTAGTCTTTGGACGGCAGCCAGAACAAGATGGAAGTTTGCAGGCCGTTCAAATCTGATGATAAATTAAAGCACCGCCCTTTGACTCCTTTTAGGATTTTGAGGGGTCTGATATGCTTAGTGGTGTTCCTCTGTACTGCTTCTATGTTACTAACCTATTTAGGACCTGGAGCTGTCCTATTGCGATTTTTCAGCATACACTACAGTAGGAAGGCAACATCCATCTTCTTTGGCTTATGGCTAGCTTTGTGGCCTTTTCTTTTTGAAAAAATTAACAGGACTAAAGTGGTTTTCTCTGGGGATAATGTTCCACAAAAGGAACGTGTTTTACTTATTGTCAATCACAGAACTGAAGTTGATTGGATGTACCTGTGGGATCTTGCAATGCGGAAGGGGTGCCTGGGTTACATCAAGTATATCCTTAAGAGCAGCCTGATGAAACTACCTGTCCTTGGTTGGGGATTTCACATCTTGGAGTTCATTTCAGTAGAAAGGAAGTGGGAAACTGATGAAAATGTCCTGCACCAAACGCTTTCAACTTTTAAGAATCCCCGGGATCCTTTATGGCTTGCTCTTTTCCCTGAAGGAACTGATTTTACGTACTTTCCAGAATTCCTTTTATCTTCTATGCTCGTATTGATTCTTTTATAACTAAACCAAATATCCGAAAGATGATATTCTATCAAATATCTTAATTAAAAAACCTTATGATTTATTCTGTGTAGCAATTCAGAACTTTCTAACAGACGAGCTATTTTAGGTTCTATTCTGGTCTGTGAAAATGTTGTTTGCATCTTGATCTTTGAACTCACAAAATGATACCTTTTTTTAGAAAATACCAACTATTCTTGAATGGTACATGACAAGTATTAACGTTTCGTTTGCCATTTGGTGCAGTGAAGAAAAATGCAGAAAGAGTCAAAAGTTTGCATCTGAAGTTGGATTGCCAGTGTTGACAAACGTGCTTCTACCAAAAACACGGGGCTTTTGCCTTTGCTTAGAAACACTTCGGGACGCTTTGGATGCAGGTTCATTTAAAATAAGTTCCGTTGTTTTAATTTTGCTTAATGCCATCTTACTAGCATAGATTTCACAATGCTGGTGACTATACGGTCCATAATTAAATTTTGGTAGTCATTGTGAATGTGTTAGATGATGGATTCATGGTTTCTATTTCTTTTGGCATTTCCTCTTGATATAGCTTCTTCTAAAATTTATACTCCGTCATGTTCTGATATAACCGCAGTTTACGATTTGACAATTGCATATAAGCATCAATGCCCTTTCTTTTTGGACAATGTATTTGGTGTGGATCCATCAGAGGTTCACATTCACGTACGACGTATCCCTGTTAAGGATATCCCAGCATCTAATGCAGAGGCTGCTGCATGGTTAATTGATACATTCAAGCTCAAGGACCAACTGCTCTCAGATTTCAAATCTCAAGGCCATTTCCCTGACCAAAGAACTGAAGAACAACTCTCTACCTGGAAGTCCTTGCTAAATTTTACAGTGATAATTTCCCTGACAGCCATATTCACTTATCTAACCTTTTCTTCCAAGTTGTGTATGATATATGTAAGCTTAGCTTGTCTATTTCTTGCTTACATTACTTATTATAAAATTCTCCCAATGCCAGTTGTAAGCTCTGCTAAACTGCTGTCTTACCCTAAGGGAACAAGAAATGAATAATTTTTCATTATAAGACATTTTAATTGCAGGTCACAATAAAATTTTGCCTTTGAACCAGATTTATTCTGTGCTTTTTATTTTGGTTTTTGTTTCTTGTGAACTGTTATCGAGGATAAACAGTTCAAAGTACACTGGTCAGGAGGAGGCCATCTTGGAGTTTATTGTATCTCAACTCAACTCTCCATTGGGATAACTGACTTGTACAAGAAGCACACATCCAAGTCAAGAAACAGTTCTTCAAATCCACTTCTAGAACCCCATTGGAGGTCTCCAATCTCCATGGGCCAGGTCCATCATCCAATCGAAGAGAAACCAAGGAAAACAGAAGGGAACTACTTTAAAAATGTAACTCAACTGAATTCAGAACATGCAAGAGAAGCTCCCAAAAATAATAGCATTGATCTGACTCAAGATCCTTTATAAAGTTTAACCATGCAGCAGGGAAACAATCTTGTAGCATTAGATTTTGGAAAGAGTTCGAAAGTTTCTTAAGTTGAAGTAGACATCCCAAGTTCATTATTGCTACTACCTAGGCTACAACCGTCTTTCACGAGTTTACTGTTGAGGATTATGGGTTGGTCTCATTAGTGGGATTTTCTTCATTCGGAAATGAATGGATGGATCGACTTTGCCCATGTCTTTGTCAGCTGTAATTGCTTATTACATCCATTCATTTCCATCTCTTTCCATTTGTATATTTGATTTGAGCTAAACTTGTCCAATCTTGGATCAGCTAATAAACCTGCCCCGCATGTGATGTTAAAAATGCAAGTGCAAACTAAACAAGCTGTTGGCAATATTTGATCTCCTCAAGAAAACAAAACTCTGTCAATTTTGTCATCAAAGTCACTTGAAAGACAAGTTAAAAAAAAGTGAGTAATTGAGTTCCTCATCATCCAGTCTGGCTAAATGAAACACTCTATTGGAATTGTTGCCGGTTCTTGGCAACCTTGTTTTGCGTGTGTTTGGTTTTCGTCTGTACCCAACTTCATTATTGCATCACTAGTAAACTTCTTCTTATCTCAGCCCCAGAACATGATTACATGACTGACGACCTCACAAATATTTTAGAAGATTTTACAGCCTTAATAAGCAAGGAATCAACGCGTTCTAGGTGCAGTTAAACGAAATATAGTACTGGAAGAGGTATGGTGAAGGGTGGTGTCTACCGCTGTTTCCTTGTCAAAAACAAACATGGCAATGTCTGCAAAAGTGCATATTTTGTTGGTTTTACTTGATGTCGGGTTTGTTCAACTAAAAGGGCCTAATAACAATCGATTCATCACATAACAGACAAGCTTTTTTCAGCTGTAAGTATCCCAACTTTCACCAAATTAAAGGAAGAAAATTGAAGGGACTTACCAAATTCACTTGGTCACCAAAAATAAAATCTGCAGGGAAAGTTTTCATGCTTGGGTTGAAGGAAAATAATAATTAGAAAAAACAAAGAGATCAAGTCATAATCCATGAAATAGTTGCCGGAAATACCAATGATTAGGCATCATCATGACAATTAATTACAAAGATAAGGAGACCTTTCAGGAATGTGAAATGAACATTTTTATTCTCTTAAACGTGTTGGGTTTTAACTCCATAATAATGAACAATTGAACATCATATGGAGTATGAACAATTGAACATCATGGCCGAAAACATAGAAAAATGCCAAAGTCATGAACAGTTAGTTGGTTGGTCGGAAGTAAATCAATAAGCTGGCAACCATAGACCACAGTCGTAACTGGTAAGAGCTTTGCAGGAAATGAATCCGATTGGTCACCAAGAATCTAATCGTACGTTCATAGTGGGAAAACATGGAAATCGAGTGTGGCTGTCGATTGTCATGTGTTTGAAAAATGAAGTAAATTAACAAAGTATACAAAGAAAAGGCATCTATCTACATTTGGATTATCATTAATTAAGCATCAATTTCAGAAATATATAAAGTATCCATGATGGAACATCATCGTGATTGTCAATTATCCAATCAATTGCAAAAGATATGATTCTTAACTGGATTTAAGTCATGATTAAAGGTCATGTGAAAATTCTATTCATGACGTTGTTTTAATAATTAAATTTTTTATTAAATCTTTAAAGATTTTTTTGATGTAGTGAAAATTCCTCTTATCACACGTCTAAATGAAATTTTATTAAAAAAAAAAAAAGTTAGATCAATTTTCTTGCAACCTGGAATATGAAGATTATCAAATAATTAGCAATCTTCTCAGCTGTTTAAAGAGTTTAATGTCTAGAAGCAATGACATAATAATGAAAGCTTTTCTTGGCGAAATCAGCAATAGCTAAAGGAATCTCCTGCAAACATCTTTGTGATGTCACAACACATACTTTGATTGCCTGTTGAGCAACACGTGAGATTCTCCATAATTATGCTTAAAATTTTTGAAGGAAAAAGTTAGTAGTAATTTACTTGGTGTTTTCAATGGTAAATAAGATAGTGGGAATAAAAAGAAATGTGAAAATCAGATGAAAGTAAGATGGGGACAAAAAATTCATATCATCATCGGACATCAGTTAATGAGTTTATATTTGTAAATAGAAATTAAAGAGGAAAATAGGAAAAAGGGTTGTTTAATTGAGCTGTGAAATGGTGATTTGAGAAAGATTATGGGGAATGGTGGATGAGTGGAAGCAAGCACGTGGTGGTGGTTGTGGTGGTGGTGTTGGTGAAGTGCCGAAGAATGTGTCCGACTAAACCCAAAGCAAGAGATTCAACATTTTAAGTATCTTAACCGACCACGACAAGACCGTGCTAAATTAATTTGAAACATAACAGAGGTATAAATTTTAAAAAGTTGATAATTTACACGATGCTCTCCAAGGGAACCGAAAATCTGATCTTGTTCATTTTATAAAAAAAAAAAATCTAATCTTGTTCACGAAAAGTTGGGACAAATTTTTTTATATTTGCAAGCAAATTTTATGTGGAAATGGACCCTAATATTTTGTTCATTTAAAAAAAAATCTAATTTTGTTCACGAAAAGTTGGGACAAATTTTTTTATATTTGCAAGCAAAATTTATGTGGAAATGGAACCTAATATTAATACAAGAACTTTCTATATAAACTTCCTTCACTCCAAATCCTTCTCATTTATCTCAACATCTTCCTCACAAAACATATAATGGAGATTTCCTCTGGGGTTTATCTTCTTTTTCTATTGAATCTCTTCTCATTTGGTAAATGTCTTCCCTTTATATGCATGAGAACATGAATATATATGTTTGATTGTATTAAGTGTCAAAGTTGTTTGTTTTGATAGTTTATATAAACAAAAAGTTTATCTTTTCAGTATTCAGTCAATGCTTTTAAGGTTTTTGATTCAAATAACATTGACTCAACTTGCTTATAACAACAATTTCAGGGAGGATACTTTCTTCAGCAACCGTTTTTAAACTCCAAAACCATTGCAGTTTCACAGTATGGCCTGGTTCTCTCTCCGGAAACAGTGCTGCCCTTGGTAATGGTGGTTTTGCATTGTCACCTGGTTCATCAGCCCAATTCCAGGCTCCGCCCGGTTGGTCTGGTCGATTCTGGGGTCGAACTGGCTGCACATTTGACAACTCTGGCTCCGGCAAATGCATAACCGGTGACTGTGGTGGCGTGCTAAAGTGCACCGGCGGTGGTGAGCCACCCGTCACCCTGGTAGAGTTCACCATTGCTGGCGGCTCTAGTGACAAGGACTTCTATGATGTTAGTCTCGTGGATGGTTACAACGTTGCCTTACGAGTTGAGGCAATTGGTGGCTCAGGAGACTGCAAATACGCAGGTTGTGTCACGGATCTAAACACTAATTGCCCCGCTGAGTTGCGGGTCATGGATTCGGGTTCCATTGTTGCTTGTAAAAGCGCCTGTACCGCGTTTAACTCGCCTGAGTTTTGCTGCACCGGCGATCATGCTACTCCTCAAACTTGCTCACCAACAAAGTACTCGGAGATGTTCAAGAATGCATGCCCTACGGCTTATAGTTATGCTTATGATGACGCCTCTAGTACTCGGACTTGTTCCGGGTCAGATTATTTGATCACATTTTGTCCAACCATCAGGTCATGAACATGATCATGGTTCATGACCATGGTCTGGGGGAATCTTTATTTGCTATTTATTGCTACTTTCTTAGATAAATTTGATGCTTGGGATTAGTTGAATTACACTATTGAACCAATTGTGTTCTTCATCTTGCTTAAAATAGAAGGTAAGTTCAGTCTTTTAGTTGGCAAATTCTATCTGTTTTAAAATTTGTGTTTGGTTTGTTTGGTGAGAAAGTAAATGAAGTGTACAAATATGAAAGCAAATTTTCTTCAATCTGATGAAATCCAAGAACCAAGAGAAGAAGCCATAAGCTTTGTGTGAGCCACAACATTTATGGGGTAGTTGGGCTGCAGAACTTGAATAAGTTTCTTGTGCTTCCTTTTCAATGTTGTGGGCTTCTAGTTATGGGAATTGATAATGAAATTGGGAGCCTAAGATAGAGAAAATCAATTCAGTCATCTATTCTATATATCAGTACGTATGAGAAGAATTATTACCTAAATTACTTGGATTTCGCACCATTTAAGAAGAGGAAGACCATCATATAAAATATAAAGAAATATATGAGACTTTTCCTTTCTTTTCAAGGCCTTCGGCCATACATTTGGTCGTCCGCTCAGAAGAGCTTTCTTTTTTCTTTTCTTTTCTTTTTTTTCCATTTTTCGTTGCTTTTCAATACATTTTCAATTTTCTCTACATGTGGCTTTCATGGTGGAAAGACAAATCTTGCCCAAATTTTCTAATTGATTTTTGGGCCAAGAACAAACAAACTCTACCCTATGGCACAGTATTACGTGCCACCACCTTTCCTACACTTGCAACCCTTGAAAATTACAAGCCAAAATTAGAAGAAATGGAGGCGAGGAACATGGGATTGGAAACGAAAAAAACAAAGGTGGGGGGCTAAAAGACTAAAACTACATATATTTTACATTCCTTTCAAGGACGTATTGCTTGAAAATAAACTACTTCGCAAGCTATTAAACCATGAAAGCTTAATCTCGCCAGAGCCAGTGCATTGGCCCTCGCCTTCCTCCTCACTACTAAAGAGAGTTTGGTCTGAGCAGTCTAGTGATGCTCCACAAGCTAAATTATACGACTGACATGCTGAATGGCAGACCCGTAGTCTGTTGTTCCCATCATTATCACATTTTTGGATGGAGATCTGGTCATATAGGATTGTGTTTAGAGTCAGGCTCATAAGGAAAAGATGAGCCAAGAACCAAAAGCAAAAAAATAATGGAGATAACTACTGAGAAAAAAATGCTTGGAAACAGAAGAGCAGGGATGAGCTAATTTACCCAGCAGGCCAGTCGCTTGGCAGCTGCATCACAGTAGCTGCTCCCAAAGAGATTATTAAACAATTTTCGAGCACCACCTGGGAATAGACGGTGGTAATTGGGCATGATAACAACTTCTTCTAGCTGCTGTAATATACTTGCCTCACTGGGTGCACAATGTTGCCCAGACAACTCCCTCTCCAACACATTTTTGCATACTGAAAGACTAGAGAGGAGAGTGGAGCTCTTCTGGCAGGTGTAGCCTGCATAGTCAGAGCAGCGGAACTCACAGATTCCATTGTCACAGACACCACCATGCAGGCTGCATTGTTCATCGCAAACAGCTGCATATAAAATTCCAAGTAAAATGGTAAGAGACAGGAAAAAAATAGCATCAGTTGACGGTATTTATTCCCTGACATATGCATGAGGAGAAGTAAATATTACACAGCTTGAATTGGTTTCAAGAATGAAATGAAAATATTAAGAGGTTTCTATGAATGTGTTAGCATATTGAAACAGTATTCAACACTTCATTTCTTTTTTCTTCAATAAAAGAGCATATCTTCTATATGCCTGCTTAACTATGCAGACAAAGGCACTTTAAAGGGCCCATGCAAAGATCCCACAACCCCTCAACTTTTCCTCCACAAACACAGAAACTTACAGAAAAACCACTAAAAGGATAGAATGCATATTCTTCTAAAGTCATATAAATAACTATTCAGCAACTATAAGAATACTTTAATAACCAAATAAATACATTACCAGTGGAGCAGTCAATGCCAGTATGACCAATTTCACATTCACAGACCCCATTCAACAGGCACTTTCCATGCCCATTGCAATCGCTAGGGCAAGATCCTGAAAATTATATAACACATAAGGACAAAGAAAAATAACATCAGTTGAAAAGGATTAGCTTAGAATAGATTTCATATACCATGTTTTATCTTGTACATAGCTAAAGAATGGAATAGAGAAGGATCCCGAAGCTCACTTTTACTACAATCATGACCATGAAACCCAAGAAAACAATGACATTTTCCACTGACACAGTCACCATTAAAATTACAAGAATTGGCACATTGCCCAGACAAAGAAACAGGGCCAGTGCTACAGAGTTCATGGTAAGCAGGACAAATCAGTTCACCTGCATATAAAACATCAAAAGAAATTGTTAATGCATACAGATATATCTTATCGATTGAAAGGTCAGTAGATTGAAATTACCATTAAAACCAGGGAAGTGAACTGGTCCACCAGCTTCTGGACACACCTTCCAAATACCATCCACAGCAACCTAAAAGAACAATTATAAACAAAATTAATAATGAAGTGCAGGGGGAAAAGAAATTAAAGTTCAATATGCAAATCATTATTTGCCAGCTTTGACTTTTACTGTTATAAACAAAAGGTATATTTCAGTCAGCCAGGTCATGATCGATAAAGATCCTTTGTAATTTGGACATTGCAGTAAATCACATTGGCTGGAGTAACCGTACTTTAAAAAGATAAGACCACAGCCCATAATGATCACAACTCACAAGCTGCAAGCTTGCTTTTACTAAAAAATTACCAAGTACAAAACTTGGCTTTACAAACACCAATCCATACCTCTAATGAGTTATTTACACATCTGTGCTGGTAACAACCATTTCCTTGGGTCATAGAACCACGCACAAAACCCTTACGTACTAAGGATGAAGACATGCACCTATGTCATCACAAAAAGAAAATTCATCAGCCATTGCCTCAAAAGTTTTAACTATTTCTAAGGTAATAACAAAAGTTTAAATTGAGTTCCAGTAAAGTTTTTAAGGTCAAAACTCACCTGGACCTACTCCCTCTCACTTCACCTAACATTCTGTCTGGGGACCTAGTACTATTAGTGTCTGTACAGGATCCATCAGAGTAAGCCACAAAGTATGTGCAATAATCAGCCAGCGAGGACTGACCACCTGCAAAAGTCAAAAATAGAAGTTCATAGACCTCACAAGGAGGACCAAACGAAAAATTCAATGATGTTGATAAGCGTAAAATGATTGTATTATATGCCCATATCTTGAAACCAGTACATTCACTACCATACATTAGTTGCAGGCACAATACGAGAATCACATTAGGAGCAACATGTAGATGTAGATGTAACCAAAACTGAAAATAACTTTGATACATGTAGCTCAAAAATTCATAATTACATATGTTAAGACACCGTTTTTTCAATCTGTAGAAATAAGGAATTTGTAGAGTATAGGACATAAAAATACATCTGAAGGTCCCAAAAACATAAAGCAGACAGATAAAAAGACCCAACAAGAACATACCCTTGTTAGCTTGAGGAAAATACCGCGCCCATTGAGGTAGGTCCCCACTATAACTAACAATAGGGCAGTAACCCTCTGCTTCCCTATTATATGTACAACCAGACAAATTGGTTGTATTGCAATGATATGCCCCCTTCCAGAGATTACAAGGAGAAGTAACAAAATCAGTTCCTTGGTTGTGACCCCAATCAAGACGATCTGCCATGCTATAGTTAGCTTGATACCATCCACTATCCTCCAACAAAGCCAGAGTCATTTTTGAAACTACTGATCTTGTATCCACAGATCCTGTCATTATCTCATTCATCAAAAGCCTTTTTTCCCAATGAGATCCTGCAGCCAAGTCATCACACAAACATTAGGGATCAAACTGCTAAACTGCTGCCTTTTCTATTAACAATCATATTGCGTATTGTATATGCTAGTTTTGAGATGGTTTCCAAGAGTTAAAAATCCATAACCAACACCTCAATAGAGAGGAGAGAGACACAAATAACAGAGACAGAATTGTATACCTGATGTGCCACGTCCTCCCCCATCTTCTAGCTCTAAGCCAGTAAAATTTTCTGAGAATGCCTGTCAATTAAACTATCATCAACTATTTGTTCGATTTTCTCATTGTGTTTTTTCAATAATCTAAAGCCACAAACTTGGCACAACAAAGAAGTTAACAATACCCCATAATGATGTCGTGAGTGCATGACAACACGTGGAAGCACCACATGAGTTACCATCCTCCCAAGTTTTTCATCCAAGATCTGTTCAGTAACCTGCACAATGCACACAGAGATAACCATGTGATAGTGAGGTTCTATAATTGTGTCCATGAAATACATAGATGAGTAACAAGCAACAAGTCATGAGGTTTGGGCTTAGACTTCAGAATCCAAAACTTATTATGCAATTTGCTTTAATGTCTCAAGGGCATATTCATAGCAAATTCCATGCAATTACCTGACTACGTCTCCTTTTTCTCTCATCCCTAAAGTGGGCAAAAGCATGCGGGTCAAAGCCTAGAACATGCATAACCTGGATTAAAACAACGATGGTGCTTAGGACACTAAATTTCCTTCTATACTCTTCCAAATTCATCAAATAAACATGACCACACCTCGTGGATAAGAGAAGCTGAAAGTAAAGTCTCTGCTTCAGCCGTTAAATGCCGAGGAGCGACATTCACATGACCTACAAACAGAAGTACATCATTGCTTTGATTTTAGATTTCTACTGCACACAACGGCAACATATTCCACACTATACAGATGGACCAACAAGAAATTACCGGCAATTGCACGGCCCCATTGGTCACGTTCACATGCTACCGCCCATGCCAAAGTGTTGCCAGTGGTAGGTCTTGTAGTCACAAGAAGGACCAAGTCCGCATCAGCAACACCCTCTGCAAGAAAAGTTAGATAAAGATTACAGTTACAAAAGAATGAACCTAACAGGAAAGTGCTCTTAGACGCCACAATCAAGATGAAAATGGAATCTAAACACAGTAATGTTACTACAATGAGATACCTTCAACATATTCACGTGGAAGTTGTACACCTCCATCTTGTCCACATGCCGAATATCCACTCAATCTCAAATTCCCCTTCACAGGCTCTACAGCTAAGGCTCTCTTGAACCAGTCAGCTGTCTGCCCTAGAGCCTTCATTAAATTTCTTTCAAAAGTTAGCATTGGCTTAATCATAATTCAAAGGAAGAATGTTTAAAGTAAAACCTTGCGAAGGCGAAGTCGTTTGTCCTCCCCAGATATATCATCCAAAGTGCAATTATACCAACAGTCACCATAAATTGGAGGATCACGGAGAGGATTGCAGGAGGGTGTACCAGGAGGTGAACTCACAGGAGGCTCCCCAAGCTGGTAAAATAAAAAACCAAAACAACAGAAAAGCATAGAAAGCAAACACCAAGTACCCAACATTAGATTCACAACCATGACCAGAACTATAATGCTACAGAGTTTACCAAGGAAACTATAGCAGCCACCTTCACAATGTCACCAACTTTTTGACAATCTCTATCCTGAGAATGACCAACAGCATCGTAATTTAAATATATTCTTATAGGTTGCTTAGCATCCTTTGGATACCCAAGCAATTCAGGAATCCCAAGCAACGACCTTCCTTTGTGATGGACTTGATTTGAGATACCAGAGTGCTCATAAACTTGAGGGGTAACCGAGTAAACCTTACGACCTGGTCGCCTCCTCTGCTCAACTATCTGGTCATGAATACATGAATGTGAGACAATGTTTCTACTACTTCCTCTTGCTGGGACCTCCCATTGCAGATGGTTCTCCCGAAGTTTTGCTGTGGCAGCTTCAAACCATAACAATATCAATAAAATCTGCAGTTGACACCAGAAAAAGCTTGAGTTTTAAAGGGAAGTGCACAAACAAGAAACCCCAAAATCAGAAATTAAAACCAGCAAGCCAAGAAAAACATATGCAGCAATGAATCTAATAAAACCAAGCTAACAGTGGCTAATACCAGCACAAAGTTTAAATTTTTGCAAATCATGAACTCAAATTCAGCTAATTGACGTGGCGTTGACCCCAGAAATTTCAACTTCAGACAATTCAGTAGCAATCAAACAAAAATATAACAGTTTTATCAGTGAAACAGCTACCAAAAAGGAATGGACCCACCCCAAAAAAAAAAAAGGAAAGCAATAGGAAGTAAATAAATATAAATAGAACTATTAAGAAAACATCAAGCATTGAAACCCATAAATCTCTTAGCCATTTACTATGGGAGATTTCCATTTTCTTTCTTGGAAAAAGAAATTTACAGTGAAATTGAAGCTTTACATGGAATATAATGGCAGCAAATCGAAGCTTAACATCAAATCTGGTTACGGTGCTTGAACCAAACCGGATTATAACCTCCATGAAAAGTCCAAAAAGTAAAGCATCAACTCTTGTAATTCCATCAAATCTCCCTCCATTCTTCGGTCTGCTTTAGAACCCAGAAAAACAGCTCCTTGCTCCACATTTCAACTCCAAAATGCAACCCCACAAAAAGCCAAAAAAGATATCAAAATTTGCAGAGCTTCCTTGATTTAAAGAAGCCCAAGCAAAAAAAGAAAAAAAGGGAGGGGAATACAATGGGGTGAATAACTTTCTGTTTGTTTTCTAAAAGAAAATGAGGTGCTCTGAAGCAGTGAATTAACACTGCTAAAAAGACAACTTTCAAGCTTTTTTCTCCTTTTTTGGTGTGCAGACATATAAGAAACAGTGACAGAATAAAGGATGAGAGAAATTAAGAGATTGAAAGAGGGAATGATAGAAGAAAAAGAAAACAAAATCCAAAGATTTGTAAGGGTCGGTTGACACGATATATAATTATTATTATTATTTTTTGCTTTCTTTTTTTTTTCCAACTTACTAAAATAAAATAAAGAAAAAGTTGATAATGCGAAATAAATTAATAAATATCATGTAGAGTGTCGTAATTATCCTTCAAGTTTGATGAAATTACATGAATAAAGAAAAAAATTTGTTTTGAAATTTTTTCCGTATGGTTAAATTTTTTTTCAATTGCATTTTAGATTACTAATTAATAAATTTTGGTTACATTTTATACAAAAAATAAAATATACATTAATAATAATTATGTTATTATTTTTTGTGTTGGATAATCAATTCAGAGTAAAAATTTCAAATGATAAAGAGAAAATCCTTTCATATAATTCATTTATTTATATCTATAAAGTATTATCTTATTGATTTATATAAGTAAAAATATAGTAATTAAAATAATTATATGAATTAATCAAATTAAATTTTAAATTCGTTAATTTTATTATTTACACATATACTATTTCAAATATTAAAATTTTTATCATAAATTAATATGAATAACATAAAATGTGTTACATATAACATAAATCATGTACTTTAGTAATAAAAAAGCATTACTTAAATAAAAGACTTAGTTTAGAAGTATAAATGATGCATTAATACTTGTAATCTATTTAAATTTGACTCAAATAAAATTTGAATTCGACTTGATTATTATCGAGTCGAATTCGAGTTCAAGTAACTCAATTTATTGATCAAGTTGAGTTCAAACATTCTTATATTCAATTTGAGTAGTTCGCGAGCGTATTTGAGTTTTTATATTTTAATATATTTTAATTATTTTAATTAATAAAATATATTGAACTAAAATTCAAGTTTGAACATAAATAATCAAATTTTTATTTAATATAAAAATTGAACATATTTTTACATATCAATCGAGCTTAATCAAGTAAGTTTAAATAATTTGAATTTAATGTCAAATCAAGTTTAAGTTAAAAAAATAAAATTCGATTAAGTTTGAGTCAAATTTTGAATCTCGAATTTAAAATTAAACTTAAACTTGAGCTTAATCTTAATATTTATTAACTCAAACTCCATTGATTACATATCTAACTTAATCTTTATACTAAATATTACTAACATAAATTGGATGTAAATAGAAATTAAAAATGAATATTGATTTAGTAGTGTAAATTTATGAAGAAAAAGATAATGAGTGATTCGTGCGTTATCTAATTTGACACATATCATTTTTCATTTATTTCGAAAGATAAGTTTTAACAACTTAAAGAATATCTAATATGGATAATATTATTAATCATTTATTAAAGCTGTTTCCTGCATATGTAGACAATATTAATTATAAGTTCAAGGATAAAACGGGAAAAATAGAATAAAGAAATTTTATCAGAGAGAGGTTAGTATAAATTTTTTTAATATTTTAATTTTAAGATCCAATAATTGGCATATTACTATTGTATAAAATACTTGTAATATCTTCTTATAGCTTCATTTATAAAAAGAACAAAAAAAAAAAAAGAAATTTTATCATATTTTATTGCAAATAAACATGAGAAGAAGGGAAACTTCCCAGGCAGCTTCCAACCAGGGACAAATTGTGTGGAAGGTCCGTAGATTGTTTTAATAATTTAAAATATAGTACGATGATATAATATAAAAATAATATAATTAAAAATTTAATAAAAATTATAAATTATTTTTATAAAAAAATATATTTTTTATTAATATAAATTATATATATAATTTTTATATAAAATATAATATTTTTATATGATATAATGAAAAAATATGCTGATCAAGGATATAAGAATATCAAACAGACAGGAAACATGTTTGTTTGAAAGTTAACATAGTCGGCATCTTAGGATGTGGACATGGCTTCTTTTAACAAATAATTTCTAAGCATTTCGAAATTGACTTGACTGGCTCTTTCTCTCTATTATTTTGTTTAATTTTCTTTCGCAATTTCCAACTAGATATACATGCAAAGATATTAAAAGGAAAACTTTTACTTTAATTCAGGTTCAAATTAAATTTCAGTAAGTTTGATCAGTTGACACAATCCTTCAACGCAAGGCTGGGTCTATTGGACAGCTTGATTACCAATTCAGGCAAAACAGGTTTAAAAGCAGTGAAAATGAGACTGTTTCTTGCGTCAATTTGTTATAAATTAAAGAAATTAATCAAGTATGATCTCGTATCGGGCAATAAAAATCCAATTCAACCTCTACCTCTAATGCCTTTATCCTGCCATTAGTATACTGGGGGCGGCACTTTGTTTTGTCATGTTCTTGAAAATGTTTAGGCCATAAAAGATCAAATGAGGAAATTTTCTTTTCTTTTAGTTGTTCTTTAGATTATCATACAGCGCTGGTGTGGAATATGGATTTAAAAAGCTCAATCATGCCAAAAAAAAAATAATAATAATATGAATCAAACTCAATTTAATTTGATTTGATATTTTTTGTTGTTATTTCAAATGTATATTAGGTTACCTACCACATTAAAGATTGCCTGTGTATTTTCCTGTACATGTATTCTCTTGCTTACAAAAGCAAACCAGGGCTAATGCTCGAAAGTTAGCTGCATAATGAGGTAGAGCTCTGACTTTCCTCTGCACAATTAGGCTGAAGGAATTTGGATCAAATTTTTTGTTTTCGTCAAAAGAGGAAAAATATTCAGTGGGATTGGAACGAAAAACTTAGAATTGATTGTGGTGGATGCATTATTAAACTAAAAGCCATTGGTTTGTCAATGCTTCGATAGCCTAACTAAAAAGGAAAGAGTTGCATCAAAGCTAAAGTAGGGTTGTAAATGAATTGAACTTCAACGAATAATGCATATTTGCAGTTTATTTATTTAATTTTAAAGATATTTGAACTTGATTCATATTTAATAAAAAAATTATTTTATTTATTTATTTAAATAATAAATTATTCGTATTTGATTTAATTAAATTAAAAGAGTTCATTTGTTAATATTAAATAAATATGTTCATAAATACATTTAAATAAATTGAACATAAACAAATAACGCATATTTATAATTTATTTGTTTATTTTAAACGTATTTGAGCTCGGTTTGTATTTAATAAAAAAATTATTTTGTTTATTCGTTTAAATAATAAATTATTCGAATTTAGTTCAATTAAATTAAACAAAATCATTCGTGAATATCAAACGAATATGTTCACAAATATATATAAATGAACATATTTATAAATAATAAATAAATTATAATCAAATAAATTTAAACAAATAAATCCTAAATGAATATAAAAAACTCAAATAAATATAAACTAATTTTAAAATATGATTAAGATAAACGATAAAAATATAATTTTATTAATATTATTTTAAATAAATAGTAAATGAATAACAAATAAATAAATTTTAAATTAAATTTAAATAAGTTTGTTGATGAATACAAAAAAACCAAACAAATTTCTATTGATATTCAATTAATTTAATAAACACGTATAAAAATATTATTTAAATTTATTTATTACATTTAGTAAATAAACATAAATAAATAAAAATCAAATATATACATAAATAATTTATCAAAATTCTGTTCATTTATCCACTTAAAAAGAGGATTGGGCCATCCATATGAACTTCAATCTGGTGATATACCTGATTATTTCCTTCTTCCAACAAAACCCAAAGGAGGATCATAAATATTTATTTATGAACCTGAACATTTTTGTATTGCCTACTAGGCTAGCTACAGCAAGTGGTTTTAGACCTTGGAACCCCTAATATTATGTGGACCAGCATCACCACGTTTCTTTTCATTGACTAGTAATTTTATTATAGGAAACAAGTGGGGGCTAACCTGACCTCGATACCGTCATTTCTAGTCTTAGCCACATGGAAAAGGGTCCCAGAGTCGTGCTGGAATAGCCGAAGTAAAAGGGGTCTCACATGGAATAGCATCACCATGTTTCATTTGCTTGCAAATTTTTACATACAACCCCAAATAATCACCTGGAAAATGAAAGCCAATGGTCAAATAGCAAGGAATGCACATGCACTTGTGTTCTTGTCCCTTCAAACTTTTATCAATTTCAGGTTTTTATTTGGATTGAACCATAGGAAAAAAACAGCCAAATCTTACCAAAATTCGGAGTCACTACAAAAATCCCAATCTCATTTGGGCGGCTGCTATGAAAGAGCATTGGTCCATGCTCTTTTTAGCATCTAATGCTCTTATAGCCAGTAGCCAAGTACCTGCCAACACCTTTTCTTCTTGCCTACCTTCGAGAAGTGACTTTTATTGATAAAGCTGTAAGACATCCAGTGCAAAAAGATGCACTAGTATTTTCCTTAATCTGCATCACTTCTCCCCTTCTGATATTTTGGTTTTTTCTGGTTTGACGTTTAGTCCATTTTCTATCAAATCCAGGAAGAAGCACTTCAGTTTGAATGATCTACATTGATCTAATATGGTTAAAAATGGTTATTGTAAAGGTCTAAAGGATAAAAATTTTTTGTAGTTGAAGTTATCAAGTATAGTCACTAAGAATTCAATATTTTACTAACATATCATATGATAATTAGGCAATTAGCGGATAAACAATTTTTTAAAGACGAGAATTTGGAAGAGTGCTTGTTAATTTCTCGAGAAAAAACCTTCAATCGAAGAATTTAATGCTGTTTTTTGTCCACTAGGATCATAAAATGGCCGTTGCATCTCTACAATTGCAAGAAATTCAAATCCATTCATTAAAGAAAATGTAATTTAAATACAGAAATCATAGATTTTATTTATTACTGGAGATGGGAGAATGTTTTCATCTCCTCATGGAGTGGGCCTTTCTTACAAAACCAAGAGAGAAAACAGCATTAAAGAATAGCTAATCCTCTTTGCCGACATTATTACAGCAAGATTTCCTTACAACTTATGTGTCATTATAAATATAGTTTTTTTTGCTATATAAGGCATAGACAATTTGGATTCCAGCTCCTACAATATGCTAAAAATACTGATCAAATTATACAGTGAAACTATCTCATGACAAGAGATAATGGAAGCCATCCAGGAGCCATTGGATTACATAACAACTCAAATAAAATCAAAATACATTGTTCGTAAGTGTAATTAAGTGAGACTAATAAATTAATTTTGTTTTGAAAAAGTTGTGGAATGGTTGAATTGAACATCAACAACTGGAGGGACTGTGGGCATGGGCTATGATCCAAGAGGACTCGTTTGAGAAAGAGTTGAAAATGAATAAAAGCATACAAATGGAGGAATGGTTTGTTGCTTGGTCTAATACCCTCTACCTAATGCTACTAGATTTAGGAGAGTTGTTGAGCTGATTAGGTGGATAACATTTTGCTTTTGGACTGTTTGCATTTGCATTTCCGTGGGTCATGGTTTGTTGCAGTGGGTATATCATGTTCATGTGTTTATATAGCTTTCAGAAACGAGGTCGAGTGGGCACCAAACTCTAATAATTTTCTTCTATACTCGATGGAAATGGCCCAGGGAAAAGGGTTAAAACTTAAAACATCTTTTTTCCTGAGAAAATAAAGTGAGCTTTGAAAGAGTGAAGTGCTTTTTTTTTTCTTCCACAACAAGCAGTGGCAGAGATCTTGAAATCTTCCGTGCTTGGGCATGTGAAATTTGTTAAGAAATTGCTGAAGGAAATGAGGTTCATATAGTTAAAATGGTACAGAAGGACAGCCCTGAACTGATAATCCGATGTGAAAGTAACACCAAAACCCAAACAAGTAAGACATACATTGGTTATTCAGAATCATGGTTTATCAAATTGTCAAAAACAAAATCAGACCTACATAATTATAGATGGTGGAAACTGAAGCTTCCAATGTTCTGTAAATGAGGAACTTTGAATTCGTTCCTTTAAACATAAGGTACGTACACTGATTATTGAATTAAATTTTCAGGAGGTTGTTGGGATGATGAAAAATGTGAAGAAAGAAATTAAAATACAAAGTAAAAAATTTAGTATTCTTTACAAGTACCCTTTTCCACATGAGAAGAAACGTGTGGACTAGTTTACAAGATCGATTGAGGAGGAGCTAACCCAAGGCTGGCCTTAAAAACTGGGGTAAACAAATAAAAAATTTGAATATAGATTTGAATATCTACAATTATTTATTAAAATTTAAACAAATTCAAATATTATATATTCAAAAATACTATTTATATTTATTTTTAATTCGTTATAAATAATATTTTTTTATTCGAATTCATTAATTATTTGTTTATAATTTAAGTTTGATATAAACGAATTGAATAATAATAAATATTTATTTATTTATTATATATCATGTTCTCTAATCCATACCTGCACATGGGCCTCATACAAAAACCATTTAGTACATGTATATACATAAAATTTGACCGACACTTGAAAGGAAATTATTCAAATATCAAAGTCCACTCCTTTCCTTTGCACGAGCGTTAAAGGAATGCTTGCTCTTCATGTTTTAAGGTCGAGTAACGGTCCAAGTTCGGCAAGCCAACAGAGAAGTTGGGATAAAAAGCCTGACGAAGTTCATTATATTTTTCAATATCAAAGCTGTGGACCTTCATGAGTTTCTTTTGTTTGGCTTTAAATCGGCGTTGAAAGTAGCCTTCAAATGAGGGTTCGGTGGAAGTCCAGAGGAAAAAACCATACGCCAAGGCGAAGTGAAGGGATGTGACAAAGAAGCATATGGGCTCCATAATATCCCAACTCAGTTCCCAAAACGTAAGCCTCATGAATCCAAGTGTCTGGGCCACTACGAACCCCAGCCCACAAAAAAGCTCACCACGAACCAGAGACTTGGCCTTTTTGTCTATTCGATCCTTTTGTTTCACCATTTCGTCCAGTTCTTTTCTTCTCGGGTCATTTGGGAGGGCCATCGATTCAGAAATTATGGTCTCCATTGACTTAGCCACCTGCCGAACAAAAGTTGGTCAATATTCAATTCAAATGCACATAATATTTTAAGAAAGTGGGTCCATTATAGCTCAAAGGTCCGCCGCCGCTGACCATTTCTGCTGAACCAGACCCACTTCGTGACTTTCTTTTCAACAGCGCGTGTAACGCACTTTTCCAATCAGTTTGCGAAATAACGGCTTATTCCAAAAGGAAAAAACAGATGGTCGGTGAGAAGCTTTCTATTTATACCTGTTCGGGTCGGAGGAAAACAGCGTTTCCTAAAGCGATGACGTTTCCAGACTGATCCAGCATTTTGGCGAGCTCTAGAGCTTGAGCTTCGCTTCCGCATGCTTCAAGGCAGACTTGAGCAAACTCATAATAAGAAATCGAACTCTTTGGAATCTCTCTTAGCTTCGCTTTAAGCTTCTCGATTTGATAAACCCTCAATACCTTCCTTGCATCTTCAACCGAAATCTTAGCCAACGATTCGCCGGCCGCGGTATCTGTAGGTGGCGACGGAGGCGGAGTAAGTCCATCTAGCCGAAGGCGATCTCCGGTAATGTTAATAACTCGGAGCTTTTCTCTAAGTTTTTCCCCCACAGGTACCGACAAAAACTCTGGGAATCCCAGAGACGACTGTCCCGAAGCTCTACGGTGGAAGAACCGTGGGAAGAATCCTCTCTCCCCTGATTCCGTCGAGGCGACGTACTCGCGACGGAGTATGGTGTGGAGTGAGATCGGAGAGTTTTCTACTGTGACTAGCGATGAGGTAGTTCCGTAAAAACTCAAAGGATGCGTCGCGAGCGTTTTCCGAAGCGCCATTGACGACAGAAGAAGAAACAAAAACACAGAGTTTTGAGTAGGAGAGGATTCTGGTAGTAACGTGTTGAGGAGGTGTGGAGGAGGATCTATATTTATAGTGTCTGAACTTTGAGCAGAATCTACAGGGTTTTATGGTAATTTGCATAACGTGAAACATTAAAATTTATATATTTATAATTATTTTATATAAAAATTTTATGTTTTAATTGATGTGATATAAAAATATAAAATAATTTTTATTTTAATAATTTATATGTAATTATTATAATTTTAAATAATATTAATTATATATTTTTTTATATCATTTATCTTTTATAACTGAATTGGGTTAATTTTTATGTTAGTTTCATGTTTTTTTTCTTATATTTCCTTTCTTTAATATTAGTAGTAATATTTTTTTTTTGTTTTAGTGTCCAGATTTACTGTTCGCTTGAGAATTTATGATTAAAAATTTTACCGATGTAATTTTTATTTAAATCACAACCGAAAAATTAGAGAAGAAATTATAGAATATTCGAAATTTTATTATAAGTAGTTTGATTTTTTTAACTTGGATATAGAGGTGAGTAAAAGTTAGTTTGAATTAATTGGATTGATTAAAATTGAATGAATTCGATTAATTTGGTTTGGTTTTTTTTTTAATTATAATTGATTTTTTGAATTGATTAAATTATTTAATTTGGTTGATTTTTTATTTTTAAAATTGACAATGAAATCGATAAAATTAATCAATTTTTTAATAAATAAGAATAAAAAAATTGAGATTAGTATTTTTATTTGTTTTTTTTGTAAAATATTACTGAAATTATTAAATTTTTTAATGATTTAATTTGAATAATACTTGAATTTAAATTTTATTAAATTAAATTTGTGACTAAATAATTGTTCATAATAAAAAAAAAATTTAATTATTTAACCGAACCAATCGAATTAAACAGATTTTGATCAATTCGATTATGATTAATTATTTAAAAATTTTTGATCAATTCAATTATTTGTTAAATGAAAATTAAATAATTCGGTTATTAATTTTTTTCAAATTGAACTAATCAATTACTCATCCTTACTTGTATAGGATGCTTTGCACCTTAATGAATGTGTATTTTTCATTCAATTTATATATTTTTTTGGTTTTTTTTTATACTAGATTGAACATTAAAGTAAAAGAGATATCTTTCTATATATATAATCCTTACCTTACAAAAATACAAAAGGGTATAGATTTTAAGATTGTTTCCTTGAAATTGTTTCAACTATGGAAGTTATATGGACCCAAAAAGTAGATTTAATTATATAGTAATCCCAAAAAAAAAAAAAAAAAAAAGAAGTTTTCACCACTTGTGCATAGTTCTAGGGGGAAGAGTTAAATGAAATGCCTTTTGCTCTTTACGACCATGAGAAGTAGTGAACGGCATATGGACTTGGCACCATGATTACAACCGGAATAAATCAGCTAATGCCGCCGATTATGTCTCAGGCGAAGGACATCAACATTTTGGCTTTGGGTTTTCAACAATTACAGCTATCCAAAAGGAAATTTAATCAGTATATTTTAATGCACATGGCATTAGCTACACAATTTTCTTGGAAAGCCACTATTTACACTAATATTTGGATGATCTTCCTGGCTCTGATGCACTGATGCTTGCCTGATTACTTCACAAATCTTGTTTGTATAAATTTCTTTTTCCAAACTCTGAATTATGATCATGAATTTCTTTTTTACTTCAAAATTGACATTGGGGGAATATGGAGATTCTTAATTCAAGTGGGTTAAAGATTCATAGCCTTACCAAAGCTGTCGTGATCACTTCTCTATCAACATGAGAAGATAGATAAAACATCAGAAAGAATCAATGAAACAATGAAAGAAATTCATGCTGCAGCTGGGAATCTTTTGTTAGTCACTGAATAAGAATTAAAGAATCCTAACAAATTGGGGTTTTGGAATCCCAAGTGCAGAAATGCTGTTGGATTTCCATTTGAGAGTTGATAATATATGAGAGATTCTCTTGGACACTAGTGGCAGTACCATTTTCGCACTTGCAATGTGCATGCCACCTTCACCTTTTTCCTGTTTAATATTTTTCAGAAAGCGAGGTCAGATCGTTTTCTTTTCTTTGCAATGAGTCTATTTCGGGTTTGAAACACCAGCACATTTTGTCCACATTTCACGGTTGCCTTGAAGCCTAACCCTGAAACAGACAGCATCCAGGGTCAGAATTGTGGGCTCAATTGGCTTGCAATCAGCAGCAACCATGCATTGTGGTAACTTCCCAAAGTTAGGGGTCTCTTTAGCTAGTGGGAATCCGCCACGACACTGCACCATTTCCTCCATTGGCCGCCCATGCTTACAATTTAATTAGGGAACTTAATTTCCTAGCTTGTTAAGAGTGAAATATAAGGTGATCTGATCTGAACAAGCCCTTCATGTTACAATCTAAAATAGCATTACTTGAAATGTAATATCATACAATTTCATTCACACAAATTTTACATTTAAATTCCTCATTCCACAATTACTCACATTGATCATGCAGTGCAGATTATAGTACATGTTTTTTTTCCTACCAAATTATAAAGATTGAAGCGCTATATATTGGGATTTTGCACCAGAACAAGTTATCTATTGGAGGGATAGGGCAAATTTTGCTTTAGTCCACCTAAGCCCACTGATTTTTTTTGTTTCTATGGAAAGTGACCTAAGACTAATCAGATTTTTTCCTACGGGGGCCACTTACTCAGTCACTAGTCCTTTGAAATTATGGTGTTTTGGAACAATGACGCAATAAGAGGGGCGAGCCTCGTTCAATCCCATCAATCATGCTTTTTTTTTTCCAGATAAGACTTGCACCATCTGTTACTAGTTAAACATTGGTTTTATATCAAATGATGCAATCAAATGAAAATGATGAATTTCATCAATCAGAGATCCCATGGAATGTGGGGTCAGGCAAGCAGGATGATCAGCTACAATTATTCATTGTGTTTCTGAAAGCAGGTGGTGAGAAAGATAGATGCCCTACGTGAAATTAAAGAGTGGATTCGATTGCATCAGATGATGCAATAATCTTGAGTGCCAACTGAATTGCTAGATGTAGATATAACTCTTCTGAAAGGCTAATTCCTTTAGTATCCAACTTTCGAATGTTTTTTCATATCATCTAGTTGTCTGCATAATGTGGAGGTGTACCGCTTCCAGTTTTCATGCAGAATTGAGTTACTATACGCTTGTTGTATAATGGATCGGAAACTTTTGTTGTCTCAGGCACCGATTGAATTTTTATGTGATTTCAAGGACCCTTTAACTTAAGGATTAAGAAAAAAAATGGTTAATTAGAAAGCAATTGCATCAGCTTTTGTTTGCTAGGCTTAGAAAGCATAGTACTAAGACTTTAATCACGTCACATGGCAGAAAATGGGATCCGAATCTGATTGCAAATTGACAGGAATGAACAAAGCAGAATATGACATTCATAGATTTTTGTAGGGGAAATAAGTCTCGTTTGAAGCTCACGATAGCATATCAAAAAGTTCATAAATATATATATATATATATATGTTATACATCATTTAAGTTTAAAAGTTTAAATTATTAAATTTTTAGATCTTCATGTATATATAAAATATTTTATTTATATTTTTTAATGATGTGATAAGTTTTGATCAAGTTTCACCTTAATTTTTTCGTGTGATTGTTCACTTATAAATTTTGATCAAATCTCATCTCAGTTCTCTTATGCGAGTAAATCCTAGCAACACTTTCATATAATCGCTACGTCCAAATCAAATTTTTGACTCTGATATCTGTTGTTGGAGAGATAAGACATACTTAAAGTCTATTGAAACACACCAAAAATACATGTTATACATCACTTTAGTGAATTATCTTTCTCTCTCTGTATATATATATATATAAGATATCTCATTTATATTTTTTTAGTGATACGAAATTTTTTATTCACATGTGAAGTATCCCAATAATTTATGAATACGAAGCTTAATTTAAGTCAATTTCAAGATTCTAAGAACCCGCTTCTGATTCTGCAGGAAGGCTTGCATGCTTTTTTTTTTAATTATTTTTTAAATTTCTTATTTTCTCATACTGATTTTGGATGTCATTTTATTGATAATTGAAAGTGACTTGAGTGACATCACAAATTCCTACATGTAGCTTTGATATTATTTGTGGGATGATGGAAGAAAAGTGGCCACTCCAGAGTAAGAAATCCATCCAGAGCTAGGTGGAATCCTTTCTTTAATCCAACTAGTAACTTAAAGATATGCTCCCATTGGCATTGGATTTGGCGAATTAAGCCTCCAAAGAGTTTCTTTTTCTATTATATTGTGAATAACATGCGGAAACAAATCTCAGTTAAAGATGATAGCCGAATTCGTTATTCAGAAAGTTTGAGATTAAATCTCAACATTTATAATTATAATTTTTTTTTTTATTTTCAGATTGAATAACTTGAACAAATCAAATAATTGAGAATGATGAAAAAATTAACATGAAGTTTGGAGATTTCTTACAAATAAATCAAACAAGCCTTTTTTGTCTTAATTTATCAAGGTCTCATTGACAAATGTAAATACAAGGTTATAATTCACCTTATTTGTGAAGGAATGTTCATAATTCTTCCATTAAAGTTGTGTGGATGCTGTTGGGGATAACCTTTACCTTTTGTGACTGAAGCAGCCTCCCCCATACATACAAATATATATATTCTTGTGCTAGTGTTTGAGGTAGCCCCATTTGGCTGATTGTTTGAATCTTTAATTTCTAGCAAACTTCTTTATCAACTTTTTTAGGCGAATACAATGCTTAATACATCATCCTTGGATGCCAACAACATTTCAATCCAACAAAAATAAAAATTCATGACATATTATACAATTTAAGTTCGATTCGAAATAATTTTAGTACCCACCTTCAATATAAAAAAAATAGTAACGTTTGATATATCATCCTTAGATGACAACATGTTTTGATCAAATGACTAAAAAAAAAGGAAGTACCACATGTTGTAAAATTTGGGTTCGAGATCAAGCAACTCCAATTAATCATCACTCATAATATTTTGATATTTTATTAGTGAAAATTTTTAATTTTACAAGTGATATTAAAATATTGACACATGTTTTGTTTTTATTTTTTATTTTTAATTATTTTAAATATATCATCTTAATCCACTTGTAAAATTTAAAAACTATACTATCAATGTATTTAATAATTTTTCATATAAAAAAAAATCATGAATGGGTTCATACATTAAGGTATACATCAACTATTTAATGACTTGCAAAGGGTATTGATTCATGTGTCCTTCTCATATGGATATGCTTAAATTAGCATTTGAAGAATTTCCAACATGTTATATATATAGAGGATAATCTTGGTTGATAATGGAAGCTTTTCCAATACAATTAAATGAGCCATGTGTCTTCCTTCTAAAGGACTGAATAAAAATTAGAAGGCAAACTATGGTTTGTTCATTATTGGCTAGGCAAAAACAATGAAATTTCTATAAAATCAAGGGAATTATGATGTTGATGGAACTTGTAATGATCAATATAAATTATATTACTCGAAATGAACAAATTTTTTTTATCCAAAAAGCCTTCTACATGCTTCATGACGTGAGAGAAAGCATTAGCATCAAAAGAAACATAGCCAAATTGCGAAAGTCTAATGCTTCTTGCTGATCGATGCTTTTTGTCAGTTTTTCTAAGGCAAAGGACTCTGCACTTTCCAATATATAATTGAGTTATAATCCCTTCAACCAACGGCAAAAGTAAAACTCATTTAGAAAAAAAAAAAAATCAATTCAAAACTCGTTGGATTTCATTTTTCAAAATAAGTGTATGAATCATCTACGTTAAGTTATAAATTTTATTGTATTAGATGATATATCAATATATTGTAATTTATCAAAATAATTATCAAATAATGCATTTCATACAAAAAATATTATTATAAATAATAATTTAACTAATCTTAAAAAGTTTAAGGTATTCTATAACAATTTGAAAAAAAAATGATTATTAGCATACTGCAACTTGAATAGTGAATACTATTTGAATTGATCAAATTGGAAACTCCTTCAAAGATCTAAGGACCATTAAACTTTTCAATTAGAGTTAGGAGGCAAATAGCTAATGCTCAATTGTTATCGAATTAAAGAAGGAAGAAAGCAGTTTTTGTTGAATATATTAAGGGAAATTTGGTGTGGATCATTAATCTGAAAGTAGCACTTCCTAAGGTTAGACAAAGTGGCTAAAAGATTGGATTTGAGAATGAATCTTTGACTAAGAACAGGCTAAATCTTCCTCTCTGTATTCTTGAAGGAAATTACATCACAAAAAATTGAATAATGGGAAAACTTTTCCAATGTGGAAAAGGCTGTGGACTCGGTTAATATTGGAGAAGAAAAGAGCAAGTCAGGGTGGCACAAGAGAAGACTCTTCCAGTGCTAGTTGATTGTCAGCTTGTTTAGAGATTGTTTTGAAATTGTTGTGGAGATGAAGTCCATGAAAATTAAAGTTTGTGGGAGTTGATTCGGCTTTTGATTAATGGATGAAACTATTTATTTTGTATGATGATGCTTTACTTAAAGCTCATCTATACTAATTTGACCCAAGTTGCTTTTTTCAACCCAATTATTGGGCCATTTACGCCCAACTATGGCCAACAGAAAATGTACCACGCTTGCTTTTGCCATCCTCCAGAACTGTAGTTAACAATCTTCAAATTAGGGACCTGAGCCCAATCATTTGGACTCCCTACAGCTCTCCAGCTTGAACAATGCCTGTTGTCGCTGAACCCAAATCCAACCTGATCTGTACCGGCAACTATTCCGAGCTTCCAAGTGGGGAAGAAAGCCTACAATTCACCTGCCTGGAAGCTTAAAATGTCCGATAAAGGAGTACTTGACAAAACTCGCCTTTTGGTTTAGATGTTGGTTTAAAATGTCGGATGGGCGAGGATTCAAGGGAATGATTGCGAGTAATGCTAAGGCTAGTTCATTTATGTTCACTGAATAAACATTTCGTTCATTTGTCTAAAGCCATGACCTTGTAGGTGCTATTACATGAAAATTAATCCACACAACATGATATAATTCACTGGCTTGTACCATCTTACAAAATGCCATACGTGTGAAAAGAACTATCTAAAATGGCATGAAGCATGAGTACTTCTTTCGAAGGTTTTTCATAACGCCAAAAGCAGCTGTCGTTTCTCCACCTGCTGCCGCTGAATGGCTGTCCGATGATGTGGATGGTTTATGAGAAGATGATGATGATGATGATGGACCTTCACCTCTTTTATTCCCTTTGGCATGCTTTGTGACCTTGTTGTTTAGGTTTCTACTTCCTGAAGGTTCATCACTACCCGAGTTGCTTCCCTTTAAACTAACTACAGATCCTGCTAATGAATTAAAGGTCAAAACTTTTGCAAAGGCCACGAGAAAATTAAAGCTTAAGTACAGGGGGTAATGGCTGAAATACTGGTTTGAACTTGAAAAAATATGCACACACACGTAAAGATTAACTATGACAGGAGACAAGCAAGGGCATGTCGCATCATTAAAGACATGTTTGATACAACTAAACATGACATAAATTGAGATACTATTCCAAACAAAGGCAGTTTTACTTGGCAGTTGAAGCGTCTCTATGATCATACAGAATATAATTTCCAGGACTTACCTGGCACTGGTAAATTCATGCATGGACATCATGATATCTCACCAACAATAATATAATACATAAAATGGCAGGCTAGTATAGTAGCTATTGTTTATGTTTTCATCGATTAAAATATGTGTATGGTTGGTCTTGCAACTTGAAAGGTTAAATTTCAATCTAGCTAAAGAACTAGTATATTAGGCTGTAGTTAATGCTAGACGCATCATTCTTTAAAATTGTCTTGCATCTTTCATTCTTCCGCTACTTCTTTTTTAATGATGTTTCGTCTCATTGGGATATTGAGAAAAGTTTTCATGCATCTTACATTCAACAGAATGAGAAAAGTTGATCATGGTTCAGAAAATATGAAAGTTTTCAGCAGAACCTTTTTTCATACCGGTTCTAGAGAAATAAATTCACAAACAATTTCAGATGCAAGAACAAGTAACTTCGATTTTCAGGAATTGGAACATTGTGTATGTTTCTAAGGAAATGTAAGAAAATCTCATATGACATGGAGCAGAAAGAAGACGGAAACCAATGAGCCTGTACAAAGGAAGAATGTTGACATACCTAAAGTGGCTGGAACTATAACCACCTCGTCTGATTTGTTGGATGCAGAGACATTAAGCCTTTTACCTGTATCTTCCTTTTCTAAAATTGGGTCCTCAAGGTCTTGCAAGAAAGCCATTGGATCAAAGCATTCATCCCATGAAATGCCCACGGCATTTGAATTTTCTGAACTTGAAGAGGATGCCGGGCTGTCAAGATCCTGCAATTCCAGAAAGTCACCGCTTGAAAAGGAATCCATTTGACCTCTTGAGAAAATATCCATTTCAACGAGGTTCTCTACTTGATGCTCTGGAACTTGAACTGGAAGTCTCTCTGCAACAGCCAATACTTCTGTCTCATTGTGCATGTTTACCTACAAATAATGGCTAAACCTCAAACACAAAGAGAATAGCACCCAAATTTAATTATTGAAAAAAATGACACAGAACAAAAACTCATCCTCTTCAGATTCTCTCCTAATGCACCTAATGTTGATGAATTGCCCATGGATTTTCTATATCTAGTTGTCTAGTGGTATCTTATCAATCTTATAAGGCATCCTAGCACTCAAATAAACTCATCTGTTTGATTTCCAGACTCTAACAGTCATAGAAAATAGTTTGAATTTTAGAAACTTCCAAACTGCACAAGCATTTGCATTGTGACCATTAAGAAAAGAAGATTAGTTTACAAATGGTTCATAACTATTAAAGCCTAGAATATAGTGTAAAATGATAGAAAGTGAAACTGAACCTAATTTATCCCCCCCAAAAAAATAGAAATCAAAGCCAAACTGACCAAAGAAAAGCAAAGATGCAGAAACTGACACACCTGAGGGTTGCTCGAGGAACCTATTCTTGCGCTGCTGTTAGCATCCAGAACAGGAGGTTGAGTTAAATCATTCTGGGTTTCATTTTCAATGCCAGCAGTAGACACTTTCTGGTGCATCTCATGGCTGGAAACAAGAAAAACTCTGCACAGAGAGCTGGTTTCCTGCATGTCAATCAACCAAACTGGTTAATGACTGGCAGATTCAGTTGAGAATTGAATAAAACAGACACCAAGGAGTAGGCTTGTAGGACTTTCAGTTTCAATGGAGTACCTTTTTCTCATTGTCATCACACAGACTCTTCCGAGTCATGCTAAACACTTGCATCACCCACTCAGTTTTACGCTCATGAGGGACTTGACCCTCATAGTACTCAAGAGTGGTTCTCCAACCAATAATATCAGAGTTTGAGAATACCTCACAGGCCTCCTCTTTGGTCTTCCAGAAGCCACGTTTCATATCAATGTTCTCCTTTGAGCTAATCAAGAACCAAACATCATCTGCATGTAGCAATTAAGTGCCACTTTTTAACTCCAAAAGACTGATCCCCTTGCATCATAGTTGGTGCGCAAAATAATACGTAAATCACATTATGCTTAAGAAATAAACATGCTTGACATATGGCTAGAGTTCAACACCAACTTATATAAAACTTTATTCCTCTAAAGAAAATGACAAGGTATTAAGCTTTTGACAAGGAGGTTAAAATGTCTCAAATTCAAATTAACATCAATGATATAGCTTTGCATATCCTATCAGAACTCAACATTCTTAGAAAGTAATACTAAGAGTTAGCTTTAGTCGCTGCAGCTCTGAGGGGCATAAATTTAACAACAAATTTAATCGTTATCGCTTCATTTCACATGCCCAGTCTAGTAAGTAACATCTATACTCAAGAAATCTTTCATGACTTCATGATAAAATGAGTACATATGAATAGACTCTTGAAAATAGGTTCAGAAAGAGTCAGAGAAGATACAGCCTTTGGTAGGTATAAAAGACAAAAGACTCTGCAACAAAAGGGTGAATACAAGTAAGAATATGGAGCATAGTTACATACATCTATTTTACTGTGGCACAGAAACAGACTATGGCAAAAACAATGACCCTTACCAGGTAAGTCTTTGGGTTCATATCTATAAGGATTTACATCGAGAACATCACTTGGTAAAGGAGATCCACCAGTCAATCTGTCGAAAACGATAAAGAGCTCCTCATCGGTGCAGGTGAAACCAATATTTGCGGGTGGGGAAGCTGCCGGAGAGGCCATGTTGATCTGATTTCAGACAAAAAAAAACTCATGACCAAATATTTTAGCCTGTCCAGCTGTAAAAGAAAGGCCTTTCAAGTTGGTAGATATCAAGTTTCTGCTTCTCATCAACAAATAACGATACATTAAAAGGGAAAATCACAAAAAGCACCATTAAATGATACATCATGTGCACAAATAGAATCAGGCAGTATCAGCCAAAATTATCCATTTAGTTGATTAACAATGAACATCCCTGAATGGAATTCATGTAGTATATTTTTTCAAAATAAACACTTATGAAAAAAATATAGTTTTCACAAAGTAAACATAAAGTCAAATAAACCAAAAAAAAAAAAAAGCACACCTCACTTTCCAATGAAGTTGAGCTGCCGGGTTCCAGTGTCCAACCTGTTACACAGAATAAAAAGTCAAAGAAACCAAGCTAATGATTACGTACTTTCCGTTTAGTTTCCGAGAAAGTTCAAAGGATAAAAAAAAAAAAAAGAAACCAAAACAATCAATATCTAATATCTTTCAACTTTCAGATAGTAATCTTTCAACTTTCAGATAGTGGACCCATTGGCTTTGGTTGACATTAACGTCCACTAATAACAAAAAGAAAAACCCTTCCACTGCCCTTTTCTTATCCAAGACTTTAATTATCTTTTATCTTTTCCTTCCTTTTCTGACCAACCAACCAGAGGTACTAAACTGGTTTTTCACATTTCGTTGATTTTTGACACAAACAAATTATACGTTCAAATCCAATGAGAGCTCTCATCAAATAATAAACAAAGAATTGAGGTGTAAAAAACAGAAGCAAATTAAAAGAATCTTGTACCAGACGAGCCCTGCTTCGTTTCCTTAATGACGAGCTACTTTGTTAAAAAGAAAGAAACCACGAGTAAACCTAGTCAAGCAGGCGGGGTGGGAACGGATGAAAGCATTAAGCATCAAGGGGCGACACGTGGGGTCTTGTTATTGTATGAATGTAACCTGTTTATCCTAGTTGGCTTGCTCCGTTTTTTTTTTTTTTGTAAGGAAATTCCTGTTTTAAGCAGGCGTAATAACATTTCAATTAAAACAAATTCAGATCAATTTTTTTTAGATATTATATAATTTCATAAGTTTTTAAAATTTGATATGAATTCGAATAGATGAATTAAATTGAATTTTAACAAATTTTGGTTTTGAAATTTATTTTTTTATTATATATATTATTTTAATATATTTAAATAAACTTTAACATAAAATAATTAGTTTTATTGTATAAAAATTAATAAAATATATAACACGATTTAATCTTTTTATTTTTCATATATTAATTCAAAATATGATACGAATTTAATATATATTTAATATTTAAATTTAATTCTAATCGAATAAAAATTTAATTTAAATTATATCGAGCATTACAAATTCAAATTAAATTTTATTTTGTTATTTTTTTTTAGATTTGATAATTTAAAACACGATACGATAATATAATATAAAAATAATACGAATAAAAATATAAAAATAATATAACTTAAAATATTAAAAAAATCATAAATAAATTTAATAAAATTAAAAAATTATATTTCATATTTTCATATAGTCACAAATTATAATATATATTTTTATATAAAATACAATATAAATAAATATTTTATATGATATAATAACATAAATTATTAGATCTATTTTCCTTGCATACAAGTGGCAACTTTTAAAGACGTGAGTGGTCAAAATCCGGCCAGCTAGTGTGATGAGATGTAAGTCTTTCATCTTAACAAAGTAAGTTCTAACCGAAAATAAGGGAAATAATTTTATAAAGTACTCTTAATTCTAGAATAGTCCAGGGGATTCAAGTTCTACTTGAAGTTGATTTTCTGTTTCTTACCTATTGTTTTTATTGCATGAGTTTTATTACAACCTGCTGTAAATGTAATACTATTTACATAATGTTCCGTACAAAAATTGCCCAGGCATTCATGGATATATACGGCCCATGGTACAGAAAGATTTTTCGTCTCATATTTGGAAATGATTGTTGAGTCAATAATTAATTATTGGTTTCACTATTTATTCAACAAACTTTTTGAATTTACTTGAAGAAAAGAGGTTTCACTTGTACGATACGCAAATAGATTTTTTTTTTTTTTATTCAAGAATTGTTAGGTATTGAAGAGAATCCCATATTTTAACATTAAATCTCATGGTAACATTATATCACAAGGCCAGTCCTTTGGAAAAAAAAAATCCATGATGTAATTCTATTAAAATTCAAGATAAAATTTATAAGTTATTTAGGTAAAATTTGTTAAAAATGATTTAATAAAATTTTTAATAAAAAATTTAAATTGATAAATTAATAAATTTTAATATGTAAAAACTGATAAAAATTTTATCAATATTTTCATTAAAAATATCTATATAAAAATATATATCAAATTTTATTAGTTTTTTTAAATTTTACAAAATAACAAAATATTTCTATTTATTAATTTTTATTTTCAATTTTAAATTTTATTTAATCACTTCATAAATATCATCTAAAAAATTTGATTTAGAGTCTTTCACTAAAATTCAATTACGAAAATTTTGTTAGTCACTGAGATGCATATTCGGACAGAACAAAAGCTTAAAAACGTCAGAAAGTAGTTACTTACAGACTTCGAAAAGCCAAGCGTGAAAAAATTTAGACTTTTAGTGTTAGCTGACGTCTTGTCTGCCGTGTAAATAAAAACAACACTCTTCTAATAATCCTTAATGATTTAGTTAGGTCAAACAATGTAACAGTAATCGGATTTTGGAAAATGCATTAGCCAAGGTACTTATTTTTAGGCTTAAGATTAGTTTTTACTTGTGAAAAATGGCTTTGGGAAGCATCAAACCCAAAGGCTGAGTTGCAGGGGTCACCATAACCATAACCCTGCCTGAGCATAGCCCAAGCTGAAGTTGCTTACTTTCCAAATAGGAAGCAGCGCCGAGCAACGCCGCCTCCCCCCTTTCTTCCCAAAGTAAGAGGGCCCAAACAGGCAAAGAAACTTAAGCGGGGTTCGTTAGAAGGAAAAGATTAACAAAACAGAGCAGATCAGTAGAATTTGAAGCTCAAACTTTAATTACCTTAAACAAGAGCCAGCTTTCAGCGTTCAACCTGTTTGACAAAAACCGAAAGTCGAAAGTTAAGTTCAAAGGAAACACAATTCTCTGTTTGTTTCCAGGAAATGCATGAAAGGAAATAAAGAAAAAGGAAAGACAGAACCGAAACTGTATAACAGGCTCAAACAAGACAAAAATCTTTGACATCAAATTCATTTCCATCACCGAGAAACATAAAAATATGGTGAATGAAGCAACCATTTTCTCCCGTTTCTTTTAACCAATCAGTCGTTTACTTAAAGTCTTAAACAAAACAGAGGAAGGAAAAAAAAACCAACAACAAACACAGAATCACAAGAGGTTGAAAACCCACAGCTGTCATCAACAAAATAAAAGAATATTAATAATTAAATGAATAAAGAAGAAGAAAAAGAGGAATTCTGACCTTGAAACGACCGGAGGAAGACAGTGGCTCAGTGAGTCACTTTGTTACTTTGCTCGATTCAGTACCCTAAAATAAAGAAGGGGGGAGCTTCGGGGGTATTTATGGTTGAGAAACGGGAGATGGGCCCACCTCCATCCAAAAAACTAAACAGATTTAAACGCCCCCAGTTAACACATTAAACGCAACGCTTTGACGTGGCCGTCCATCGTTGGCTGAGTCACGTAATCCTATGGAACCTTCCTTTTTCCGTTTACACTCGCAATTAAATTGAAAAATGGCTTCTTTTTTTTTTTTTTTACCGCCGATGTCCTATAGACATTTTAAATTTTGATTAGTTTAAAATTAAATCGAATTAAATTTTATAAAAAATAAGTTTTTTCAAGTTTTTTTTTACTTAAAAATTTTCAAATTAAAATTTAACTTAAAAAAAATTAAACTCTTTATCTTTCGAATTAACAAATATTGATGAAAATTTTTAGGTCTGTCAACTCCAAGTTTATAAGGGTTTGGTAACTTTTGATTGTGGTCTGCTAACATGCTATAAATAAATAAATATATATAATTATTTACAATTTTATTTAATAAGAAAAAGCTTTTTTAATTAAAAAATAAATAAGTTGTTTTAATTCTCAAATTAAGGCACAAAAGTACTTTGAAGATTTAGACGAAATTCAAAACGTTTTTCTATTAAAAATAATTAAATTAAAAATAAAATTAAAAATGAAAGTCAATATATTAAAATTTTTTATTACATAAATTAAGTATAAAATTTTTTTAAAAAATGTAATCAATTTTAATATATATATATATTTTAGATAAATATTTTTAATAAAAATTTTATAGTTAAATAAGTACATATCAAATTTGAATTATAAATAATTTTTTAATAATTTTTTATATTAAATTTTATCAATTTATTAATTTAAATTTTTTATTAATATTTTTATTAAATCATTTTTTAAAAGTTTACAAATTTCATCTAAAAACTTTATTGTGCATTGTATTATAAGATTTATAAATATGTTTGGTCCATAAAATTATAATATGATAAGATAAAATAATATTATAATTAATATTAGATTAAATAATATCATATTATCTTATATTTGATGTATGTAATGATTATGATATAATAATTTATTTATTGGTTAAAATTTTATTTTTTCAAATTTTATACAATTTAAATTATTGATATACTTTTAAGAATATAATAAAACATATAAGTTAAATCTCATTGATTAAAAATAATCTTCTTTATTTTTTTAGTATTGAATTATCCTATGTCAGTGAGATAATTAACTTTTTTATAATTTTATATGGTTTTTCATATATAAATCAAATATAATATAAGATAATTATTATCATATGTATCAAATAATATTTATAAAAGTATTATAAAATACAAAATTCTTTATGTTGTTATTTTCTAAATTCTATTTTTAATGCATACTTAATGGTTAGTGTTCAAAGAAAAGTGATAGAATAACATTTCGTGGAAGATATGTAAAATTATGAAAATACCAAAATTAAAAAAATTATTTAAAATTAATTTTATATATTGAGATTAATTTTTATCTTTTAGGGTGTTTGTGTTATACATATAGATTTATGAAAAATTATAAAAATGTGAAGATTATGTTAAACTTAAAATGAATATATCTTGAAATTTTGATTATAATAATTTGTTAAACAAACCAAATAAATTAATAAAATTGAATTTGTTCATGAATTATTCATCAAACATTTTATTTATTTATATTTTTAGATGTAAACAAATTAAATATGAATAAATTTTATTATATTTGTAATTAATTATTTTAATTAATAAAATTTAAAATATTATTAAATAAAATTTTATTATATTAATGATATATTTATTTAATTAATAATTTTTAAAATATTATTAATAACTTTTTATTAAATTTAATAAAAATTAAAAATTAAATAAAAATTAAATTTATTAACGAATTATTCATCCAATATTCTGTTCCGGATAGGCCGAATACAGGCGAACTGGCGACATATCAAGTCCAGCCCAATCTCAATTTTTAATATCTCCGTCCAAAATGAACTGCTCCAAAGACTCGACGAGCGGCTCAACAAGGCGCGTAGGTGAGTTGAGTTGTGAAAATGGAAGCCGAGTCGAAACCAAGCGACGAGCTACCTAGATTCTTAGATTCTGGCATTTACCGATTCCCGAACTCAAATGCCGTCTTCGTCGATCCGGTTCGTCTGCTGAACCGATCTTACAACCGATTTAGGGTATCTCCTTCGGCCTACTATTCCCGTTTCCTTGAACCCAAACACTACGCTCAAGAACCCACCCTCTCCTCCAATCCAAATAAACGAAAAAGAAAACCGAAGAAACAACCTCACTCCCTCAATGAGAAAGAACGTGCTGCAGATCAACGCCACCAGGTAAATCACCGACTAATCATGGAATCATTCTTTTAATTTTTTAAAATTTTCATTTTGTTGTTTGGTTTAGGAGGCGAGGCCTTTATTATTAAAGGCGCACGAATCTTTACTTGGATCGGCTGATTTCCCAGCGATTATGAGCAAATTAAGGAGCGATTTTTGTTCTTCAACGGAGTTAACCGGCGGCGAAGAACATTCGTTCATTGAGCTTGGAAGTGTTTGGCAAGGGCCTTTATGTGATATAACCCTAAATTTTAAATTTACTCGACTGAAAAACGAGACTAATAATGAAGGTTTGGGTAAAATTAAAAATTCCTTGTTCATTGATTTAATGATTATATTATATTATATTATTTATTAATTCATTATTATTTTTACTTTCATTTCTGTTTCAGAAAATGGAAAGGTTGAGCAGAGAGTACTTCCGGTTTTTAATAACTTAATCGTTAATGACACGCACGATGACGTGGAGGCTGAATTCCTGAAACGGCATTATATATTACCCCGAGAGAGTTGCTTCTATATGGTGTGTTGATTTTTCTTTAAAGTGTCCAGGAATAAGAAAAGAGTATCAGAAACATAGAATTCATGGGAATGGTTTTAGCTGTTGTAATGTTGTGATTCAGTTGAAATTACATTTTATATGCTAAAGTGTTTCGGATTCGTATTGATAATGTCTTACGTGTTCTTATATGTTGTGTCCTTGATCATGTTGAAGTCCGATTTGGGGCAGATTCACAACATTATTCCTGGTAATTATTGCATATAAAGCTCTATTCACTTTAGGCTGCAACTTAATATGTGCCATATCGCAATAAACTATATGCTCTGTTCTCAGTTCTAAACTCTTCTTGAGGAACCATCCTCAACCATTTAGTCATGCAGGGTAAATCATTTCACTTGTGATTCCCACTTGTTATCTGAATATCATTTTTTTATTTGCTATCATGCTTCATTGTTGGCTTACATTTTGCTCCAAGAACCAGTGACCCATGGAATTATGATGAATATTGACTAACTTTTTTCCCCAATGCAGCCGAGTCTGATAATGGGTTTAACCTTATAGTCATTGATCCTCCATGGGAAAACGGAAGTGCTCGTCAGAAATCATTGTATGTATTCACATTCTTCAGTGTATTAAACACGTATTAGCTTTTGACATTCTAGAGCTTGTTGATCATACTCTTGTGGCTTTTGACTTTTCAATGGATTTTCACACGTTTTGGTTTCCTGATTGCTTTAGGTACCCAACTTTACCAAGCCGGTATTTCTTATCCCTTCCTATCAAGCAACTTACTCACCAAGAGGGTTCACTTGTGGCCTTATGGGTGACAAATAGAGAGAAATTGCGTAACTTCATTGAGAAAGAGCTATTCCCAGCATGGGGAGTTAGATATTTGTTCACTGTTTACTGGTTGAAGGTGAGCCTCTCACTCTCACTTTCTTTGTGCCTGCATATGCATGGAGTTAAAATAGTGCTGATTTGCAAGTTATCATTTCACTTAACGGCTCTTGCTTGAGGTTTTTAGGTAAAAGGAGATGGCTCATTGATCAGTGATCTTGACCTCTTTCATCATCGACCATATGAATGCCTTCTCCTGGGATACTGTCATGGAAAAGTAATGAATGTATGCTGTGCAATGGACATATTTTTAATTGCTAGGCGCTTCTGACTGGATTCTTTTTGTTGCTTACACTATTGAAATGTTGCAGGATTCAGAATACCTTTCAGAATTTGGGGCCGTAAAAGATAAACAGATTATCATAAGCATTCCAGGAGCTTACTCCAGGAAGCCCCCAATTGGAGGTATATTTTATCAATGGAGTGCTTAACTCAAACTGTTAACTTTTGATATATGGTTGTAAATATTTATAACTATTTTGTCATGCTGTGGAGGATCTTCTTGACCAAAAGATAAACTATTTTGCAAATATTTCCTTCTTTTGATTAAATTAACAAAAAAAAAGAAGAAAAAAACCATTGCATATGTTAATTCATCTTCACTGATTATGAAGTATTTAGCTCTGCTATTCTGCTAACCAACTTTTACCTAGCTACTTAGTGCTTGAATTTTCACTCTTTTGTAACTCTTTTGTTATTTCTTGTATAATTGTAGAATTACTGTTGGAGCATGTTCCAGGAGTTAAATCTGCCCGATGCATTGAACTATTCGCCAGAGAAATGGTAACTGGTTGGTTTTCATGGGGAAATGAACCCCTTCACTTTCAGGATTCAAGATATTTTCAAGGAGAGTGAAGGCATAACTTATTCGGTGGAATGCTATCAAGTAGGAATCTACCGAGCGGAGATCCGGAATTCAGTGTTTTTTCTTGCCAAGTAACTGCCTTATACAATTCGATTATGTTACTAGCTGAAATGCTAAGATGAAAAGGTTTGGCATCTGATGCAAGTGCTTCTCATATCATATAACGCCAGGCTCTCTTGTTGGTGTGTATGATGCCTGAGGAAAAAAAAACTATATAATCCCAAAAAGAAAAGGTGATTTTAGCATTAGCTATTATTGATAAAATTTGACGATTTTTACATTTGGTAATTCAAGAAATGCCAGCAGTACATCTGTGAAGCCAGGTCAACAGCTTGGTAAAAACAATGAGGCTAGGGTCTGTTCCATGTTCAATTTATAGATGCATTCTTATCAAAATTGGCCATTATTTATTTTTTTTCTTTAACAATATTTGCTGCCCATTTAAGGACTCACTGGATGTTGAACATACTCAAGGTTACAGTATTCCTAAGTTCTTATGTTTATCACCAAAGTTTCTACCAACTTATGCAATATACAACATATTTTGATTGATTTTACTATTTACTCATACCACAAGGCCTTATATATATATATATATATATTCATTTATTTTCTTGTTATTTCTGAAATGATTAGCCTTTTTTTTTCCTCTTATTTGTTAGTACTTTTTAATATATTTTAATATTTTTTTTATTATATGTAATTATATACATACTTTTCCATACATTTTTTTTATTTTGAAATATAGCTTGCTATACAATCATAAATCATTATTATTGTAAATAATTATTTTAATTGTGCTTTGCTTATATAATTATATTAATTATTTAAGATGGGCTCTTTTGGCCCAAAAAAATGGACTTTGATAAAAAAAAAAAATGAAGATGGAGATGAGCTGAATAAAATCAAGAAATGTTTTTTTTTCATATTTTTAATATGTTTTATTAAATATCTTAACTTAAAATAAATAAATTTCAAAATTTCTTTTGAACAAGTTTTTTTCTAAAAATCTAAATATAATGTAGTTTTAATTTATTTCATGAATTTTAAAATTTACTATTTTTAAGAAGTTTCTATTTTTAAGTATAATATTTTTTGCATTATATCCATTTTTATAGTTTAAAATAAATAAATTTCAAAATTTTTCACTGAGAATTTTTAAAATTTTTAAAAATATGATATAACCTTAAAATAATATATTTAGGCGAAATTTAGAACAAGTAATATATATTAATAATAAGTTTTGTCTTAAAAATCATCTTAAGACACCAATTAACCGATTAATATTGCTCTGTTATTATTTGGTCATTATCCTAACTTGCTCGGAACTTTCACGAGCCACCTCTTTTCTCCCGCCTCACACGTTTCCTCGACATCGTCTAATCCAACGCTCTCAATTGCTCTCTTTGACTTTGTTTTAAAAATTAAAGCGAACTTTCATTTACTCACCCGCACTATATAATTTCTATATAAAGAAAGCAGAGATTGTTTTTCATTTTTTCTCTTTTCTTTTTCATCGTTTGGGTCTTAAACACAAACTGTCAGATACTTTCTTCTTTTAACAATTTTTTTCCAGCCAAGGCAAAGCGTATTCCTCGTGAGCCTCTCCACTCCTTTCCTTTCGGTCTTTTTTTTTAATAATAATAATACTCTACAACGCACCCCACCTCCAAATCTACACCTTCACCGCTTTTGGTAGAACCGGAGGGATGGCGTCAGATGGGGCGACTTTGACGCCGGTGCCAAGGAGGAAGCCGTCGTGGAGGGAGAGAGAGAATAACAGGAGGAGAGAGAGGAGAAGAAGAGCTATTGCTGCTAAGATATATACCGGCGTTAGAGCTCAAGGAAATTATAATTTGCCCAAGCACTGTGATAACAATGAGGTTCTGAAAGCTCTTTGTGCCGAAGCTGGTTGGGTCGTTGAAGAAGATGGCACCACTTATCGGAAGGTATCTAATTTGCCCTTCTCTTTTTCTTCTCACTCTTTACCCATGGTAGATCTATACAGAAGAAGTTGTAATTTTTTTTTTACCTCTCTGCTCTTTTTTTTGTTCTAATTTAGTTGGATCTAATTCCCATCTTGATTTTAGCTTGGTTTTGCTCTCTGGGTTTTTTTTATCTGTTCAATTTCAGTTCGATTTTGATTTTGTTTACTTGCTTAAAAGTCCTTGTTCTGGAACTAGCAATTGCTTAATCAGACAATTATTCATTGATCTGTGTTGGAACTGGAACTTCATTAAATAACTGAAATGAAACATTGATGAACATTGAACAATTTTTCTTGATTAGCTGTTATTTATTGGCTTTATTTTTCTCTGTTTAGATTAATAAAACATATCCTGTTGATAATTTTTGGTTTGGAATTGCATTTGTTGATCAGGGATCTAAGTCACCTACAATTGATATACCAGGCAGTTCAGCTAAAATTACACCATTTTCTTCGCAAAATCCGAGTCCATTATCTTCTGCATTTCCAAGCCCAATTCCTTCCCGTCAAGTCAGTCCTTCCTCATCTTCCTTCCATAGTCCCACTAGGCTTGATGCTAATAACCCGTCTAATCTCCTTCCGTTCCTTAGAAGCGCCATTCCTTCATCCCTGCCTCCTCTCAGAATCTCAAACAGTGCCCCTGTGACACCACCACTTTCATCTCCAACCTCAAGGAACCCTAAGCCAATTCCCAACTGGGAGGCCATTGCAGAAGAGTCTATGGCCTCTTTTTACTACCCTTTTTATGCGGTATCTGCTCCAGCTAGTCCAACTCACCGTCATTTTCATGCTCCCGCTACCATACATGAATGCGATGAGTCTGATACGTCCACAGTTGAATCTGGTCAATTGATAATCCTTCAAAAGTTTGCACCTTCTCCATCTCAAGTGCCAACTTCTCCAACATTTAATCTCGTGAAACCCTTGGCTCCACAAAGTTTGCCCGATGATTTGATCGAAGAAAAAGGGCGGGGTTCAGAGTTTCAGTTTGAGAGTGTACAGGTGAAGCCGTGGGAAGGAGAGAGGATTCATGAAGTAGGATTAGATGATCTTGAGCTCACGCTTGGAAGTGGGAAGGCTCGGTGTTAAACTAAGTGAGGCTAACAGATTAAGAGTAGCATGTTATTGTGAATGTATGCTAAAACAGAAGAAAAAGATGTTTTGCCCTTCCTGGTTCTCACAGTCAGATATCGAAGAGCATTCTCAGTTCTGTCGTTTCATCTACTCAGTGAAAACAAAGGTGGGAAGAGTTACGTTTTAATCTGCAATTGTTCGTTTCTTTTTTCTTTTTCAGTCGATGCTCACATTCCCTGGTTGAATTGTTAGGGAAATTGGGCTGTTTTTACAAGCATTACTTGTAGTTACTGTGGGATATTTTCTGCTTTTGTTTTGTTTTTATCTTTCCTTTAGGTTTTGTAGGCTTGGATAAAACCTCAAAATGAAATTATTTTAGTGGTTTTTATTGTTAATGAATGTATAATCATGTTGGTAAGCAAATTTTTCATATTCAGTGTTGATGTTTCATTCACTTTACCGTGGCAATCACCCTACAATCAAAGTTAATCCTAACCAAGCTGCAAATGGAGATGTAAATAGAAAATTTATTGCTCAAACATAGTCGTGCTATATTTAGCCGATGAGCATAGTTTAGTTGACCTCTCACCCACCGCCATGACTGTTTTTTACACAAGACTTGGCTGCCACTTCCACTCAAATAATCTGATAGTAATGCATATCGCATAAAAATGGAAGAAAATGTTTACTTCAAGACCAGCCTCCAGTTTCTGATATGGAGTGGTCTGGTCTAATCCATATCTCTTCAGTAGATTGAGCTTCCAACCTTCCATTTCGTTTCCATTCAGGTCTTGCGCCATCAGCCATGTTCCTTTCTGTCATCATCGTATCATTCATCAATTTATCTTGAATGTGATGACCCATGTCAATATTTACATAACCAGTAATCATTCGATTCAGTTCTTGAAATATACTGACATGGGTCGCAAGAAAATAACCACTACATTTGGATTAACTCCGAAATCCATTTCTAGATGTTTGTTTGGAATACTGAAAAGTAAAAACCATTTTATGATTATATATATGTAACGCTCAATCCGCCATATATGTTATTGACAATCAGCTCCTGGTTTTGTTGTTTGTAGCTGTTAGATGGTCAGATAAACACATAAAAATGGAAAGGTTGAACTGGTTGGTTATATCCTGAGCCCAATGTTAATTCATGATTGGGCCTTCAGCTTAATGGTCTTTTTAGTTCTCGATATTAGAGAAAAAGTTCAAAGTCTTTGCAAGTTATGCACTGATCTTGAAGTAAAGCTGAAAAGAGACAAAAAGAGGTTTTTGTTGGTACGTAAAAGGAATTCTTGAGTCCGCACCCCCTGGCAGGAAATCTGTATTTGGACCACAATGGGCCGCTGAAGCCCACCATAACAACACGTGTCTTGTTGTCATCGGCTTTAGGAGAAGAAGCTGTGAAAGCTCGGGGATAGAAGACGGGTCCATATATTCTCGAAAACTTAATTGTTGGAATCAAATCATCAAACGTTCAACATCATCGGCATTTTCCATCAAACGGCTGTTGGCTGCTGCATCTTTGTCTCAGCCACCTTTCTCAACGAAACTTTTTCAATTTCTTGCGCATCTGATTCCCAGTAGTAAACCTGGCTTGCCTGCCTTCACGAAACAGTCAGGTTGTGGAGGAATTGGATAGTAGAGATCATGATGCTTTTCCCAAATCTAAAGAAAGCTTTCCTTTTCTTCTCCAGCAGACATTCCTAAACAAATCCAAATTGCCTATCCAATCCAATAATTTCCTTTTAAAAAAACCGTACCATCATTGGGTTTCCAGAACCAACATGGAGTCGGAACTCAAGGACCTGAATTCCAAACCATCCAAGTCCCAACAACCCGACCCTACCCACGACGATGTCTCCACCAAAGACGACAGCCCACTCCTCAAGTCCGACTCCTCATCCGCCGACGATATCCTGGAGCTCGAGAAGAAATTCGCTGCCTATGCTCGCAACGACGTGTACGGTACCATGGGTCGTGGCAAGCTCCCATTGAAGGAGAAACTCGTTCTGGGAATCGCCCTCGTCACGCTGCTCCCTTTACGCATCGTTTTGGGAATTACTCTTGTGGTTGTATATTACTTGATTTGTAGAATTTGTACTCTATTCTCGGCCCCGAATCAGGAGGAGGAGCAGCAGGAGGATTATGCACACTTGGGCGGTTGGAGGCGAGCCGTGATTGTCCGGTCGGGTCGGTTCCTGTCAAGGTCTTTGCTTTTTCTGGTAGGATTTTATTGGATTAATGACACTCATAAAGATTCAGCAAATACCCAAGAGAACTCAAGCACTGAGGTATGCCAACTTTTTCATTTTCTTTTTAAACTTTAATTAATGGATATTAACATAAAGTTTGATTCTTCTACAGGCCAACAATCAATCAGAAGAGCAAGAACGACCTGGGGCAATCGTATCTAATCACGTGTCGTATCTAGATATCTTATATCACATGTCGTCTTCCTTTCCAAGCTTTGTTGCTAAGGTCTGTTCACTTAGCAACGCTTCTAGTTTTTATTATGGTATATAAGGTAAAGTTTTTGCTGGTTTAACTGACATGTTTCTGGTATTGGTTTTGTCAATTGGAATCGTTGGATTTTATTGCTGAAGAGATCAGTGGCTAAGATTCCTTTAGTTGGTCTCATCAGGTTAGTTTATTTTAACCTCCTAAATTTCTCCCATGGTTTGGTGCAAAACAGTTTGCAAATTGGTTATCATAAATTGATAAGTTCTTTGCTTTTTGCCTTTCAAGCTTGATATATTTAAGGGAAACCCTTTGAATTTTACTTCACATCTGAGTTCTTAATCTATTAGCTCCATAGCTTGTGTTGCAGCAATGTCTAGCGTGACCCATTTATATCTGAATACAAATCTTTATTTTTGGAAAGAGTGTTACGTGCGTGCATGTGTTTTTTATGGTTATATATTTCTTTTGTTCTGTATTCTGTCACTTTTATGTTTTCTCTATGTTGCATGTCGCATTCCTTGTATAAATAAATTGCTTTGCGTAGAAGTGACGAATGATATTTTAGCTTGTTTGTCACAGCAAATGCCTCGGTTGTGTCTATGTTCAGCGGGAGTCGAAATCATCAGACTTCAAAGGTGTTGCAGGTAGAAAAACTTTTGATGTCAAACATATTGTTCTGCACTGAATATTGATAAAAAAATACAATGCATAACTGGTTGCTCTTTCAGGTGTTGTGAGTGACAGAGTTCATGAGGCTCATCACAGTGAATCTGGTCCAATAATGATGCTCTTTCCAGGTTAATCATCTTTTTGATCCACTATATACATTTATGACATGGTTTAATTTATGGTTTAAACTGTACCCAAATACTATATGGGTATGTATGTATGTCTGTAGCTTATGTTTCATAGCAGCCTAAGCTTCCGTATTTCCTATGCTTATAAATTACCAACTAGTAAAGTTGTTTGATTCATATTCATCTCGACAACAGAAGGAACAACAACAAATGGGGATTACCTCCTCCCATTCAAGACTGGTGCATTTTTGGCAGGAGCACCTGTGGTGCCTGTTATATTAAGGTACCCATACCAAAGATTTAGTCCAGCCTGGGATTCAATATCTGGGGTGAGTATTTATTAAGCAAATTCGAGACGGTTTTCCGAATTTTGATAATAAATCTTATTTATTCCCTAATTAAGTAGCTGATGAGGTGGTGCCCCCACTATTGGGTTGGGCTTTTTTAATACAAACCATTTGTGCAGTATAGTTCATATCTATGTTAGTTACACTGATATTCAAATGATGGTTTGGAGTATGCTTAGTACATTTGTATTAAATCTGATAAAAATTACAGTAAGCAATGTTTGTTCCTGTAATTTTTCTTGGCTTTATTGGAGAAGTTTAATGAAGCAATGCTGAAGAGTGAAGACAATAATGTACTTGATAAATCAAGAGGGAAAAATTGGGTAATGTCAATAAGATGGATGATTATTTGGAAAATATATAGTATGATTTATTTCTTCCTGCAAGAAAACATTGACATTGTTGCGAATAATTTTTTATGACAAGTATACTTCTTGTATGATCTTATCTCCTGCTGGTGTTAATGTTCAGTATTGTTCTCTGTAGTTGCGTCATGTGGTTTTTCTTCTGTGTCAATTTGTAAATCACATGGAGGTAACATGGTTACCTGCCTACTACCCCTCACAGGAAGAGAAGGATGATCCAAAACTATATGCTAATAATGTCCGAAGATTGATGGCCAGTGAGGTATGCATATACTATTAAATTGTCTTATTGAAAAATACACAATTTGGTCATGTTGTTTGTGGGAGCCTCTTAGATATGTCTCTTACCATAACTATCCATGGTTACAATAAAAGCTAAACTAGGGCCTTTCAAGAAAATATCTATCCAAACCAGTTCAAGATAAATGTAACTCCATTGATAGTTACCAGATACCATATTTTGATTGTTCTAGAATTCTGAAACACTGGCTTAAGGCACCATTGGATTTTTCTTGTGCCAAGTAGTCACTGATATGCAGAAGAAAAACCATCTAGTCTTATAGTAATATGACACTATTACTTGAATTGTCATTCATGTTAATGTGAGTTTTACTTTCTGTTTGATTTTTTTGCCTGAAGGGTAATTTGATACTGTCGGATATCGGACTGGCTGAGAAGCGAATATATCATGCTGCTCTCAATGGTAATAATAGCCTGCCTAGTGTTTTGCATCAGAAAGACGATTGATAATTTCTTGGCCTTGCTTCCAAATGATATCTAGTCTCAGTTGAGTTTCTGAGTTTGCACCGGTATTTTCATGAATGCACAAACAAACCAAAAGGGTGGTTTCTCTTACCCCATTTAACTCAAAATGACGCCATGTGCAGTTATGTTGTAAACTTCTTTATTCATGGATAGTGTGGCTAATAGATACAGATTTAAATGTGCTTATGGAACTGATTTAGTCAGATCATCTGCTCTAAGCGACTCCTGGGGCTTTTAGCCCTAAAATACACATTCCCAATGAGTTCATTAACGTGCCCATAAAAACTTATATATAGAAACTATGCATCTGTAAATCTGAATTGTCTCTTTCGTGTTCCTGCAGGTTTATTTTGCCAAAGCTAATTTGGATTCGCCATCTGTATAGTCATTGTATGATTCTATTATTTATGGGAAAAAAATTAAAATTATATATATATAAAAAAATTTTATTGGCATCAGTTGGAAATCTATTACATGGAGCTGAGCAGGCATTTTCTTAAAGCAGGTCTTTGATGTCTATTCTTCTCCAGTTGAGATCCAAAAAGTTAAATTGTGTTTAGTGAAGGGTCATAGTATTTTGCTATTTAAATGCAATTGCCGTTGAGGATCCATGATTTGTAACTGCACCGACGAGAGCCAAGGTGGTTTTCCTCGATTTCGATGCTCGATTTCTTCATTCATGGGATGAGTTGAATCTTAGAATTCTTCAAAGTCTTGAACATGGATTCCAGTCTTGGAGGAGTAACATACATAACATAAGCTGACAGTTTCTGAGGTCAATTGTGCGAGCTTTTGTGCCTATTGCACATTGGTTTGCCATATTAACCAATCCATTCGTTGATAAACTTATTTTTGGTTCATCCAAAGGCCATAAGTTCTAATCAATTTTGTTTGTTGATTCTTGGGCCAAATTTGCGTCTACATCATTTTTTAAAATATACTATTTTCTCTAATCGTTGACGACCTCTTTCCTCATCAGAAATTTGCATTAATAACATGGGCATTGGTAGCATGTTAAAATGGAATTTAACAATACATTAGTGTTACAGACATGACAACACACTCCACAAAACAGAAGACGGCACCAAAAGAAACCTTCAATCATTAAACATATGGTGCTTGGGCCCTGAATGTTCACTCAAATGCCAAAGAAACCCCAACCAGTTGTCTCACCTTTCCTTCAATAAAACATTGTTTGATTTTTGTGATTCCCATGGTGACAGGCAGCCTCTTAAGGGTGATTGTAGAAGTAATGAAGACTTCTGCCGCATTGACACCGAAGATAGGCAACTGAAGGCGCATCTTAGCCTCCTTTTCTCACTATCATATGGTTGATAATTTGGATCATGCTGAATAACAGAAGTCTTAAGGGCTTCAGGGAGAATGCAGTTGCACATTGAACCTAACACAGAAAGATGATGCAAGTCATTGTAATAATTGCGGACATTCGAGAGGGGTAAAGAGACACAACATGACAACAAAAATGTGACATTGGAAAATGCTTGTGCAACTGAGACAATAAACAACGATCACTACAATCTTGCAAGTGGGGGGTGTTGTTAGAGTACCTATTCTTGCCAGTCGATTTACCCACTTAGGAATGCGTTTACCAGTCAGCTTGTGACAAATATCCTTGCAGAAATGGTTGCAATTCTTGATGATCAAGTGATACGTATCTCCATTGAACCTTGCTGAATTGCGTTCCATGAATTCCCTAACTTGGATGGGATCTAGTGATGTGGTCCCAATGAATATCGACTTCCTGAACTTGAAGCCCGGGCACTGTCGCGGTTCAACATCAAAAACACCACTGGCTGGGTAGTCATGAGCTCCAAATGCATATTCCACGCCATGAACTGTACAGCGTGTGGGGTGGGTTATCAGAAAAGCTAAACTTAGACTCAAAAACCACATAGCAATAAAATGAGAACAGAATTGTCAGGTTCATATTTTGCATATTCAATTTAAGAGCATTGCTTGATATTATGAATTGAGGAAACGCTTATTCTCTCTTCTTCCATTCCCCAACAACTACTGCCTTAAAATGCTACAATGAGGACTATTACCTGTCCTTTCAACCATTATATTTCCAAATGAATTAATCAGATTGCACTGGACAGAAACTAGATAAGGACAACTAAGAATCAAAACCTTTTCAAAATGCAAACTTAAAACCAAGTAAATAAAAGGGCAAAAGCATACAGCAAATGCAATCAAGCCTACCTTCCACACCAGAATGAAAGATACCAAGGCCTGCCCAGTAAAAATAGCCATTCATTGGCGTTAGGTCATATACATTGAGATACACTGGTGCACAGCCTGGATCAAAACTAGCTGGCTTCACCTTCGGGAAAAAACAACAAGAGGCTGATTTGTTTTTCAAAAGACGATGCAACACAGATTTCCCTCTCTTCTTTGATTCAAAATCCATATTTCTTCAATCGTAAGACCAGACTTCAACTAATACCTAGACAAAGGGGGGCAAATTAGCAAACATTAGCTATTTATTTCAAAGGAAGTAAACTATTTCATAATCATGAGAGAGGCAAAAAGCCAGAGAATAATGAATACAGGAAAAGAAGATGAAGGGTCGGTGTGGAGAGAGTAGAGTGTACTAATTAGAGACCGAAAGTTTCTTAAAAACATAGCTACAGATTATAGCAATTGCAATCTTTTTGTTGGCATTTAAATGCTCTAGTATAATTCACTGCTCTCATATTCAAAGATTTCAACAAGTAGTCTAGATATAGTACATAACAATTAACATCTTTAAAAAGTTCTTCTTCTTCTTTTTTTTTTTTTTTACATAAGACAACTCATTGGGTGCAGATACCATGACAAATAATGGAGGTTTCAACTGTTAGCAGACAAAAAGCAGCATATCGACAGTCATGAACTAACATTTCAGATATCCCTTTATTTTTCATCCATTGAAATTGGAATCCCTCAATTCAACAACAAATATCAAGAATCAGAACTCGGCCAAAGGGTTGACGAAAGATCAATTGTTAAAGTTTATCCTCTAAAAGTCCAAAGGTATGAATTTTGCTCCACAGAGAAGCAATGGAACAAGTCAGATACAAAGAGAAGCAAACTGTTTGATCATACGACAAAGAATGATGACATAAAAACGATTGATTTCGTGCAGACTTCTATGCACGTTAGAAACTATCTTTATCATCAATGGTACTAAAATAATCAGGATGCATTATACAAATCTAAACGATAATAAGGAAGACTAACAACTGCGAGAGAGAGAGAGAGAGAGAGGGTAAGGGTCAACTCAGAGCTTCAACGATCCTTAATTCCAACCACTTGGAGTTGGCAAAACCAAACTAAAAACAAAAAACAAAAGTCAAACAATAACAAAACACAGCATATAAAGCTCCAATGCTAGCTAATAAACCCGGCATTTTACATGAAACAGCACAAGTACCAGAATTTCCTCCAAAACTCTTCTTTTTTTTTTAATGCGTAGGGGATAGAAATCATGATGAAAAATTAGAAAAAAGAAAAAGAAACCCAATACAGCATGATCCAAACTCGATATTAAAAAAAGGTTAAATTTTAATAAGACCAAAAATAGTAACTTTTAGCAGTAAGTTTAACTATCAAGTCCTGCGTTTTCCTAATTCATCTCTAGGAGGAACTAGATTTTCAGCATTACTCAAAGAACATTAAAAGCAAAAAGTGGGAAAAAGGAAAAGGAAAGAGAATAAATTCCATGAGAAGAATAGAATCACTGCAGATCTACTAGGATTTGTTCATACCCAGAAAAAATAAATCAAACAAAACAACAACAATGTAATAGATAGGACAGATTCAGAACCTTAATTTTAATCAATGATCCTACCAAAAAAAATCTTTTTTTTAAGAAACAAAATGGAAAAGGAGAGAGAGCGCCTACAGATTCAGAGAAGAGGGCCATTAAGCGTCCAATGAAAAGCAACCGCCATTACAAAGAAGCCAGCTGGTTTTTGAAAGGTTTCGTTTTTATGGTGTACAACGGAGGAAAAACAAAAGAAGAAGATGACACTTTATAAAAGAGAGATTAATAAGCTTAAGCCCCCGTCAAAACTGGAAGCTTTAAGCATTAGAGAAGAAGAAGAAGAATAGGCAAAGCCATACTCTCTCTCTCTCTCTCTCTCTCTCTCTCTCTCTCTCTTAATCTCTTTTTTTTTTTCACTCCGCTGCTCAATCACTGCCACGGTTTCTTTCGGATATATTACTGTTTTTTTTCACTTTTTTGATAAATAGAAAAAAATATTAAAAAAAAACTTGTCTTAAATCAAATGTTTCTATTGGTTGTACATGTGGTGGTGGGACTTAATAAAAAGTAGTATATCTTATAGTTTGTCTTCGGTCAGGAAATATATTCAGACATGTACAGTGTTGGGTTAGGAAAAGACGAGTTGGAGAAGCGAAATTATGGAACACAGCAAAGTTAGCCAGAACCTCCATTCCAGTTGGGGAGAAGAACAAACTTCACACGTGCCAGAAGCAAAGTATTGCAAGAAGCACAATGTAATGGGCAAGGTAGGAAAATTATGGCGCAGAGTCATGTGGTATTATTGGGGAAAGAGGACAGACTTTTTTCCATAATAACGAGAGATATGTGAATGAAAACGACAGGTGTGTCATAATCAAAACGCATCAATCTGACCTCTTCACGCAGGCTCTGCTCACATGAAGCCAACATGCACCCTTATCCGGTGGACCCTCTCTTCATCTCCATAATCAGACAGACTTTACCATTTTCCACGATTTAATAATTTAATCAATCAATTTGATTAATTAAGATTGGATAGTCCTTTAAATTCGATTTCATGATTTCCTGGAAATGCTTTTCACGTTGTTAGTCAATTGTGATGCACTAGAACTACCAAACTGGAATGTTATAGATTTCCATTTTCTTATTATTCACTTTAACACTTAATATCCTGCAATCAAACACCAGTCCCGAAAAGAACATTTCATTTCAAAATTGAAGGAAACAGGAAGACAATTTTCCAAATTTCAAAATTCAATGGCCAATAAAAATAATACTAACAGTTAATAAAAACAGAGCCCGCTGCTGTAGAACTTTTCATCATTGTAAAATGGCACTTTTTTGCTTGGCTGCGTGCCAGAAAAACAGGTAAATGAACATGAAGAATTGACCAACCGTACTTCAACTTTATATTATTTTTAGGCCACAATGATCAAACAACAGAGACCAATGTGCTGTGCTTCAGCCCTTCACTTTTTTTTTCTTTTTTTTGTGCTGTACTGCAAACCAATAGGTCCAAAGGACGTAAAATGCATTAGGCCTTGTTCTTCAATCATGTGGCATGGCTCAAATGATTACTAGATTTTGAATTCAAAAATAAATTCCTACCAAAAGACAAGTAGTTAAAAAGAAGTTCAAGCCTAGGACTCAAAGTTTACTGATTATCTGCATCTTTTGCTTATTCTTTGAGGGTGACATTAAAACAACTATTCCAAATATAGCTGAGGGGTGAAAGCGTTTTCAAACTGATATATATATATATATATATATATATACTTAATTACACAACCTATAAAGAATCAAAATGATGTCTGAAAACAAGATGAACTAATCCTGTGCATTCTCCTTAGCCTGATCAAATGAGCATCTAGTTTTTCATCCTTTTGTCAACAGATGAAATGTTGCAGTCAAGCATACAGTAAATCGCACCATGCATCTTGAAATTGCAAGAGGGTAATCAGACATTGTATTGTCTTGCTACTCTAGCTGTAGCAGTGTGAACATGCTGAAAGCCTGAAACCTAATTTGCCTTGCAACTGAAAGATGTTAAAACATAAGCGCATGGAAATAGTATTAGACATGCCATGTTTTAATGAGTTGCAGCTAAGGGTTATTTAAGGTGAATAATATGGCTGACCAAAAGATTAAGATCAAGAGCCTAAAAATTGACAAATTTAAATGCTATTGTCCTATTAGAAGAAATGTTGTTCAGCTAAACAGATTGTGGGCAAAAAACCGGTCATCCCATGTGTTTGAAAATTCAGCCTGTGAAAGTCCACATGGGATCTGTCTGGGATTGTTCGTCCAGTTGTCTAAACCTAGTGATTGTTTGAAGTACAATAATTGATCATATCAAACAGATTTGGTAGGCCAGTACCAGCACCATGGATAAATTTCTAAGCTTTTAGGTAATTTTTACTTCTATTGTTTACTTCTATTGTCACTAAGAACTAGTTACACATGATGAAATTCTCTATTCAGGATACACATAAGAAAGACTGTTCAGTAAGAATTATAGAAATAATTTCTCTATCGGATAAAATGACACCATTGGCAGATCAATATGTGAATAACTGTTTATGCAAAATTATACATTACCTGCAGAATATCCAAGACTTTTTCTGCAATGTATATTTTATATGGGGCAGCACCCTTATGTGTAGCTTATCTGAATGTAGGTATGCACAGCAGAGCTTTTTGGTATGATCTTTCCACAGCTGGTCCTTCAATTATGTCAACAAGAGGCACTCGCTTCCAACCACTATCAGGCCAAAGAACCTGTGCACACGACCAATGTTAGTCTTTTACAGACAAAATGGTCTCAAGATCGCAATGTGGCTATGTCTAACGCTTCCCAATATTTGAGGGCATTTTTCCTGGTCGGAACCAATGTCAGTGAGCTACTGCTGGCAAGAGGCAACTGTGAGTTCTAAGAATTTAACCAGCAACAGCAAATACTTTACAGTTAAAAAGACTGAAAATGCCGGTTGATCAACCAACCGACATGTTTAATTAGAAGACTGACTTTAGTCTAAACACTTTTCACTCGAAAAGTTAAACTGGATATCCATGACAAAAAGGATATTTTCCGGGGAGCCCTAGAGAGTTGGGGACAATTCAGTAGAAATATATTGTCACTGGCCTACATACTCTTGGAGATTAATTCGGACTCATCCCTTCTTCACCAAACTCGGGCTTTTCGCTTAAACCATACCATGAATTCCGTGATTCAGCAACCATTTCATCACTTCTTCTGAAGACAGATGATGAATCCGTGTTTTCACCAAAACCGTATCGTGTCTCGTGAATTGATGACCTCCTTGACAGACCACCGAAGACTTCTTTAAAGTCTATATCTGAGTTTCTACCAGGAGTCTTCGGAGCAGAAGTTGAGTCCATGAATGTCTTTTGAGGACTATAGCCTAAAAGAACACTTTCTCTCTGTGAAAATCTCTGCATCTTCAACGTTGAAAAAAAAAATGGAAATTGGCGGGAAATATGGTCAAGTTTTTAAACTGTCAACTGGTTACAATATTCAATTCAATCCACTTGCAAAGAGAACTGAACATGTTTTCCGTTGATGAAGCAGACGAGTTTCATGAGAAGGAAAAAAAAAAAGCGTTTTGATAGGGACGGTTCAAGGGAGGAAAAGGAGAAGACAGGATGAGGCTAAATTTTTTAGAGGTTTAACAAAGATTTGAAAGCCAGAAAAGCTCAAGCGATTCTCTATTTGTTTATGATCAGAGTAGAAAAATGCCAAAAAAAAGACAAAGGGTAGAGTGCCAAGTCTATTTTGTCATTCAGTGAACAATTTTCAAAAATTCTACTGAGGACCATTATTCAAGAATTTTTGTGATAGGAGGTTGATTCTGAGTTCGTTTTCCGCAAAGCCATGTCAGATCCACAGCCTATTATCATGACCTTCCTCTTCTAGTCCTCGGATCTGCCTGATATTTTTTTCCTTCAAGAAGGAAAATAATGGTAGTTTAGCAGAAAAGTTTCTCCAAGTTCCAATCCAAAGTCACCTTAAAATGTTCGTTTCCAGGTTACATTCGGCGTCAAAGTGGGAAAAAAGGGACCATCCATAATGCCTGTTGGATAATTGGTGCTTAGATGTTAAAGAGAAATGCCTAATCCAAAGAAAAATGACCGGTTTGCATCATTCCAGGGCCTACCCCTCCAAATTCAGATTCAATTGGCAAAGGGTGCAATCACAGTTGATTTAGAATTAAGATAACTGGTTCTAGTAGGTTGTGAGTGATCGCTTCAGAAATTTATAATGGTAACAACCTCCTGTAAAAGGACAGCAGAAACATGCCGCCCAAGTGTCTTCCAACAATGGTTCATTATACAGAATTGAATAGAAAAGTCCAATTTTATTTTGTAAGGAGCTTCTATTACTAAACAAAATTCTTGGGGAAATAAAAACTTGCATGGTGTCTTCTATCGGCAATTGTGATGTTCCACTAGAAAATGTCATATAAAAAGCCAATTTAGAGGAGGGATAATCACACAAAACGCAATGCAAACGGTGCAGCAAATCTTTATCATGGAAAACAACAAAAACCTTAATAACATTTGTCAGTATGCATAATATAGAACAAGCCTATTAATTGAAGTGCTTGTAAAATTTGATCATAGGTTACAGCAGAAATACAAAGAAACAATGGAAGGAAAGGAGGAGAATAAAGAAAGACGTTCGTCTCTTTTCTTATAAGATAATATAAGAATAACCTACCCGTATGAAGTGACTTTGCAACTAGTGAAAGGTGAGCCCATGCATGGGTCAACATGAGATCCTTAAAGATGCTACTCCTACCAACCAGAACCATCCGGGAAAGGGTCCAATGCGTCTTGTTTGCCATTAACATAGAATTCTACAACTGCTTTCATTCTTCGAAGTTTATCTGGGTGGTAATTTACGTGAACAATCACAGGCTTTAACTTCTTCAGTTTAGCATCTTTCCTTACTGTTTTAAAGAGGACCTTACTGTTCATAAACATGTAGAAATCCATAGTTCTCTTGGCAGCATGAAGCCCATCATACCCAGGATGTGAAGGGAAAAACAGTTCCTCATTAAAAACAGCTTGATCCCATGCATTTTGTTGCCGAGCCATCCGATCAGCCACACGGTCCAAAAGCTCAATTGAAGGAATTGTAGGTCGTATATAAAAGAAACCAGAGTTGTAAACCCATATTCTCATTGTATGAGCATAACGAGCCCAACCCATGGCAGGTTCATCAAAGACATCATTATAACCGTATGCAGTCATATTATTGTGACCGTCAGTCATGGACTCTACGTCAGAATCCCGATAAAGATGGTTGAATGGGTTTTGTAGGTATACTATATCAACATCAGAGAGAAGAACGCTGTAACCCAGTTGCAAAAACTCCCTTAAAATGCGGAACTTCAATCCAGAGACAGCGTGATTGCCTCCTGTTCTCCCAACAGCATCAACACCCTCATCAGGATCCCTTTTGTACACTGGAACATCATTTGATTTGCAGAATTCTACAATCTGGTCATCTAAAGCTATAACTAGGTAATTAGGTATACCAACTCTCTTGATGTTAGAAAACCAAACCTCCAACATCTCTTTCACGTTTGAATTGGCAAGTGCAACTATGAGCTCTTTCCGAACAGCAACTTCCTCCAATATCTTAGCCAATCTTGGGTTCACAGAGTCATCAGGAACAACAGTTGGGTTAGTTCGTAAAGCCTTGACAGCACCAAAAGGTCCAGCTTTGTGCTGTTCACCCAACACCAAAAACTGCTTCTGTGCATGATCTTTTCCTTGTTCAGCCAGCTGTAGCTTTTCTGTCAAATCTTTGACATGCTTCTTTAATTCAGAATTCTTCTCTGATAGAGATACAATTTCAGACTTCAGCATCTTAATCCGCTCCGAGGATTCACATGATGAAGAACCAATCTAACAAATAGCAGGGAAAAAAAAAAAACAATATACACATCAAGCAACCGATAACAAAGAAAACCAAGATGATACAAACTTTGTAATGTTCGGGTATCCCAAGATAAGAAGAAAGCCCACAATTCTTTACAAATCATTACTAGGTGCAAATCAAAACATTAACCATTGGCCATTTTTATGCAACAAAATACCCAAGGATTGGCCAAACTGAGCTCAAAATATCAAATAAAAGACAGGAGAATAAAGCCTAAAGCGGACCATTGCCAAGGATAATGGAAGCCATCTATTGCAGGTAAAACTACAAGATGGGTTAGAAGACGTCCTCCAAAACAACTCTGTTTCAAGATTCTATTACTACTATGTGCCATCTGCCATGTGTAGAAACTAGAAATAGAGCTAATCAATTCCGATGCTGCTCGACCGAAGATTTAATAAGGCTTAGCTAGGTCTCTAAAAGAGGAGAATAAAATAGTACTATAATTATTGTTTCGTAATTGTTTCAAATTCCTTTCCCTTGTATCCTAAAAGTGAAGGTTTAGACAAGTGTTATTGAATTTCCTAGTAAAATCATTTGTTTTCCTTGAACACCCAACTCTTGGAAACAAATCTTTTTTTACTATAGAAAGAGTTAACACCTTCAAGAACACTGGTTAGTTCCAAAGTCAACTCAACCCAATTCACACTTGACACATTAGCAAGAAAATGCTAAGATCAATAACCACTAAAAAGCATTAATCAAAGAAACTTTACAAAAGAAAAATTAAAACTTGAGGTAGCAAATAAGAGGTGAACCTGGAAATTTGATTTGCCAAATCGACGATTTTGAGAAGAGGGAGTGGGGTTGATGAGGCCATGAGGGAAAAAGAAAGCGATGACGCATCCAAGAAGAACTCCGATCACAATGGCTACAGCAATTCGAGATCCGCGAAGTGACTGCCCTTTCTCTCTACGGGCCGCCATCCTCCTTCCCACTCGGTCCAACACTGAAACAGAACGAGAGAGAGAGAGAGAACAAGAAGAAGAAGACGAAGAAGAAGACGAAGAAGAAGAAGAAGTGAAAAGGCTCTCCCTTTATCCAAGAATCAACCGCTTTGATAAGTTAGCAATTCTAAGCTTCTCCTCTTGGCTTTTGGTACATAACTCTTAAAATTAGGACAGATGAGATAGGTTTTTTTTTTTTGAGGTTGGGGGGGGGGGGGGGGGGGGGGGTTAGCAGAGATAACAGTGAAGAGTTTAGATTTGGTGCTTCAGGAACATTTATTTGACTATTGAAAAAGATGGAATCAGACCGTCCGTTTTGATAAATTTCGAATGATCCAACGGTTATACACGCGTCATTGACTTTTCCGCCACATTGGCGTGCTGCACGGGTTTAATCATTGAGGATTTCTTTCAACAACCGAAACAATGAATTTTCCCACCCAAAAACCACAACTGGAACAGAGCAAGACCCTTTTTTTTGTTTAATTCTGGCAAAAAGAACATTTCACTTAAAATACTAACGACAATACTAATATATTTACAACAATGATTGTGGTTTGTACATTGAGAGCAACATCTAACTCACCAACATAAAGGCACGTGACAAAAACAAATGAAAAATACATCAAAAACAGAGGCGGTTCGATTGCGAACTCAGGAACAATGGATCCTACAAAACCAACTTATCAACATCATAAGAATTTGCTTCCTAACAAAATTGGATCATCGCGGCAAATCAAGTAAAACAAGGTTCACTAACTTCCCTACAACAGCTCCTCGTGCTCATGCAGACTTGTTCTCCTGCATAACCAGGAATAAGAAAGATATTAGCATCCTTCAAGCAAACACGAATTCGTTAGCCTAGGAGAGCAAGGATGTTATGAAATAATCATGTAACAAAGACCAATATCAAGATAATTGGTCACATCTCATTTTTAATGTTGATGCAAACTTAGTACAATTGGATTTAAGAGGGTATTTCTGTTTTGGAAACCCAAAAGCTTGGCAGTAGTAAATGCACAATTTTTATGAATACCAACCCAATGCAGTCATCCCCAATGTTCATTTTGATGTAGGTCAAAATGGAAGGTATTCCACTCTTATTCCTTGAAGCCTAGGTTAATGTTCAAGAAGTGAGGCTAGTTAGGTAAATAAGAAAAAAAAACCTTAACTGAAGGAAGATATTAAAAAACTTGAAATCCTTTAATTTAGTAGGAACACGAAAAGAATGCAAACCAGGGGGTTTTCCAGCCAAAAGAAAAAGAAAACAAGGGTTTTTAGCACGAACTCTGAGAAGTAACATAAATGAGTCTCGCCATTCCTCTTTATTTACCTATTTTTAGTTCGCCTAAACAGGATAGAAAGAATTAAGAGCAAATGCATACTTCCTCGGAGCTAGTAATATATGACACAATAACAGTGATGTCATCAAGCTTTCCACCATAATAACGGAACCCAGCATCTTGAGCAGCAGTTGAGAAAGGTGTCTGTCGGTTTCTATCTTGTGCCCGTTGCCGTGCCAACGCTGCTATCTTTTGAGCAGTCACTTGAGGCCCCAAACCAGCTCTCACAGCATGAACCACCACTGCAGTAATTTCATTATTGTACAAGTTATCAAACAGTCCATCTGTGCCAGCAATGACAGCGTCTCCTGGAGCAACAGGAACTGCGAACACCTGATTGGGCAGAAGATTTAGATCACTTAGATATTTCATAATCTATCAAATAAACTAAAGCCTCATGCAATTTAATAAACAAGCTCAAAAGTTCTAGTTTAAGACAGCGAGGGGAAAAATAAAAGCTACAAAAGATGCAAGAGAAACCAAAACATGTAAATCATTGCTTAATAAATAATTTGGTTGACTTGTCAGTTATCAAGAAATATAAAAGGGTTATACTCTCTCACTTAAATATTTAAGTTATTAGTCACGAGAAACAGTCAGCAGAAGCCACCATCAAACATCCCAGGGCCAACCAAGCAAATATCCATCAGAAAATACATGGTTTTTCTCATAAAATTACACAAACAAAATTTCATTTTCATAAAGTCAAAATAAAAGACCTTTCCAGGAATATAAGCACAGGAGGAACATGTGTAACTACCTCACCAGAACTAGGTAAATCACCATTACTTCCACTCTCAAGTTGATATGTGAAGTTAAAATCATGCTGCTGGACAGGGGATCTAAATATAGTGCATCCATCTCGAACCACCATAAAACCACTATCTCCCAAGTTTATAGCATCAAGACCCTGCAATGAAAACTCAGAAAATTAATATACCATCCAGCAAGTAACTTGATCCAGTTATCCAAGAAGAAGGTAATTTGTGCAATTTTAATGTAAGCGGAATGAGTGTTAATACACAAAGCCCCAATTCTGACCCTTCATCATTTCAAATTTTACCAAGCTACCACAAGTTACTGACATTGATTTTTAATCCCCTACTTAGGACATAAGCTAGGAAAGACATCCAATTGCAGGTCATTAATTCATCAGTTCATGTTAAAGTGCAGAAAGTAGTATTTTGATTTAGATGTGTTCCACATAATTATTTCAGGAAAAAGCTACTCATGTTGGAACATTGAAAATGATCGGCAAGCCCAGAACGGAAATGGCTTACCTGGTCTGTGAGGGCTATGATGCATGCTGTTGAGGAACCTTTAGCTTTTGTGCTAGAGTGAGCTTTCTCTAAGACTCTTGCAGGGTCAATTGAACCCTTGGGCTCCTCTTGGATAGCATTTACAGAGTTAGACATGAGTTCCCTAGAATACAGCCCTGCATCAACACCCAGATCTGCCCAGCCACCGACTCCATCTGCTACACCTACTGCTTGTTCATCCACACATATGAAATGAGCATCTTCACCTCCAGTATCTTCTTTGTCAGGATGGGGAAGATAGCAGGATCCTGAACGCAGCTTCAGAGTTTTTCCAGCAGAAATCTTCCTATCATAATTGTCAAGCATGGCAAAATATAATTTGCAAAAGATATCGTAATGATTTGGTAAAAGGAAATTGGAAAGTGCACAGAGAGCATACTCTTCTGCTGACACAGAAGAACTGGCAACCTGTTCTTCATGACCAGAATTATCAAAGGAAACATCAGGTACGGTACCAAAGGATAAACAAGAAGACAATGAACTAAGGAAAGCCCTTGAACCTGACCCCGACCAAGGATTAAAGTTGCACCATCTTTTTCCAACACTATAAATGAAATATCCATAAATTGGAGACCTGTTAGGTTTCTCATGGTTTTTCAAACTCATTCTAGCTTTTATGCAGCCATTCAAATTCCCATTGCCATAAAATATGTCAGCACTACTTGTTAACGATGAAAGGTGCTCATGCTTTAACTTTAATGTACCAATAAAATCTCCACCAAATACAACTCTAGAACCAGAAGCAGCCATAGGTTTACTCTGAAATTTGCAAACTGGAGGTATTTGACTGAAGTCAGCAAGTGCACAATCAATATGATACCCACAAACCTGGAAGGCAGGGCCCGAAACAGATGGAACAGAAATTGTTCGAGAAAATGCTCCAACAACAGAAATATTTCTTCTTCGATTAGGTAAGAGAGAATCTGATCTTGCAGCCAAAAAAGTCCCTGTTGGCAAAAGTCCTTGCAAATCCGCAAGACCCAAAAATCTTAAAGAATGAAAAAACCTACAATTGCCAAACCCTAGCTTCCTTGTTCCAATCAGAACTTCAATTGAATCTTGAAGCCCACAATCTGTTCTGTGGATTCCATTCTGAACTGCACTCCTCAGTCTCCAAAAGTAAGTGGATGGCATCTTATCTTCTTAAGCAAAGCAACTTTCTTTCAAACCGTCTATTACAGAGAACACAAAAATCACTACTATATACAGAAGAAAATTTCATAACTTTTTAACAAATCTAAACCTTAGATTACTAAAATCATAGATAATTCCTGCTCTCCCTTCGAAAATAGCAGGAATTAAGAAACCTGAAAAGAAAAACAAAAGTTTGCAGATAACAAGTTAAAAACCAACTCAAAAAAAAAAAAAAAAAGATTTCAAACGATGATACTATCAATATCAAGAAATTGAATCAAACAAAAACAGAGGAAAATACAAACACAAAGTTTATCTAAGCTTAATTCCAATGAAAAATCAATTTGTAATCCGCCAAAGAAAGGAATCAAAATCAACACAGATATGATATAATTAATTCCAACTCAGCTAGTTAACAGGATTATCCAACAAAAAAGGAAAAGAAACCCTAAATTCCTTTGAACAAAATCAACACAACGAAAAAAGAACATCAAATTAACAAGGCACGAAACCTCACCTTTACAGAGCCATCAAAACCAACAATTTCAAATTGAAAACCCTATCCTCAAAGTTCTGGGAGAAGCTAGAAATGAACCGATCGGTTTAGAGAGAACCGCCAGAACCGGTTCTTCAGTCGAGTTGCCTTCATGAAACCTTAAAGAAACGAAAGACTCCAAATCTTCGGGTGCAGAATCTTCTCTGAAACTCGGGCAAGAACGGTGCAAAAAGAAAAAAATTTTTCTTAAAAAGATGTCGAGAAAGTTCTTGGAAGAAGCTCAGCAAACGACAATGAAACCCTACAAATGGTTACAGGGAGGGAAAGCGACAATTAGCCCCTAAAGCTGTTTCCTTTTACTCAGGATTTTTCAGGGTGAGAACAGATTTTAAGTTTGACCAAAACGTGGCAAAATTATATTTGTTTAAGAACATGACAAGTACTTATATTTGTTGACGGAATTGACTGTCGGATAAGCTAAACTTTACTCAATGTGTCGATTGTTTTGGGGATTTTGACGAGGGTATAATTGTCCTTATGAACTTCAACGGGAATTCGTATGTTGTTGGAGTTGGACGTATCAGTGCACTTGCCATGTTTAATCATCCAAATTGGTTGGAGATGAAGATCAAAATTACAACTCTTGGATTCAAGCAAACTTAATAAAGTTTGGTAGGTAAATTCGTAAAGTTATTTTGTTAAATTAAAATAAATTTTAATAAATTGAAAGTTTTTATTATATAAATTAAATATATAATTTTTAAAAAAATTTTAATAAATTTTGATTTTTTATAAATATTTTTAATAAAAATTTTATTAAATTTTTTATCATTAAATAAGTACTAATTAAATTTAATTATAAATAATATTTTTAATTACATTTTTTATATATTATTTATTGTTTTTATTAAATTGTATTAAATTTTTAATTTGAATTTTTTATTAAAATTTGTAATAAAAATTTTACAAATTTCACTTAAGAAATTTTATATAAATTCTTCCCCTTAGATTTTAGATTTTTGGCCTAATATTTTTCTTTTTAACAAAATTATCCTGTCCTTGCTTTCATACTTCTAGTATTTTAATTTTTAGACTAACCGAAAGTCCTTTATTATAGACTTTTGCTTACTATAAAAAAAATTAAAGGATTATTTCTTTCTTTAATTACATTCATAATCAAGTATTGATCTAATAATTAACTGTTACATTATTAAATAATTAATTAATAAATTATAATATAATTAAACAATCAAACTCACACGTAATGAGACTTGATCATATGATTTCAAGTTTTAACTAGTATGCTATATACAAAGAGGAAGATTTTATGCTTATTCCAAGTTTTGAATGCTTTAAACATGCTAAAGTTCTCTAAGCAAATCTTCAATTCATGATCTTGCTGAACAGGATCTGTGAACCACATTGAGGCTGCAGGCTCGTTAGCGCCAATGGTGCATGAACGTAAGTTGGTGACATTACAAAAGAATATTCCTGGAGGATCATAGCGAGCACGATTTTTGCCTCAACCATGGCTAAATTGTGACCTGCGCAGATTCTAGGCCCCAACCCAAATGGCAAATACGAGGCTAAGTGCTTTCGAGCCTCTTCAAATCTAGAAGCATCGAACTTATTGGCATCTTCTCCCCATATAGCAGGATCATGATGGACAACAGCCAATCCTAACTGGAATTCTGTGCCAGCAGGAATGTCGAGGCTCCCTAACACAACGTTCTTCGTTGTTTTCCTCATAATCATCACCACTGGAGGGTTAAGTCTAAGCGTTTCACTGATAATCATATTCACCTGTTAGAAGAAGATGAAGCCAAAATAAACAACACAAACTTGGACAATATGTCCCAGCAATTTCCTTTTGGTAATTCCCATCTTCCACAATTTATCAAAGGTTGGCTTAAAATGTTAATAAAGAGTCAACTTACTATTCTGAAGTCGTTTAAATTCTCAGAAACCGGCTCTTTGTTTTTACAGATGCGAATCACTTCTACCCTCGCTTTCTCTTGCCAAGCTTGATGCATTGCTAAAAGTGTAAGTGCCCAAGTCATAAGATTAGCAGTTGTTTCTTTTCCTGCAAAGTAAAAAGTCCTACATTCATCTAATTTCTTCCTCCTCTAATCTCTCTTCATGACCATCCTGGTTATTATAAGAAGACATCAAAAGGCCAAGTAGATTCGTGGAGTTTTCCATTGCTTTCTTTTTCTGATTAGTCTTGATCAGCATCCGTATTGATTCACAAATTTCCTTTTCCAGTCTCCACCTTTCTCTGTTTTTCCTGGTGGGTAGAAACCTGTGTAAAACAGGTTTTCAGAAGTCACTAAACATAAGGCGGAAAAAGAAAATTTCTAACCCCAAATTCAATTTAAGACTAGTACTCATCTGAACCCTGGAATATAAACGCTTGTTATACCCTCCCAGAAAAGGTATAATTGCCGTTCTTGCAACATAAAAATACGCTTTCCCTCTTCAAAACTACGCCCAAAAGCTGTCCTGGATATAATATCTGCTGACAGGGAATGGAATTCTTTTTGCACTTCGATCTCAAATTGATCTTTTCCTCCTCTTATTTCCTCGGACTTCTTTAACATTTCCCCAGTGCTGGTCACGATCCCTGTCACAAAACCCTGTTAAAAGAACGACTGTTATGGTCTGCGGGATCAGCCTTAAAATTTTGTTTTCAACATTCAGCCGAACATGTTACCTTAACCCGCTCCATTTTGAAGGCCTGGTTTGAGATTCTCCTTTGTATAGCCCATTTCCCTCCTGTCAGCCCAACCAGTCCTTGTTGTCCAAAGAGCTGCTTACTTGAAGGGCCAAACCCCAAGGGTTCAAACGTCGGCGTCCCACCATCCGTATTGAGAGTAACCTGCTTAATCATGTCCAGGTTAGATATCGCAAGCCTGGGCTTTAACCCAAACCAATAAAGGAACGTTTGCCATAAGTGCGTGACCACTTGCGGTAACCAGGAGCCACACGGTCTAGGATATCAAGCTGGTCAAAGGACATGGGCTTTGACCGAGCTTCTGAATGCAGATGGCGGATCTCTGCTAAGTTTCCAAATATGGGACGGTAGCTAGGGCCCCTTATCCCTTGTTTTCTGAAGTGGGTTTGGATTCTCCACGGAACCCAGATGATTTTGTGAGAAGCTTTCAAAAGGAAGGTTAAAAGACGGAGCAAAGCAAGTACAAGAAGCATTGGCCATAAAAAAATAAAAAACCTAGCAATAGAAGCAGAAAGAAATGTCTTGGCTAAAGAAATGTCTTGGCTGTAGAAAGAAATTAAGTGGTGGATTGGGGTGGTTGGGGCTTAGAAGTTTTTATGTTTTATTTTTTACAGAGGTCAAAACTTAGGTGATAATTAGGGGTGAAAATTTTACAATTATTGAGATTAAATTTCAATTGAGTTAATTTTTTTTTTCATTTTAATTATATTAATGCTGGCACAAATGATTTTTATTCCCCTTGAAGAACTTAAGAAAACTAAATTATATAAGCTCAACGTTATTGTTATTGGCATGGATGGTATTAATATTTTATCTATATAAAATAGAGTAATTGTTTTTTTCTTCTCTTTCCTTCAGTTGACAAGTAATCAATTATTGCAACGCAACAAGGCATGATTCATACTGATAATATGGAATTAGTTTTTAAATTGTGATTAAAAACATGTTATTTTAAATTTAAAATAAATATATGATTGTGTTAGTAAAGTTGGTTCATGGTGACCTAATTATACCTTCATCCCAAATCCTAGTTACTGTATTAGGTTCGAGTAGATGTCAAACTTTTAATCAGCGAGACTGCAATTTGAACTGCACAGTCATCTTGCTAATGATCACTTGTTGTCGAGCTTGGAACTTTGTTTTTAAGTAAAAATTTATGTTCACGTTGCATGAAAATTTTGTAGACCAGCATCATGCAATGTAATTAATTGATGAGGTGAGCCAACTTTTTAAAGTACATCCTGGATGATTGAAAGAGGGAGGGAGACCCCTTCATATTCTGGCTGATGAAACGATTAGGTCATGCTTTGATATATTGGTTTTGCAGATTGAAATATCTTGGCTTGGGATTAGCTGTAAGTTCATGGTATCTTTTAAAATTTATTTCTTAAAGTTGTCTTTAGATTATTGAGCATTCAACTACAACAATGGTGTAGCTCCTCGTTGGAGGCAGAATTGGGGTTTCCCTTAGGAATTTCTACTTCACAATTGGGCTGCCAGGAAATGGGTCCGAAATGGGTTTAATCTCCTGAGCCTGATGTTGAATAACGAAACGCTACATCAATCCCACGTAAGAACAGCGAATCAGCGACCACAATGCACGGCGAAAGCAAAGGCACATGACATGTCCGAAACGTGTTCCCGCTAGGGCAGGAAGCTTAAAGCCTTAAAACCAAGCATGAACGTTATGAAACATTCATTTTTGTTTCTTCTCTCATATTTGGAGCGGACCTGATCGAAATCTGTCTCTCTCTGCAAATTTTCTGAATGCGTAATCGTTTGGAGAACGCCAGGCAACAACCCCACCACCCATAAAAACTCAAGGGCCCTGCGGCCAGGATACACATGCACCTGTGGCTTGCCAACTCACCTTATTAAATGGGGGGTTCGACAGTTCTGAATCTGAACTCCGAAGGACTCCCTATCATGTTTAGAATTGACCAGCCGACCCCCTTTGTTTGACCAACGCCTTCACTTCCAATCTCATCATAATGGCGTATATGCACCGTCATCTTCCAATCAAGGAAATCATTTTCAAACTTGGATTACTCAAAACTTTGGATTATAATGAACTTGAAACTGGGTTTTAACTAATCGGCAAATTGTTTAAAGTGTTTCATATTCAGTCAAATTTTGGCAAATTGAACCCTGTCCCTGTATGGACAGTCATGTTGGAAGTTGGAGCTTGGATGTGAAACAACAATCAAGTTTAATAAAAAAGTAAAAAATAACTGTATATAGTAGCATCATAGTTTGTGCTACATTTGCTAGATACTAACTACAGGAGTTCCCGTACAACCTTTAAATTAAACTTTACCTCAAAAGGAAACTAACTTTAAAAGGCAGTATTTAACACACGGAAAGCCAAAAATTAGAGTCTGACTCTAACATTCTTCTCTCAGTTCTAAGCAGTTGTATTGAAGAAAGACTAAAAAGATTGAAAAACAAAATGGTGTATCCTTTAGCTGGGAACTGAACCTCTAAAGCATGGTTGGGCCAGTGGGCTTTCTATCCGGTGCACCTTCCCATGTTTCTCCAGGCGAACTCCCTCCTGTTCCATAGGATGTAGTAGCTGCTGCTCCAACATTGAAGCCACCTCCAAAGGAAGTGAGCAAAGCAGACAGTCCACTTGAGGAAGCTCCACCATCACCCATGCCAAGGCCAAGAAGATCAAGCGTAGTAGGCTTGTTTCCAAACAGCGAGGATGAGCTTATGCCTATCATGGTATTAGTCAAGCCAGAACTTCCATTTGTAGGAAGGCCAAGGCCAAAACCAGTTGCCATTGAATTGCTCTCTGACTTAACATTAGGATCTTTACCATCAGAGGAAGTTGATGATATTGCCAAGCCTAAACCACGGAGCAGTGAAGGGTTTGATGCCGCTGAACCCATTCGTGCAGCCTTTTGTAGCAATGCAGTAGCAGACATGGCTGGTTGCGGGGATGGAGCATAGTGGCAATGGTCATGTTCAGGTCCAGAGAAGATAGAGGAGCCATTGTTGGAGAGGTAGAGACGAGAGGAAAGAGATAGGGATGTGCGCTCTAACGGTGCTCCTGATTGAAGGATCGAAGATGGTGCTGGTATTTTGGATGGTTGAGAGTTTGGAGCAAATACGCTAGCGAAAACATTGCTGTTTGAAGGAGAGGTACTAGTTGCTGCTGGAGTTGGTGGTGAAAGTCCCATTGGATTTTCTGGTATTTCTGTAACCAATGTAAAGTGAAAAAAAGAATGAGAAGCCATTGATAGAAAATACAATGACGAAGATTAAAGTGGCAGCAAAGAACAAAAAAAGAAAACGAAAGAAAGCGTGGAGATTGAAAGGGAGAGGACTTTTCTTTAAGGCCTTTTCCCATAACTTGAAAGCATTGGGAAGTAAAAGCAATGGCAATAATGGCTTCCTTTCTTTCTCTCAGTTCACCCCTTTTCGCTTTTCGATCATTGAGCTTACTTATTGACACTGTAACCATCTCGCTCGTGAACCTAATAAAAATAAACTCCTGAACACATTTCTCTCTCTCTCCCTAACTCTCCCCTCACTCACCCACGGCATTTGTTAAGTTCTCTAAGCAAATATCCAAACGAGAACGACATCAAGAAGAGACAAACCGAGCCATAAAAAACTAGAACTTCATTTGAATGGACTCTCAGCTTTCTTCACCCACAATAGAAAAACAAAAACAATTAAATAAAATACCCCAAGATCATCTCACCTTTGACCTATCTAAATAAACAAAAACAAAATATAGTAGCAAACCCTCTGTAAAAGTACACATACAAAAAGAACCACAAATTATTTACCTGAACTCTGAATTGACAAGCCCGGTGAAACTACACTAGTAGTAGACGGTGTTAAAGGCTGCGGTGGCGGGGATGTTGAAGCAGCTCCGCTTCCAACCATACTTTTTCCACTCCCATTCCCTTCTGTATCAGCCATCTCTAGCGTTTGAGCCCTTGCGCTTTCCTCAGCTAACGCATCGCAGAAAGCTCTATGCGTTATAAGACTATCCCTCCTTCAAGAAGACGCCATCATCCAAAAGTCAAAACCAGAACCACAAAAAACGCATACTAAAGGAAAAGAGTTCAATTATGAAATGGAAACGGATGAGTTTATGCTTACCTAGAAAAGATGGTGCCACAATCGCATTTATATTCTCGGGTGCCGCAAGTTTTCATGTGGGCCTTCCAATCGGACTGAACAGCGTATTTTTTAGAACACCGCTCGCATTTCCATTTCTTTTCCCCGTGTTTTCTGCAAAAGTGTTTCTTGATACCGGTAAGATCACCCAGGGCTCGAGCCGGGTTGTGGTGGACGCAACTTGGCTCAGGGCACACGTAGACTCGCTTTCGTATTTCTTTGCTGGTTCTTTGCCGTAATTTCCATGGTAAGTTATGGCCCCGTCGGTGGAGTTGAAGGTTTTGATCGCGTTGAAAGCCCTTTTTGCAGATCTCACAAACAAACCGGTTGGTGGCTAGCAGCGTTTTTGGAGATAAAGCCATTACCTCAGCATCTGGATCTGAATGAATCAAAAAGAAATTTACAATAAAAAAAAAAACGATATTTTTCAACATTGCGAGACAAAAAGAAAGAAACCCTGGAAATTAAAATAATTGAGATTAAAAAAAAGGTGGACTTTGACTGTCGTTATAATTAACCTGGCATCCCAGGAAGATTTCTTTTCTTCTTCGGTGTTCCTTCTCCTGTTTGTTGAGTGCCTTGAATCTGATGACCCGAAGAAGATGCACTTGCTTCTCCAGAAACTCTAGAAACTGCCATGGGTGAAGAATTTTCAAGCTCCACCATGCTTTTATTTACTCGAAACCCAATCAAAGACAGCCAAAAAAATCTGGTTTTTGTTCCAGGTTTTTCTTTTTCAGCTCAAAGAAAGAAAAACTCAGTTTCAGATAGAGGAAACGGTCGAGTTCGGATACAACAATTCACCACAAATGATGGTTTGAATTTCAAATAATATGCTTGTTTTTACTTGATAAAAAGCAGTAGGAAAAAGACAAAGCTTTTTTCTGTCCAAGTGTATGGCTTTCGTTTGAGTGAAAACAAAAAAGAAACTAAATGAGAGCCGCCGATTCAACTAAGTCGTCAAGTCATGACCGGAAAAGCACGGAGAGTTCACAGAAGGCGGCTCTACGTCCATAATACAGAGAGAAAACAGTAAACAGAGTCATTGAAGAGAGAGAAGCAAAGAAGAAAGACAGAGATAGACTTGAATAAAGTGCTAAAAAAAAATAATATATAAAAGTAATTAAAAAATAGTCAAAGCGGCGCCAGCTTTAACAATGGACAATGGTTAAGTCCTTCGAAACTGTTGATATTTAACTATGGTTTATTCGGAGACATATATACATCGACATCAGCTCCTCTCCTCTTCTCTTCTCTTCTGGCTGCTTATCAAAATCTGACCGTCCACCTGTCATATTTCCTGCCTGCTGACATTTGTCGGGAGAAGTCGTAAGTATGAACCAGGCGATGTTTTTAGTTTAGTAAAAAAGCGCTCCGATTTTTTTTTTTGGATTTTTTAACTGTAAATACGGTTTTAAAATGTTTAAAATACTATTTAATCAAAATTTTTGCATACATTATTTATATTAAATTTAAAAAATAATAAATTAATTATATATATTTAAATAACATCTTAATTAATATCATTAAATATTCATTAAAATTTCTTTTTTTTTATATAAAAATAATACATTAATTATTTATAAGATTGTAAATAAATTGAATATGAATAAATAAATATATATTTATATTTGTTCATTTATTTTTAAAAATATTCATGTTTAATTCGTAATGGTAAAAAAAATTATTCTATTTATTTATATTCGTTCGTTTAAATAATAAATTATATGTATTCATTCAATTAAGTTAAACGAGCTTATTTATAAATAATAAATAAATAAATTAACAAATATATGTAAATGAACATATTAATGAATAATAAATAAATTATAACTAAATAAATTTAAATAAACAAACCATAAACAAATATAAACGAACTCAAATAAATATAAATAAATCTTAAAATATGATTAAGATAAATAATAAAAATATGATTTTATTAATATCATTATAAAAAATAATAAATTAATAATAAATAAACGAGTTTTAAATAAATTATAAATAAATTTATTCGTAGATATAAATAAACGAATAAATAATTTTTTGTTTAATTTGTTTAATAAATGAATATACAAATAATATTTAAAATCGTTTGTTAAATTTAATAATCGAACATAAATAAATATAAATTAATAAAAATTAGATATATTCACAAAAAAGTTTATTAAAAGCTCTATTCATTTGTATCTCTAATTATTTATTTTTTAAATATTACCTTAATTTGAATATTGAGTAGATAAGAACGATTAAGACGACGAGAAAAAGCCATAAGAAGATGCTCAAAATTACAATGAGAAAAAGATTTTTTGTCCGGAAATGAGTGGCTTTCTCGTGATTATACTCTTTCGTCCAATATTACAAGTGCTAGTGCAGCTATAAGAAGATGTTCAAAATAACAATTATGGCTTTCATTTTCTTGAATTTTTGGTAAATTTCATTTCTTTGGGTGAAAGCAACTTTGGGTGAAGAGACGGAAATGGGCATATATGAAGTGGCAATTTTGGTAAATAAGATGGTATTTCTCAGCTTTTTCAAAAAAAAAAAAGGAGTCTTTGATTGCCTCTATTGCATCCTGTACGTTACAGGATTTTGGTGTTGACCAATGTCCTTGAAGCCTTCATATGCTTACAGGGAAAGAAAATCCTTGAAATTCGATTCTCAGTTTCATAAATCATTATGGCTTCATGCTGTTTCATATTCAAGATGAAAGATCATGATCATCCATTCCTATTCTTATTTACGCTGACATAATATATAATTTAATATTTTAATAATTATTATATAAATTTAATAAAATAAAAAATATATTTTATATTTTTATTTTAATATAAATTATAACATATAATTTTTATATAAAATATAATATAAATTTAAATATTTTATATATTATTAATACATAAATTACCAAATTTATTCTTATTTCTTAGGTCTTTGACTGGGGGGCATGCGGTCGAGGAGGAAAGATCCAACATGTTAATTAATAGCTTGAAAATAAGAATTAAATCGTAGCTTATAATAAAGACTTTTCCTTCTGTTACTGAAGAATATTTTTTAAAGATAATCTTTTCTTAAGAAAGTAATATCATGTATGGTACCAAATGTAGAAACTTTGTTTAAATTGGATATAAAGGCAAAGTAAAATTTGTCTTTATGTGGAAAAAGGGCACCGGCTTTTGCAAAAGTTGAGAGTGGCAGCACACAACATATATGTTTTTGAACTTTGGTTTGATAGTTGAGTTTGATTGAGCCGCACTGGCCTCCACCACCATTCACACACCACGCAATTTCATCAAAGCTGGGCCCCAAAACCATGGCCAATGTATTAATAATAGTCATGATCCATAAATTATAGAACTAAGGATAATGATTTCGTAGGGCTTTTAAACAGGTAAGATAATTTATGTATTTATATTATATAAAATATTATATTTTATATAAAAATTAAATATTATAGTTTGTTTTAATAAAAAATATATATTTTATATTTTATTAAATTTATTTATAATTTTTACTAAAATTTTAAATTATATTATTTTTTATATTTTTTATTATATTATTTTTATATCGTATTATCACATAATATTTAAATTTATCAGGCTTACTTTTAAATTGCATGTTAAATCCAAGCAAAGGTATGAACGCAAAAAAGGGTTTGCCATTATAATAATCTCTTTGAAAACATTAGTACATTACTTTTTTTTTTGCATGAAATTAATATATTCGTCCATCTCTATGTCCTGCCAAAGTAGACAATTTATGCAAAATTAAATAAGATTTTCAATTTGAAAGCCAAAACTTGTTAATATTCTTGTTTTTATTTCTTTCGGGAAGGTTACAATATTATTTTAATAATTTAAAATATCATATGATAATACGATACGAATAAAAAATATTAATAATATGATTTAAAATTTTAATAAAAAATATAAATAGATTTAACAAAACTAAAAAAATATATTTCATATTTTTATGTTAATATTAATTATAATATCTAATTTTTATGTAAAATATGATATGAATACACAAATTATTAATATTTTATATGACATAAATATACAATTACTAAATCTATATGTTAATTTTTGGTAAGATTAGCAATAAAAAAAATGATTGTATAATTTATTGATAGAATATTAATTTTTAATTTTAACAATTAAATTTTAATTTTTAAGAATCATAAATATAAAAAAATGGGTTATTAAAGAAGACTCATAGTTGAATATGAGCATGGCCTAGCCTAGGTTTTGAATAATTGTTTTTAATTTTTTTATACACGGTGAAGAGACATCTTGAAAATTAGAAATTGGGTTGATTATGTTCAAAGAAATTGAATAATTTTGGCTCCATAGGAAAATGACTTTGGATGAGAAAAAAAGAAATCTAAACAATGACTCCAACCCAAAGATTGATGTGGCTAAAATCACTAAGGCAGTTTTTGTAATTACTTGGCAAACAAGCATTTAGCATATATGAATATGGTAGAAAGAGATTTCATAATAGAGTGAACCATTAAAAAGAGATTCGTCTATTCATATATTTATATCATATAAAATATTAATAATTTATATATTTATATTATATTTTATATATAAATTATATATCATAAATTATATTAATATAAAAATATAAAATAAAATAAAAATTTATTAAACATATATATAATTTTTATTAAAATTTTAAATTATATTATTTTTATATCATTTTCATATTATAACATCATATCGTATTTTAAATTATCAATTTAATATTTTAAAATATAAAACTAAGCTTTGCATTAATAGATAATATGTATTTTTGCCTTTTCTTTACCTTTAATTAATTATAAACTTTTGCATCTCATATTCTAGATTACCAATTCAATAGTAGACTAAATTGATCATTATAGTAGGAAATTAAATTCACCAATCCATCATTCCATACACATTGAAACATGTGGGCTTAGTTAACAATGAAAATATATTTAAATTTATCAATTAAAATTCAATTATTTGGAAAATATTTCACAAATAAAATCTTGAATGTATTAAGTCGATATGAAATAATATATTTTTAAAATCATAAAAAAAGTTAAATTCAAACAAAACTTATTAACATTGGTTTTGGTGTGGTTGAAGGAAGATGCCATTAACATCCATTTATCAGCCTCTTTACTTCTAATAGTATTATTTTACCTTTAAACAAACTTGAGCCATGTTTTAATTAAAGACTAAATTTTATGAAAAGCTCATATTTGAACAATAAAAAGGAATCCATAGTTTGTAGAATGTCTTTTCTTGAATGGATGTTGAGAGAGGACTAGCGGTTACACTTTAATTTTTATTGAAAATAAGGGCAACAAAATTAATCAATCTTTATACCTTTATGGACAAGCATATGAGCAAGTTCCTTGGTGCGATTTTTGCGCTCTACTTGTCTAACAAAGGATGGCTGTGATTGATGTTATATATCAACAACATATACTCTGAAATTAAATATAATAATTAAAAATATAAGATGATGATATAATATAAATATAATAATAAAATAATTTAAAATTTTAATAATAATTATATATAAATTTAATAAAATAAAAAATAAATTATAATAACACGTATCTCTTTACAGCTCAATGGATTTATTCTTTTAGTCGTTTCTTTATGTTCTTTTACTCTTTTAGGTAGATATGATAAATAGGTACATGATATGATGATATAATATAAAAATTATATAAATAAAAAATATAAAAATAATATGATTTAAAATTTTTAAAAAATCATAAATAAAATTATATTTTATATTTTTATATTGATATAAGTTATAATAAGTAATTTATATATAAAATATGATATAAATATAATATTTTATACGATATAATTACATAAAATTATTAAATTTACTTTTAACATGTAAAACGAGTAAAAATTGCAGATAAAGCTACGGAGTTTGGAATAAGAAATGAGTTTAATAGTAAATGAAGACACAAGAAAAACAAAAGAGCGTTGGCTGTAAAGAGGTAAAGTTGGAGATGGCATCCAACAAGGCAAATTACAAAGCAATCTAGTTTTAACAGGCTTCAGGTCGAAGAAAACCTGAGATTTGGACTCTTTGTGTGATCATCTCCAACGAAAGAGATGGTTTTTTCAAGTTACATAATGCAACTATAGAAATGTGAGGTGATGAGCAATTGTCGAAAAGGACAAAAAAGAAAATTAATATTGAAAGACAGGACTTGGTGTAATCATCACCAATTTGATAAACTTTTTGGTTCCCTTTCCTTTTTTCCTGATTCGCATGGCAATAAGCAGCAAAAGGTACATATTGAATCCAGAGAGACAGGCATATTCACCGCGCTCTCTCTCCCTCGTCTCACTTTTTTTTTTTTTAACTCTTTTACAAAAGGTTTGCCTAGCTACGACTACAAGAGCCAACTTTGGTGTTGTGACATTTACAGATCGTTGTGTCAGATTCATATAGCAAAGGTTAAAAAAATAAAAAAAATTGGAATATCTGTTTAAAATTAAAATATTAATTTGATTTGAATAAAATTTTTATTTAATTTAAATTAAATTTAAATATTAAATTTGGATTAAATTTTAAATTAAAAATTAAAATTAAAAAAATTGAATTAAATCAAATTATATATATTTAAATTTTTAGATAATAAAAATAATATATTTATATTAAAATCTATTTAAATATATTAAAATAATAAATAAAATTAAAAAAATTAAAAAAAATCAAACAAATTTAAATTGATAAAATTAGATTTAAATAAAATAAAATTTAAATTTAAATTTAAATTTGACTCAAATTTTAAAATTTTATAATATTATATAATATTTAAAAAATTGAATTGAATTTCATTCAAATTCAAATTGAACCGTTATTAAACCCTAGATACTACCTTGGCTTTGATTAGTGGATGAGTCCGTAGCTTTGCCTTTTCGCATCAGGTTTTTAATCTTTGGTCGTATTGCATACCAGTTGCCAGGCACCTCCCTACAGTGTCTACGAATCTATTGCAATAGCATTAGGTTTAGGACCAAATCCCCGCCTTCAAATCTACTTGACTATTCTCCATTGGCCTGGCCTGCAACCACTTTACTATCATAACTTTACTAATATATAGTAATACTGGAAACTCCATGTTCTTTCTGAAAATTTTTGAACCTAAATATTTGAAGCCTGATTAAATCTTTCATTCCATGGAAGTTATTATAAATGTTACTCTGAATAAGGAGATGGTAAGAGCTTCATATGCTAAAATTCTGTCAACATTCATCTTCATCTCTTAATTCTTCTAACTCTTTTAAATTAAATCTGATGTTATCAATTATTTTAATTTCGACGAGATTAAGTAATTGTTTTAGGTAAGTAATAACAGTCAATAACTTATATGAACAAAATTATTATATTTATAATATATTTATTTAATTAATAAATTTTAAAATATTATTTATAATCATTTATTAATTAAAAAAATGAACATATATAAATAAAAATTGAATTCATTCACAAATTGTTTTTGTTCGATTACACCTCTAGCATTAGAAGAAAATAGATGATAAAGGCGCTTTCATGAAATGACTGGCTTTTACTAAACTCCAAATATTCTCGTTTCAATTGGGCGCATGAAAAATAGGACCTTCAAAAATTCTTAACAGTTGGAGTTCACAAGTCGGAAAATGAATTGCAACAAAGAGAACGTGCATCCAAGCACATACTTTAGTTAATGGATTCAGATTCAAAAATTTTCCCTAAAGTTAGGTTCGGGACCATTTTTTTTTTCTTTTGGCGGTGTGGGATGAAAAAGGGGATCGGAAGAGGTGGGATGGGCAAGTGAAAAAAAAGTAACTATTCGGAACCAATGCAAAAAGGAGCAACTGACTTATCCGAAACGGTGGCAAATTCATTATTACAAAAGAGTTAGGCCCCTGGAAGTCAAGCCCAAGAGCATAACGAGCCTCTTGAAAAAACATTCATCCGAAGCTTCGAGGAGTGATCTAAAATTACTGATGAAATCTGTAACAATTTATAAATACTTGTGATATTCAAAGAAATTTTATGATTTCAAAATTATATAAAGATATTTGCTTAACTTAAGCTATAGACTATAGCGCACGTTATATATTACTAAACAATTAAATCTTCATTCATTGATTTTTCTTAAAAAGGGTTTACAAGTTATTTAATGTTAATTCTAATTAATTAAGATTAAAGGAAGATATTAATTGAATTCGTTGAGGAATTTTTTTTTAGAGTATGCATGTGTTGTATATTTGTATTGTATGTCGACACAAATTTGACGAGTTTGCCGAGTGTTTTCAAGTTTGATTTTACCATTGCATGATTTACAGTATAAAAAAGTTTCTATTCTATGAAAGAAAATATAATATTTTTATTTTTATTATTTTGTTAAGTAATTTCAATACCAAGAGACTCATGATAGTTACTGGGATGAAATTCGAATAAAAAGGACTTAAAGAGGATGAAAATTATGCCACTTGCCTCGAGAATAAATTACATAAAAAATAAAAATTATGTTTCTGAGTATAATAGGCGTGTGATCTTATATTACCTATGAGTATATATGATTTATATGAAGAGCAACACCATGACATGAACTTGCCAAACATTTCTTTCATCCGTTAGCCCTTAAGATTTACAATGTCAAAAGCAAAGGGTAGAACCACAGGTTGAAGCTTATAGGACGATATCGAAAGACCAATATGCTACATTAAGTGGAAGACAAAAGTTTTTTGTGCTAGAAAGCTTTCAACAATTACTACAACAGGACCAATGTTCTAAAATTTTTGCAAGGAATAGCTATGAAAATAGTGCACGATACCGACGAGACATGCCCCAGTTGACCACATATTAACAAAGTTGTATGTAAATCCAAATCAAAGTAAGATTTTCAACCTAATAATTCAAAAATTGCACACTAGGATTAATATTGCAATCTGTCAAGCCAAGGCCACTCCCAACCTTAGAATAGATGCCTGTAATTTACGAACAAGAAGCAGTACTATTAGATAAGAGTGTATTCACCATAGTGGTCAATGCCAAACTACCAATAAGATTTAACCATTATTGCAGTAGATGTTGAGTTAAGACATAAGTATCATGTTTTTTCAAACAATGTCTGAACAACAGAACAGTTTAGTTTTGACAAGGGATACAATAACATCGCAAACATAGTTCCAATCTTCCCAAGCATCACCAAGTTAAAAGCAGATTCCAAATTTAAGTTATATCATATTAGTGAGATCACAATATGCAATACGTAGCCTCAAAATACATTTCAAAACATCATTTGCAATGACAATCAGCAAGGAAAGAATATTTTAATTTCCCAATCCCGATTTAAGCAAATGGAAACTAAAAATTTTGCATTATCTTATTCTAATTCATCAATAGTCTTGATTTCTAATCCTAAATTTTCAGGTCACATCAATCAGCTTCATTAATCTCTAACGACCTTATAAAACTGTTTTCTATGATCCCCCGTTTCCTTCTTCTGTTTCTAAATTATTTCTAAAAAAGAAAGACTAAAACAAAGTAAAATTTAACATTACATTCACCAGGAAGACGCAAACAAGAACCTCCTAAGCCTAGAAAGAACTTAAATCCCCATTTCTGTGACAAAAAAAGGCACAAGATGGTCAAGAGTTACAATTACAAAGACTACTAGGATGAGGAACCAAGTTCTAGACAATAAAGTTTCTGCCTATCTCACCAAAAATATTTCAATGAATGCAACCAGATGACAAGGTAAAGGATCTACCTCTTGCAGAAGTCAGTTACATATCGGGAGCTGTTGTAGAAGATGAACCACATCAACACAATCACCAAAGTATCTGCCATGGTTTAGGAACTTACAAGTGGGATATTACAATGGTACCTCCACATAAAAACTGGTGTGGTTAACAAATAAGCTAATAGGATCCTTTGACTCTATTCTAAACTAACAGATAAGAATGCCAAGTTTCTCAAAATTCCTAAAGATAGATCCTTATATAACAATATCAGTATAATTCTGTCATTTGCTTCCACAAAATGACCATGTTTCATCATTTTGTTTGGTGAACGATGGATACTGATAAAGTCATCCATCCGTACAGCATGCCAATCCGAAAATTCTGAATCAAAACTTAAAAAATGAAGTGAAAAAGGATACTGAAAAGGTAACGCTCCCACCAATCCAACATGTAGAGTCCAAAGGTGACATTGTAGAGATAGACCTTGCGTTGAACCCAGTTCATATCTCTAAACCCTTATAAATAAAGAAATAAGTACCTGCAATTACAGTCACACAAAAGATGATCAATTCAAAAAAATTCATGGCCAAAATGATTATAATGATGAAACATGTTAAAATATATAGCCGAAATCATCTTAATTTATAATTCAATTTCTCTCGTATAATAGCTTCTTTTTTCTCAATATAATGGACATTAAGCACATATTAATACATAATTATCATAAAGATGTGAAAAAACTCAATAACTCAACATCCAAACCATATCCATATGACTTAATTCACCGGTTCTTTTGAACCAATCAAGAAAGAAAAGCACTTTTTCGAGGAGACAAAGACTGAAATTATTACCAAAGCACAACAAAGTAAAATTAATAGCAGTAAAAATGAAAATTAAACAGAATTTCAGACGCATCCACCGCGAGCAAGCTTAGGTTCTTTGGATCAAATGAAAATAAAAATTTAAATGTAAGGATCCAAAGGAGAGAATTCTGAGGGAAATCGAAGGAATTCTATGCTAATTTCACAGAGAAATAGCTTCTGATTTCTTGAAAACTTAGCAAAAATGTAAAACAAAATCCTGAGTAAAAAAAAGGAATCAAAAGCTTACCTCACCGATGCAGGGGCCGTCGAAGGTTCCGTTAATGGCGGTTCAGGTGATCGGATCGAGAGCGAAGAGCCTATCTGAGATTTGCTACAAGAGAGAGAAAAAAAGTTTGGGCTTTCGCACTGCGGTCAAAGAAAGACATCAAATACATTTCGTTAACAATTCAAAATGACGGAAATGCCCTTTAGTGAGTGACGTGTCTGTTATATATTCGCTCCATTCTAAGCACCGACAAAGAGCGCTCCGTATGTAAAAACCCCAACTGTGAGTAGTCTGTGACTCAGTAGCAGAAAGAAAAATAAAATAACCATAAACAGTAAACCTTTGATTTCGTCGAAATCTATCTCTCTGAAGAAAAAATAAAGGAAATTTAGCGTTTAGGGTTTAGAAATTTTGAAGAAGCGATCGAGAGCCAATGGAGAGTGCATTCGCAAACGCCTCAGCGATCGTAGATCAGAGGCAGAAAATCGAGCATTATAAACACATTCTATCAACTGTTTTCTCATCAAACGACATCGTTCAAGCCAAGAAATTCATCGACCATAGTAATTTCCTTATCTTCGCTTGATTTATGCAGTTATTTAGGGTTTTTGAAGGTTTAGTTATTTTAATTGGTGATTAATTTTTTGTAGTGTTATCGGACGATGTTCCTTTGGTGGTATCAAGGCAGCTTTTACAAACTTTCGCACAAGAATTGGGGAGATTGGAGCCAGAGGCACAAAAGGAAATTGCCCATTATACCCTTGCTCAGATTCAGCCTCGTGTCGTTTCATTCGAAGAACAGGTTCGTTTCAAAGTTGATTGATAGCCGCTTATTGAAAGCTACTGGGAAAATTGTTCTGGTTGGAAGTACTTTTGCACCTTTAGATACCACATTGTTGAACCTTGGCCTTAGTTGCATTGTGCTTGCAAAACAAAATTAGTTTTTTTTTTTTTTTTCTGCTTCCTTTTTCTGTTTTAAGGAAAGCTGTTTATTTTGTATGAGTTGTATAGGTATTGATTATCAGAGAGAAACTTGCTGAGTTGTATGAGTCAGAGCAGCAGTGGTCAAAAGCAGCACAAATGCTAAGTGGGATTGATTTAGACTCAGGAATGAGGTCTGAGAGTAAGATTCTGTTTTATTTTTCTGACGATATATGCGTCATGATATATTGTTTTGTTTCTATTGATGGTACTTATGTGTTTGTGATATGGCTATCAGGGTTGTTGATGACACATTCAGATTGTCAAAATGTGTCCAAATTGCTCGTCTATATCTCGAGGTATTGAAATTTTTTATATTCTTTTTGTTGAATGCGAGCATGATTTACACAAGTTTGGTTGTGTAATGTGGTTACTTGTTCTATTGCTGACATGTGAAATCAATTTAAAAAATTGACCAAAATTATTGCTTGAAATATTTTACAGGATGATGATGCTGTTAATGCAGAAGCTTTTATTAATAAAGCTTCATTCTTGGTTAGCAACAGTCAGCATGAAGTATTGATTTTACAATACAAGGTTTGGCATAGTTTTTAGGCCAATTATGTAATGTTAGAGCTGGAAGTCCAGTCATTTGTTATTTTATTTTATTTTTTCCTGTTTTCAGGTCTGTTATGCAAGGATTTTGGATTTAAAGAGGAAGTTCTTGGAAGCTGCACTGCGGTACTATGACATATCGCAAATTGAGAAGCGACAAATAGGAGATGAGTATGTCATTTTAGGTTAAATTTGTTTCTATAAATGTTTTGCTTGTTTCTCCACTTAAGAAGCAGTTATTAGCTGACATACACAAAAGCACCTTGACTCTGTACATGGTGTTTACATTGATAACCATCATGCTTTTCCTACCATGTACATTTATCGATTTGCTTGTGTCTCATTTCCCCTTTTCTGGATATTTTGTTATGTTTGAGGAATTACAATACAAAAATTATCAATGTTCACCTATTGCAGAACAGTTGATGAAGATGCACTGGAGCAAGCTCTATCTGCTGCTGTAACATGTACAATATTAGCTGCTGCAGGTCCTCAACGCTCTCGTGTTCTTGCCACCCTTTACAAAGTAAACACTTTCTCTTGATGGAATGTAATATGAGAAATTTGTTTGTTTATTTATATTTTTCTAATCATGTTTAGGTTTGAGACATGTTTCAGGATGAACGGTGCTCCAAGCTGAAGATTTATCCAATATTACAGAAGGTATTTTCTCTCTCTCTCTCTCTCTCTCTCTCTCTATCATGCATCCAGGCACATTCCATCACACATGCATCCCCACATGTACTAGTCTTGTTGTCTGTTTCTATTGTGGAACCTTAAAGTCCATTCTGATGGGGATTTATATCGAAATTAACAGGTTTATTTGGAGAGAATATTAAGAAAACCTGAAATTGATGCATTTGCTGAAGAACTGAAACCACATCAGGTTATAAAAGTTTTCAACTGTCCTAGATGTTTGCATTTACAATAAAAGTAAATTCTCCTGTCATAGATAAACCTTTTGTTTCCCAACAGCAAGCACTACTTCCCGATAATTTTACCGTGCTGGACCGTGCCATGATAGAGCATAATCTTCTGAGTGCGAGCAAACTTTACACAAATATAAGGTTAGAAACGAAACACTATTAATTTACATCTTTTCTTATCTTATTTCTAGGTTTGGAATTTTTAACAAAATATTTGCTGTCTGTCATAGTTTTCATGAGTTGGGTACTTTGCTGGGCATTCCTCCTCATAAGGTATGATTCTTTTGTGGCACTGTCTTGGTGCATTTAAGCAACAATAGCAGCTGTCATTATAACCTTTTAACCTACTTGTTTCGCCTGTGGTTTTTTTTTTTTCTGGCCGTTTCTCTCTCCATGAACCTTATATATTGTAATTAACAGAGAAAATGATTGGCTTCTATTTCTTTACAGGCTGAGAAGATAGCATCAAGAATGATTTATGAGGATAGAATGAGGGGATCAATCGACCAGGTTTCAATTTCTTGCTGAAGGATTTTTGTTGTATTCCTGCTTTAATGGATTCAATTATGATTGTTTTATGATCCTCAAGTATAAGTGGCTTATAAATTGTCTTTATCAGGAGCTACTTAAATAAATAATAATCTTATGCGTCAGGTGGAAGCAGTTATACATTTTGAAGATGACACTGAAGAGCTGCAACAATGGGATCAACAGGTAATGCACTTTGAGTATGGATTTAATTATGGCTGATGGGTGCCCCATCTTCGAGAGTTCTCAGTTTTATCTTGGCTTATGATGCTGCAGATAGTTGGTGTGTGTCAAGCTCTGAATGATATACTCGATAGCATGGCAAAGAAGGGCATGACAGTTCCTGTTTGATCTGGTGAACCTACCGAGAACGAAGAAACTTATAAGAGAATTGACTTTTAGCCTTTCACCTCTATGCATTGAAGAAAACCGTCCAGCCCTTCTCATTTATGCCGGTTTTATTTCTTGGGGTTTACTTTTGTAACTGTGATTGTCTGGTTGTTAGGCAAGCATGGGATTTTGGATAATCAATTTAAGTTTCTGTAATTATTATTGTTATTTTCATTATTATTTCCGGTAACGATGCCCAAATCAATATGAGATTTGCCAGCAATGAGTCTAATACCCTTAAATTAGTTACAGAAGACTGTCAATTCTTTCGTTCTCTGCCCCCATTAAGATGAAATGGAGTAGAGAAAAGGGGAATGCATCAAACAAAAAGGCAATAAGAGAACATTTACATCCAGGCACTTATCAGTGAGCGTACTGATTATTGAAGCCAGGCCTAAAAAATGCTGAATATTATGGCATAAGCTACGTAGTATCTTTTCTTTTACATTTTGTTAGCTCTGTATACTACTGTTCTCGTTTTATGGGACGGCTAGGAGGGATGGAAGGAATGCACAAATCCTCCTGCCATATTTATTGAGCAGAGCAAGGGATGTCTCTATTGGGCAAATTTTCATTTTCATTGTTTTTTTTTTTCTTTTGAGTATTTGATTTATTAGTTATATTTACAAAATATTTACTTAGTTCCCTCAAACCAATAAACACAGGCACTTCAGCGGACAGAATGCTCCCCTCTGCCATCTGCACATTAAACACAAAATGCGACAATAACAGACAGGTTTTTTTAGCTCTCCTTCAAAAAGGGTTAATGCTTAAAATTTTTGCATTTATACTTTGTTTCTGTTACTAAAAATTAAAAATACAACGTGACAGGTTCAAATGGCTTCACAATATCTTATGAACAGCCAAAGGCCAATCTAAAAGAACCCCAAGTAGAAAAGTTAAAGCTCAAATGGTTTTAAGAGTTAACTGTTGTCATCCACAACTTGGCTGTTCAAAAATAAGCTCTCTCTTCTTTTAGAAAAGCCGGTAGATTCCAGGGTTGAACCCCTAAATTTTAGCTCTGGGGCAGCTCTATAATTGGGATCAACAGAAGCAGGTCTAGAGCTGGGATCAGCAGAATTCGGCATGAAAGAACCAGTTGCTCCACCGGGATATCGAGAAGGTGATCCGTACCTTCGTCCTCGAAGACCGCTGCTTCTCAAGTCCCCAATATCAGCACCCCTTGAAGAAGAATCCATAAAAGACCTGCCTCCAGTGCTAGATCCTATTGGGGCTCCATTTGTAGCCGATGTGGAACTAAAAGGGTCGTCTGGTCCCCATGATGTAAGTGCCTCTTTCTTCTTTGCAAAGAATTGCCATGCCCCAAATAGGAAAAGTATGAAAAACAGCACAGGGCTGGTCCATAAAATTGTATTAGATTCCCCTTTCAAAACAGGAAGATTAGAGTGATATATTCCAACATACTCACCTCCGAGGCCAAGAACAACAAGTTTTTCACGATCGCTGGCTATTAAGGGCATCACCAGTCTTCTCTCTTTGTTTGTATCCATCACTTGGTACGATAAAAAAGATGACCTGATCTCATCCAAAGTGGCAGAGAAAAGAAGCCGTGGTGCACCAGCCCTGACATAATGCAGGGTAGAAACATTATACACAAAAACCTTTTCTGGATCAACAATAAGCAAGTATCCTTTAATAGCCTGAAATGCAAGAGGCTCACGCATTTCCAACTTTTTCTTGAACCTAACCCTGCACTTTAAGTTCATAATATCGCCCAACAGCAAAACATGAATCAAATCGCCATCTGAAGTAAAACCATATGCTTTAGACCGGTCTGTTGCATCAAAGACATAATTCCGGGCAAGAGTTTGATTCAAGCCTTCACATTCTGATTCCTTAATTTTCATGCTTCGCAAATCCAATGACCCAGCACCAGTCTCAGTCAAGAACAGAAGCCTTTGCTTCAAGAACACAAGTGGCCTACTTGTCGGCATGGCAGAACCATAAAGTATCCCGTTTTCTCTAAAAACCCTGATTTTCCCACTAAGATCCGTAGACAAAATATACCTCATTCTTCCAACATGATGAACTTCTAATGCAGTTATTGGCAACCCATCTTCCCCACTTTCAGCAGCCACAAATTTACCAACAGTTTCCATTACAGGTGAGCCTAACTCCTCTCCATTTAATCCTTCATAAATTCTATGTGCCAAGATCACACCACTCTGATGTCCTGTAACGATAATACTCTCATTCTTGTAAACAGACATGTAGGAAACCATTGCCCTAATTGGCGACTCGCTCTTGGTGTAAAACTCAGCCACAACATCCCCATTCCTTAAAAACACATAAACCCTTCCTCTTTCATCCCCAACAGCAACATACTTGCTAAGTCCTTCATAATCACGAAACGGCAACACGTTTATACATGTTGCATCAGAATCTAGTTTCACAGCTGACATGAATTGAAACCTCTCAGACCAAAACGGACTGTATTTAGTAACTGAAACAGCCCTCCCTCTTTCCCCATTTTTAGCTTCAACCTCTTGAATTTCAGCTTTACCATCATATTTTCGTTGACTAATTTCATCTTTCTTTCCAAAACCTGACCCTGAACTGTCAACACTATGACTGTCATCAACTTTTGAAGACTCTGATAATTTTGATTCTAATTTAGAAACTACTTCACTAAGGTTTCTTATTAATTCTTCAAGTTTATGCAATAAAACTTCCTGGGGCGTAAAATCAGGTGAACTCTTAAGTTCAGGTTCATGGTAAGGAATCTGATCATGTCCATGCTCCTTTTGGATGGAGACAGAATTAGAGTTTACAAAAACTATAGAAAGTGGTGGAGAAGTGAAAATGAAAAGAAAAAAGAACAGAAAAAACCTGCCTTTGTGGGGATTTGCCATTCGAAAGGAAAAGCTTGAAGACTTTTTTGATTCAATGTTTTGCCATTATAGATCAAAACCCTGTCTGAACTGCGGATCTTACTTGTGTTTTTTTGGATCTGGGTTTGGAGAATTTCGGCTGGAATCTTTGTTAGATTTGATGAATCTGATATGAGAAGATTGGAGAGATGGTGAGCAAAGACACAACTGTTATTAACGTTTTGACTTAGGTTTGTACTCTGTACGAGGAGTTAGGGCAAGAAATCCGGATTTCTAGGAAAAAAAAAAGAAAATCACTTTTGGTAAAGAAAATATCTCTAGAGAATGATTCAGTCAGGTTCAGCCACCCGAAATTTTGCTGACACCCCAATTGTCGCACGCCACGTTGGTTAAGAAAAAACTTTGTACTATTTTTTTTCACCCTATCTTAAACAAAATACAACGTTGAAAATAATATGAAAAAAATATAATTTAAAATTGATAAATAAAAAACATATTTTATATTAGATATGTAATTTATTTATAAATACAATATATATATATGAAATAAATATAACTTAAATACATTTATTATCAAAATTATCTTGTGATATCAATAAGTAATTGATTTCGTTGATTAAGACTCTTGTTATTTTATGAAAAAATTTTAAATTCAATTTTTATTTATAATCATTTGTTAAAATTATATTAAATATTTAATTTATAATTATCTATCTTATATTATTAAATATAATATATTTTGTCATAATTTAAAAAACTAAATAATCTATTTATGTTGAATTTTTTCTTATAAAAAAAAATAATCTCGTGGTACGTTTGTCTTGCATTTCATTTCCACCATTTCTGAATGGGTTTGGGCACCTAGAAAACAGAGCGTTTGGTTACTGTCCCTACTTGCTTGGAAGCCAAGCCATCATCATATCTATCAGAAGGAAAAATTTTCCAAAAACCAGACAGACATTTACGTCCTTCTCCTTTTCTTTTGCCTAGATTTTTTTCTTTTTAAAATACTAGGCCTACCTTGTTCATTTGACATCGGGAAAGGGCAGCCATCATTGTATCCACAAGGCCAAATTAAGCTAAAGTTTAAGCAAATCCATCCATTAAGAAGAACTAAAAGCTTTGGCTACAGTTTAAGCAAATCCATCCGCCTTCTGCTCACTCCTAGGCATTAGCCTATTGTTGTTCGATCAGAGCAAAAGACAAAGGGAATATTGGATCCAAGGGCTCTTAATTTTCTTTGAAGGGCCTTAAATGGCCACCTCAGTTTCCCGCTTTCACGAAGCATGGCAGAGCACAAATTCTATGGCAACATCTTAGCTGCTTGTTCTCACTGCTCAGCACCCCTTAAGGAACTAACCTGGTTGCTTTTTGTCTTCAATCTTCACTTAACACGCCAAAGCCAAAACCAATGTGCATAATTTGATAAATGAGTAGTACAAGTTTAGTACAACCAACACAACGGAGCTTTGACTGGCCTGGAAATCATTCCATTGGAGATGGTCCAAGTTTATATAATTCAAACATGCAAATGGATAAAGATTGATGTACAACAAATCACACTTCCAAATCCCAAGTACTCTCAGCAATAAATTTAGGGTTCTTAGATTCTTCAGCTAGGTTGATGGATGCTGAAATCTGGAAAGGAAAAATGATCATAGTTAGAGATCATCTCAGACAAGGGTTAAAAGTGCATTGTGACAAGTTGTTAGATTACTGACTAACAAGTCGTCATGTCAACAAACTATATTAAGTCATCATAACTTAATTTCTAATCAACGTATCATAACTCAACGTAACATGTTTACGAAACTCAAAAAAATTTTAACGAGTTTCAGTATCATATGCACCATAGGTGTTTTTTGCTCCAGTTTTTTTTTTTATTTTCTTTTCCCATAACAAAATCACTAAAACACTCTCCATGTTAATTTCTACAGAAAAGAGATCTATGAGATCCATGGCATGCTTCAATTATCCAAAAAAAAAAGAGATTCATAGTAGCCTGGTTGTCTACATCCTGCCAACAAAAGCAAAAGTAAACAGTAAAAACCCAAATATCTAAGAGCTTTCAACATGGGTTCTTCCCCTCGATCACTCCTCTGTTTCTTTCTCTTCAAAACAACCAAACAGAGGAATCAAATCTACAATCTTTTTCCCATTTGTATAAGGTACAACTTTCCAAGCCTCTTCAGTTGAACCAAGCAATACCTAACATCGCATGACCAAAGCTATCTTACAAGAAGACTACAAATAGATCCAAAGTTGCCTTATATAGAACATTATTAAATTAGGCAGAATTTTGCCCCCTCTTTTATTGTTACCAGTAGTCAAATTTGTTTCTAAGTTGACTCCCAAGAAAAGAAAGCAACCTTTGTTGGAGCCTTCTCTCTCATCACCAAAACAGATTCTCTCGTAAATCTCCATAAAGGATGGTCCTCTCTAAAATACATCAACTCCTTACCATAGAGCACATGTGACCATCTAAAATCTCCTTAGTCCGAGAAAAGTAATTGATCACACTGCTGAAGTATAAAGATTGCATCAGCATTAGCAGCCTCCCAACAAACAACTAGTGCCACTGCCTTAAAGCAACATGACCTAACTTCATCTTTGATATCATTATTTATTTAGTTCAAAGTAATGAGAAACACAGGCATTTTATTCCATTCTCCAAATACCTGGGTCATTGAATAAAACCCTTGCCTTAAACAAATAGAAATAACCAGAAAATCCAAGAACATGAGCAAAATGATCAAGAAATTCAAAGCCTTGCTTGCTTCAAGCTCTTCTCAACATTCAAAGCAGCATTCCTGCAGTGAGTTGCAACGACCACATTCTATATCCTCTTCAAACAATAGAAGACTCAATCAAGAAAACAGCAAAGTGTCTAGAGGTTGCAGGATGGATGAAACAGCAGTTTTCTGCTTATCTTCCTCAGAACCACACCAGGCAGCCATGTTATATTAAAACACACTCTTGCGGGAAAATGCCTTCTCAAGCTCCAAATTCAAACTTCTTAGGCTTCATATTACTTCAGTTTTCATTCTTGCACTCAATTTCTTGAACAGTCCATCATCATATGACATGAATAGTTCATTCCCACCAAATTCTTTGCTAAAAAATAACCTGTAGCTATATCGTAATAAAATGGGAAAATGCAGCATTTGGCAATGCAAGTGTTTAACCAGTTATCCTATGGACCTTAATTCACTTATGATTTCCCAACCCTGTCAATCACTTAGTATTTTTCTAAGTTCTAAACTTAAATTAGTAAGTTAAGTTGCATTGAAAACCCAATTTCAGAATATAAATGGCAGATTTCAAGATTATACTAAGCAATGAAACAATAAAAATTCAATAAAAAAAGTCAAACAAAAGATAAAGAAATGATTTTTTAGTTACCTTAAAAGTCCCATTAAACTTGGTATTTCTCAACCACTCCAAAGCCAAATTCCTGCACCATGTCTGATACGTGGCCTTAAAAACGTTGTCGTATACTCTCCTCGAAATCGCAAAATCCCACCTATTCTTCCCCAAATCATAGCATGGCTCCAAAGTCGTAACCCCCCCGAGCACGTAACTATACTTGAGCTTACAGTTCCTCGAACCAAGCATGTAAGTAGCCGACACCTTGTTAGCAGGATCGAACACCAGTGCCCCGTCTACCACTGTCCGTTTGTCCCTTCTGCCGCGATTGTAAGTAAGCTTCGACGCATTCTTCGCAAACCTAACTATGTTGTTAAATTGAAACCGAAGATCCTACCCCAAGAAAAATAATGGAAAAAGTTCAAGTAATTAACAAGTCAATTATTTATTAAAGGTGTAGTTAAAGGGAATTTGCTTTTCAAGTTAAGCGTGCCGTGCCTTTTTGGGGACGTCATGGCCGATGATGTAGAAGCCGGGTTTTTTAACAGCTACAGTCAAACCGTTCAGGCTGGGACCGTTGACGAACGTGCTGTCAGTCATGGAGGAGAGTAACTTGACATCGCCGCCGTTGATGGCGAGAGTAGTTGCGGCATTGCTCTTGTCATTTATGTATCTTCCTTTCAAAGACGCATTCATTTCTTTGGAAGATCAAAGGAGCCGAGACAACTGCGAGAGGTTGGTGGAAATGTCGAGGTCATTTTTATTTATTTATTTTGCTCTTGTAATTTTGCATCGAGCAAAACTTAACAGCTTGACGGCTCGGCTCAAGTCTTCAATTGAACCTTGGGCTTTTCTGGTGGGCTTCCTCCGAACATGGAGTCCGGAGAACAGACTATGGAGGCAGACTAATAGGCCAGAAGCCCGTTATTGTAACTTTTTGGTTTTTCTATGGTCAAATTTTAAAATCTTTTATCTTTATATTAAAGAAATTTTATTTTATACATTGCAGATAGAGGTTTTTAATTTAAATAACATATTTATATAATTAAAAGTTCGTTTAACACATAAATTTATATAATATTCCCTGAATGTTGTGTTATGTTCAGAACGAAAATGGCAAATTTGGTAATGACTCATTATTGCACAAATAAGAAATTAAGTCCTCACCATCTTCAAATTAATACTAGGGTTGAAGGGAATTCCTGGCTAATTACTCAGTGGACATTCATGGGGTGATCACAGAACAAGGCCTCCCAAATCTCGGTAAAGGCCTCCACAATAATGCCGTGATATTGCCTTGAATTCAAAGAAAGAAAACACTGCAACAGCTGCTCCAAATCCTTGGCCTCAAACATCTGTTTCTCCATTATCATTTCCAACATTGACCTCTTGAAGTCCTCATATGGATCCTCCGATTTCTTCATCACCGCAACGCTCTCCCTCACCTTCCCTTCCGACCTGGGCGGCGGTATCATCGTCCGTTTCAACACTGAACCACTCCCTGGAGTTTCATTCTCTGTTGACGTCAGAGTTTCTGTCGTTGTCTTTGAAACTTTTGATTTTGACAATCCTCTGTATTTCTTTGAACCAAAGCTTCTCAGCATCTTCATCTTCTTCATCTTCTTCGTGCTGTTTACATTTTTCTTGTTCCTTTTGGTTTCCATGTGGGAGTCCTCAGCCAGTGATTGATTCAACTCAAATGATGAATCGTCCGAGAAGCTTCTTGAAGTAGAGATTAGGGTTTCAGTCTCTTCATTTTCGTCTCCTAATTCGCTACTGAAACATCCACTGTCACGTGATGAAACAGTTGCCATTGCCTTCACTTTTTCCATCTTCTTTTCCTTCCCATTGACCTTGTGTTTGCTTGCTAAAATCGATGCTATATCTCCATTACTCTCATCAGAAAAGGATGCTTCATGGGTTTTCCTTTGAAGCTTGGACTTGTGAACTTTTGCCACTATATGCAACCGAGTTGCTTCTTTCTTCCAGGAGTAGTCAGCTGACTCAAAGCTGACGTCTGGGGACAAGTATTGATCAGTACTGTTTGATCTTCCTCGGCAGCCACAGCCAAGTGATCCTATCTTTGGTGACGAATGGCGTTTGATAAAAGAGTAGTCTGGTGACGAAGGAGGCGGGACAGGGAAGTTCAGGTGTGGATAGCTGATGTCCAATGCTTTAGGATTCACCGGAGAAAGTCTGTGAGTTACCGGGACTGGAGTCTCCGGCGACTTGGAAGGTTTCTTTGATCGACATAATTGGAAAGATGGTATAACACATGAAAATTTGAGCCTGAAACACTTAGCCATCTCTCAGAAAGTTGGTTTTTCTATGTTTACGGAGTCCTCAACCTTTCAGGGTCTAAGATGATTATATAGCAGACAAAGGGCCGGCAATTTCCCATATAATTAACTGACCAAACCCAAGTGATGATATCAGGTTTATACACACAGAAAGCTACATAAAATTCCTTAGCGAAACATTGTGTTCGAAAACGTCTGTATATTAGGTGGGTGATCAGTGTAAAAAAATCGTCTCTCTTTGTAAAATTCTACGTTGGCTACAGTCTGATCTCTCTAAGAAGCTTTGCATTGACACATGAAGTAAAATCATTAACTTTCAAATGGGTTATTCGGGTAGTTGTGTTTGTTTTTAATGGCAAGATACCTCCAACACCCAAAAGGAAAAGGTCGAGCTTCTGTCATTTTGTTCTCTAACATCATGACAAATATTTGTAGTAATGAAAAGCTTAATTTCTTATAGATTTAAGGTGCAATTTGAAACGGTCACAATTAACAATCAAACAACTGGAAAAACAAAAAAAAGGTGGGATTCTTAATTTTCTGATATTATATTTGATAATGCTGACACAAACTGATTTTAGCAATTTGATCATAACTATGGAACATGACACTTGGGGAATATTTCATGTACAATTAAATTTTTTATTATAATTTTATAATTATTTTATCTTAATAAAAAATTATATAAAGATTCAACACTTATAAATGTTGGTTTGATATAAAATTTTAATGGATCATAAATAATTTTGAATTGAAATTGATTAATTGTACTATAATTATTATAAATGATATATTCTATAATATTCACTCATATCTGCATGATTTGTTGATAAAAATTCTTAATTTTAATGATTAAAATTTAAATAAGTAGCTTCATTCTATTAGAATTAGACTCAGTCAAAACCTCAAGTAAAGATCCAAAGAGAAAAAAAAAAAACTATTTATATATTCTCCTTAAACAAATTAACTTGTGATCAAGTATATTTCATGAGGTGGGACTTGAGAGAGCAAAATGGCTGTTTCCAGCCGTATTTTGAAGCATTAAACGGAAGCCCCCAAAAACCAAAAGGGCTAAAACCTCGGGGCCCCGACTTCTTATCAAGATTTACCCTTTTATATTATATGAACTCTGGCTTTCGTTTTCACTTGAAAGTTTCGCTTCAAAAGCATATAGGATATTGGCATTGGTATGGCTCGTGGACAAATTTAAGAGTTTGCATTTGATGTATTGTAAGTATATAAATTTTATATATTGTTAGTATATAAATTATATATATTATAAATAAGTTAGATGATATTATTTTATTAATAAAATGAATTAAAAAATATTTAATTTAATGGTTAAATTATAAAATAGAAATATATTATTATATAATTTAATTATTATATTAAAATTTTTATTTTCATCATATCAAACGAAATGTTATCACTCTTTTGTATTCCTTATCCCTTAGGGTAGGATTGGTAGGCTACTTTACAGATATGGAAAGTCACAATCACAAGAGGAAGATTAAAGAAACTTGGAGAATTGAGGAGGTTGATTTCAATATTTGTGGGTTGTCCAATGAAACTTTCCTGCCTCCATATGATCTCAAGAGAGAGCAAGAAGAGCAATAATAAGCTAGATTTCCATTTTCTTTTGGCCTCTAGGGTTTTAAGATTGTCACATTAAATATGAAGAAAACCAGTTCTAATGTTCTTGAATTTGATGATGAAGATGTTAGTAAATTTAAGAAAAATAGAAATAGTAAGAAATAAGAAAATATGATTTTGAGGTGTGAATAACATTATCTTAAAAGTAATTATATTTATAGGATACAATAAAATCTTAAAACTCTCTAAATTAGAAGTAGTAAAATTAGTCAAGCAGAAAGATCTATTAATAATAAATAAACAGTTACAAATTAAGTTCATTTAAAAATCATGACATTCTGTATAGTCATATTTTATTGTTTAAATAAATTTTATTTAAACAATCATATTTTTTTGTTCAGATATATTTATTCGTACTATTATATTTTTTACTATTTAAATATGTTTATTCAGAATCAATAATATTTTGAAATAAATAATAATAATAAATAATTTAAATAAATTAAATCTATTTACCAAACAAGCCTAAGTGTCTCAAATGCTCAAGTACTTATCTTTGGCCAGGGATTCAAATAACAGTTTGATAGCGGAATAACGGCCGTAAAATTACGATAACGCTGCCTTCCGTCACCGTTAATAGATAAAAAATGGTTGAGAGATTCATTCACAGCAAAAACGAAGAGTAACGGTCGTAAAATAACGGCGTAACGGATAATAGTGACAATAACGGATCGTTATTGTCGCTATTCTGTTTTTCTACTCAACTCACGGATCTAATAGTTCTAACAAAAAAACAAAATTTTAAGCCTGCAAAATAAAACAATGAACCTGCAAAAGTAAAAGTAAAAGCCAAATAAAAAAATAAAGCTCACAATCTCAGATCTTTATCATCAAAAGAAATTTTTAAACGAGCTAGAAAACAGATCAATTATTTCAAGTTTCAAGTTTCAACCATTCAAACGGCATTTTCGACATTCAAATTCAAATCAACCTCAAGTTTTCAATCAATATTCAAGATCAAACAAGGTAAGAAAAGAAAGTTAAATTACCTTTTTTTTTGTAAAATTTTTGTAAAATGATCTGTTGTGTTTTGTGAGAGTTTGAAAGACGAACGAGATATCTGTAGATACTAGGCAAGTCAGCAAGTGATAGTGATAAAGGGATGTGAGAGAAAATGAGAGATGAAAAAAAAAAGAAATAAAAATTTTTTTTTGAAAAACTAGAGAAGGTAAGATGCAAGACGAAGAAGAAGATGAACAGAAAAATGGAGCGTTTCTAGAAGGGTCTCCGTTTGCTAGAAAGAATTAAACAAATTTGATATATTAGGCACGTGGAGAGATTGGATGGGGTGGGGAGGATTGGGTGTGATGGGCCGTTGGGGGGAAGGTGGGGAGGGATTGGGTGTGGTGGGATGTTGGGGGGAAGGTGGAGAGGGATTGATGGGGGTGGGGAGGGATTGGGTGTGGTAGGGTGTTTGGAGGGTGGGATTGAATTTTTTTATTTAATTTTATAATTAAATTTTAAAAATTTTTTAGATAAAATTTAATTAGTGGTTTTGAAAATTTATAATTAATATAATATATAGATATTTTAAATGAAAAATTTGGATGAATTTTTTTGTATAAGTTAGATGAAAAATAATTAAAATTAAATATTATATTTTGATTGTGTTATACATTAATTTTTAATTTTGTATATGAATTTTAATTTTTTTTGTTGTTTTGATATTTATATTATTATCAATTCTTTTGATATTATATTAATTCTTGTTATTTTTGTGTAATTATTGAAGATTGTGTTTATTATATAATTATTAAAAGTTATTTGTGATAAAAAAAATTATATCAATTAGTGTATCAAAAAAATTAAGTTACTTAACAAATTTAGTATTTTATGATCTATTACTCTTATTAAGATTAAAAACTAAAAAATAAAAAATATAGGTTTGAAAATTTTATTAAAATATAAGTTTGAAAACTTTTAATTTTTAAAAATTTTTTTAGATAAAATCTAATTAGAGTGATTGAAGATTTATAATTAAAAAAAAATAAGAGATTAATAATTTAATATGATATACATAGAGATTGTAGATGAAAATTATTGATAAATTTTTTATATAAGTTAGACAAAAATTAATTAAAATTAAATATTAGATTTTGATTATGTTAGATATTAATTTATAATTTTGTATATGAAATTTAATAATTTTTTTTGTTGTTTTTATATTTATATTGTTGTCAAGTCTTTTGATATTAGATTAATTCTTATTATTTTTGTGTAATTATTTAAGATTATATTTATTATATAATTATTTGAAGTTATTTGTGATAAAAAAATTAATATCAATTAGTGCATAAAAAAGATTAAGTTATTTAATAATATTCTTAAGATTAAAAACTAAAAATTAAAAAATTTAGCGTAAAATCAATTTTTAATGATGTAATAAGTAATATTAATATTTCTAAATATAAGTTTATTTTGTTTTTATACAAAATAGTAAGTATGCCACCACGTGAAGAGTTTTCGAGTAAAGGAGTAGAGGGCGTGCCAAGTGATGATATAGGTTGGCATTTAGAACACCTGTACCAAATACAAGAGGAAATATTTCATGTAAACTTTGTGATAAAGTTGTAAAATGAGGAACAACACATTTCAAAGAACACATTGCTCATAAAACTGACAATGTTGCACCATGCCCCAACGTTACTGGTATGTTATGTTTTTTTAATTTTTTTTGAAAATATTATTGTTAATTTCTTAATAAAAATTATAAAATTACATAAGCATGTGCAACTAATTTTTCTCTTTTTTTAACTATATTATTAATAGGTATAGTAAGAGAAAGTATGATGAAACTCCTTCAAGAAAGCAAATAAAAAAAAGCTGACAACAAAAGAAGAAAAAATGAATTTTTATCACAGTTATGAGGGGAAGATGATTATGAAGGATTTATTGATGAAGACATTGCTACTAAACAAGTCGTGCGAGATAGTATCCAATCACAACATGAGTGGCACAGAAGATAATAATTCAGACAAAAAACTAGTGGTTGGAGTAACATATATGAAGAAGGACGAAGCTCTCATGGTTCAGTTGCTGAATATTTTGAAGAAAGAACAAGGAAATCAACTCCAAATGAGTCTGAATTTTCATTAAGGGGAGCTGTTCCTGAATTGGTTAGAAGTAAAAGTTCAAGACAACCAAAAGTAAGTGATTCATTTCTAAAGACATTAAGAAGAAAAATGGGTGAATCAGTATCAAAATTTTTGATATATGATCGACTTCCTTTTCAATTAGCAAATTTCCCATGGTTGCATAATTTGATTTCTGTGGCAACAGAAGTTGGCCAACATGTAAGACTTCCAACACCTTATGAGGTCTCAGATGTGTATTTAAAGTCTGAGTATCAACAGGTTCATGAATGAGTTAATGGATTAAAAGCTTATTGAAATGAATTGGGTGTCACTTTGATGTGTGATGGTTGGACCAATAGTTTGAATGAAATACATATCATTAATTTTCTTGTTTACTGTAGTAAAGGGACTATTTTTTAGAAATTTATAGATGTGTCAAGTGTTCGTAGTAGAGATACAAACTTTTACTACAGATTATTAGATAAAGTTGTGGAAGAAATTGAAGAAAAATACATTGTTCAAATAGTCACTAATAACGAGGCAGCACTTAAGGCCGTAGGAAAAAGACTAATGGAGAAGAGAAAATATTTGTATTGGATAG